AAAAAGCACAGATTAAAGGCCTAGAAACCGAGGAGACAGTGAAAGCCACTCCTGCTCCTGAGTTGGATTCTAGGTAGACAAACAATATTGCTGTAAAGGACACTACTGGGACAGTTGGTGAAAGTTGAACATTCACTATCTATTAGATAACAGTATTGTGTCAATATTAAATTTCCCAAATTTAATAAATATGGTTGTGTAAAAATGACTTTTTTCTTAGGCAATACATGCTTTGGATATTTAAAAGTGAAAGCCATGATGTCTACGATGTACTCTTAATTGATTCTTATTATTGAAAATAAGAATTAAAAAAACAAATGTACATGCCACACATACACACACAAAAGAGAAAATAAATATGGCAAAAGTACTAATAATTGGGTAGCTGGGTATTCATTGTACTATTCTTAAAACCTACTATTCTGTAGGTTTGAAATTTTTCAAAATAAGGAAAATATACATTTTTAAATACTAAAACATACATTAAAATATTTGACCAGGTAAGATTTTATGAAGGTTTTATTTACAAAAAGAGGGAAAAAAGCATACCTGTGCCGGCGGATAATGTGATACATGCCTGAGAGTATTCAAAAAAAACAAAACTGCCAAACAGACAATTTAATTCATTAATATTCACCAAAACCTTTTTCAGGGTTTTCAATCAAGGTACTGTGATTTTCTATAAATCACAAAAGTAATATTAAGAGATACAATAAATTTTTACTTTTTATGTTTAAAAATTATCACAATGCATACTTTATAATTTTTTGAATAATTAAAAGCCAATATTAGCAATTATTTTAAAATATATCTTAACAGTACATAGGATTGGTCAAAATTCCTGTAGGTGGCTCACAAGCAAAAAACTGTTGAATGAAGACTTCTAGTATAGGTGATTTATTTAATGCACTGGTTCTCAAACTGTGTTCCCACAGAACACCTGCATTCCACCTTCCATGTGTGTCTTACCACAGAAATGGAACGGTGGGTGTTCCAATTTACAGAAAAATTATTAAATACAGTTTTATTAGTTTTGTGTTTTTAACTAATAAGTCAATAATTAGAAATAATTAAATAAATTAATAAAATTAACAATTATGAAGCAAATCAATATTAACGAAGACATTCAGGAGCAGATTTCCTTAGTTCAGCTCTGTTTGATACATACATACTCATGGTGGTGTTTTATATTGTTATATAATCATATTCTTTGCCAGTAAAATTGTACCTAATTCAAATGTGGAGTTAAATCAACACTTCTTGGTTGTGTGATAAAAAGAACAAGGGCTGAACAATCCAACGCATTGGAAAGCTATTGACTTCATGTCTAAAATCTGTAAGGGTTTGTGTAAAGAGAACTTGCAGCGTTAAAACCTGCCAGATGTAAAATTTCAATTTAAATAGCTTAGATAAACAGAATGTAAAAGAAAGAGGTTTTCTTTTATGTTTTGTTTTGTTTTTAAGATTTAAGGCTGAACGTATTAGTGCAGTTAATTCTGCATCCAAAGCAGTCTTCTTTGACAAAAATACATTTTTAGAGTGAAAGTATTCTATCTAAATATTCTTTTTTTTTTTTTTTTTTTTAATGTTCTTGAGAGAGAGACAGAGCATGAGCGGGGCAGAGGGAGATGGAGACCCAGAATCTGAAGCAGCCTCCAGGTTCTAGCTGTCAGCACAGAGCCTGACATGGGGCTTGAACTCATAAACTGCAAGGTCATGACCTAAGCCTTTGTCCAACTCTTAACTGAGCCACCGAGGCGCCCCTAGAGTGAAAGTATTATATCTAAAAACTACTACTTCTGGGGCACCTGGGTAGCTCAGTCAGTTGTGTCTGACACCTGATTTCAGCTCAGGTCGGTAATCTCACTGTTTCTGAGATCAAGCCTTGTGTCAGGCTCAGAGCTAACAGAATGGAGCCTGCTTGGGATTCTCTCTTTCCCCTCTCTCTGCCTTTCCCCTGCTGGGGCATGCTGTCTCTCAAGTAAATGAACTAGAAATGAATGAATGAATGCTGTCACTTCTTTCCTCAGAACTTCTATCGCCAGGCCATGGAAGAAGCCAAGAAAGAAGGCTATGACTTGAGAAGTGATGCCATTCCCATTGTGGCTGCCAAAGCATCCCGAGAAATTGCCAGTGATGTAAGAGCTGAACAAGTCCTTCCCTTTGCTACCAACAGGCCAGCCCTCTGTGCAGGGAACACAGATGGATGTCTCTATAGTCACCATCCATGGATCTGTAGTCCTCCATCTTAACTGCCTTTATTGTTCAGGCAAATAAATTGAGGGTTTGAGATAGTAGGTACCCTGCCCAAGGTCACAAGCATCATTGAGATAAAGTCTGGACTAGCATGTAGTTCCTTTGGTCTCTTTTTAATAAGATTGAGTACTTTCATTAAAGTAATATGTTGAGCTAGCTCATAAAAACCTCATGAACTCTCATAAGGATACACTCAAGACAAAGATGCCGGGAGAGGAACAGGCTTTCATGGAGTTCTCCTTCCTGACTTGGGGAAGGACATAGGATAGCAAAAAAGATATGTCTGCCTGCTAAAAAGTACACAAAATCAATTTTCTTTACCTTAAACGTGAAGATCTAAGATTCCTGGACAACTTAAATATTAATCTGAATAGTAGCAAGTTGTCCATTTTTATAGGCTTTTCTTTTTTTTTTTACCATTTTCTTTTTTATTTTTTTTAATGTTTTATTTATTTTTTTGATTGAAGTAGGTTATTTATTATAGGCTTTTCTTTTTATTCATAATTTAAAAACATATAAAGTCTACTATCTTAACCATTTTCAAGTACATAATTCAGCAGTGTTTAGTGTGTTCTCACTATTGAGCAACAGTCTTCTGGACCTTTTTCAGTTTGCAAAACTGAAACTCTATACCTATCAAACAACAAAATTCACCCATTTTTAAACTACCACTTCCAGATTATTTGTGCAGAGGAAAATTATTTCTCAAAATGCCCTAGAAAAAAGATTAAGAAACATGTCAGTTGAGTCCCCCTGTATAACCAACTTCTGAGATACTTTATCACTATAATTGAGCTCTCTCTCTCAAAGTTCACTTTTTAGTCTCTGTTTATCAACATAAAATTGTTTCAGCATAATATAACATTAACTTTATATAAAGTGATCATTGTGGAGTTATTCTGTGGAAATGTACAAATGGGCACAACATCCTCTTCGTTGGAAGTAAGCGTTTTCTAATGTGTAGGATCTCCACACACGTTGAACCTACCCAAGTGTCTTAAGGATTTCATAGAAAAGCATCATCACAAAAAGAATGATAGGAAATAGCCGCTGGTGCTCCCTCCTTATTTACTGGTTTCTCTTTCAGTACAAATACAAAGAAGCCTATCGTAAGCAGTTGGGTCACCACATTGGTGCCCGAGCGGTACACGATGACCCCAAGATCATGTGGTCTCTCCACATTGCCAAAGTGCAGAGTGACCGTGAGTACAAGAAAGATTTTGAGAAATACAAGACCCGGTACAGCAGCCCAGTGGACATGCTTGGAATTGTTCTGGCCAAGAAATGTCAGACCCTGGTCAGTGATGTAGACTATAAACATCCTCTGCACGAATGGACCTGCCTCCCGGACCAGAATGACATCATCCAGGCCCGGAAAGCTTATGACCTCCAGAGTGATGTGAGTATCCCTGATGCTGGTTCTGCACATTAAAAGAAGATCTGAAACATGTCCTTGGATTCTTACTAGTGCCAGTGGACTGGAATTTATTTGTATATTTTAAACAATATACCATTAAACGTTTAAAAAGAGTTTCCTCAAGCTTCCTTTGTATGAGTTAGGTGAAACTTGGTCCTCAGAAATATATAGCAGCATTTTTTGGCTTAAAGAGGTAGAAATATATGTCGGTGTGGAGGGAGGTGGAAAAAGTGGGAACAGGAGTATATCATGCTAAATTATTTTAACAAACATTTCATATTTTATACATACTGACAGGGAAATACTAATATATTCTTGTCTTTTTCAAAACCAATCACCTAATTCTTCTTAAAGTTAGCATGTACTATTAAGAGTAAAATAAAATTAATAATTAGAGAAGTATCTAATATCTTTACAATACCACATTACACTCTTGATATTTTGTGATTTTGAAAGTGGAAATAACGGAAAGATTTTTTAAAGTTCTTTTTACATATCCAAAGTGTAGCTATGTGTGGTGATGGATGTTAATTAGACTTATTGTAATCATTTCACAATATATACATATACTGAATCATTATGTGGTGCACTAGAAACCAATGTATTATATGTCATTTATATCCCAATTTTAAAAATGCAAAGAGCATGATTTGAGAAAAATATTCTCAGGATTCAGTAATGCTTATAAATGAGTGATCAGCTATGCTGAGAGCTTTATTTGTTCACCAATACTTTTGTATTTCTCTCATAGGAGCCATTTTGTAACTGTGAATCTAAAATTCTAACTAGTAAATGTGTTTCTTATCTGTCCATTTGCAGAATTTATATAAGTCAGACCTTGAATGGATGAAAGGCATTGGCTGGGTTCCAATTGGTTCCATGGAAGTGGTTAAAGCCAAGAGGGCCACAGAGATACTGAGTGATAATATCTACCGTCAGCGTCCGGAGACCCTGAAATTTACCAGCATAACTGATACTCCAGAGCAGGTGCTGGCAAAGAGCAACGCGATAAACATGAATAAGGTGAGTTTTTACTCCTCAGTGTTCGAGGAATTTACCATCGAAAAAGGTAAAGTTTCTGACATGTTACAGCATTCCTGTAATTCCTATAGAATATATGATACCTTTTTAAATGATTTTCCATGATAATACTATAATTAATAATATTTCAAAATATTAAACTCTTAAAAATACTACGTGCTGTAATTATTTCATAATTACACATTTTAAACACTGCAACCCATTTATACTTTTCAGAACTGTTAAAGAATTTTACTCAGTCAATGCAATAGTAAGCTAGTAAGCTAAATACTCTTGGAAAGAGTAATTTACATGAAAAGTAGGAATTTATGCAACGTAAGTAAGTTTATTTCTACTTTGTACAGAGGAGAGGTGACTGGCACATATCAAAAGAAAAATGTCTTTGTATGCCAAAATAAGTTTTCTCATTTCTTTTTTCATAGCGCTTATATACTGAAGCCTGGGACAATGATAAGAAAACAATCCATGTCATGCCGGATACACCAGAAATCATGCTAGCCAAACTCAACCAAATAAACTATAGTGATGTGAGTAAATTATTGATCATATGATGAACAGAAAGGCAAAAATGAACTATTGTAACTGTTGCCTAAGTGACTTATTATACATACCCAAAGCAATGTCCATAGAAGAGAGTTCTCTCTTGATTCAATTTCGGGCTATGTGGTAGGTCCACAAAGTAGCCAGTCTTGTGGCAACAGGGTATCGGAGTGGAATGCTTATGGAGAAATATTTCAATGGGAATTACACTCCTGATGCCTTCCCCCACTGGTCAGTGTGGGTATCAAGTCATTATTTGATTAAACAGCTATTTAGTAGGCACATTTAGTAGATACTGTTGGAACCCAGTGAAGTGTTGTGCCCTGTTTTATTCTGGTGCTTCAGCAATGTTCTGGTTACCCTTTAAGTATGACCCTTGAAGCAGATTCTTTGCAAGCATTTTTCTAGGCATCTCTCTCAGGACCAGTATTTTCATCAGGGTGATTATTTGAAGCCCTGTTCTACTTATTGATCATGGTCTGTGATGATAGTCCATAGCAAAATGAAAAATATATATAGAATACGTTGAGTTTTTCATAAATTCAGTCATATTCAATTTGAAAGTAATGTCCTTACTCTTTCTCCTTCTTTAGTATTAAGATGGCCTTTCTTTTATATTATAATGGTGAATGGTGATAGTACATAGTGCTTTTTTTTTTTTTTTTAACATATATTTGTTTGGTGTAACAGAATTTTGGCAACCAAGACAGTTTTTTGTGTGTTCTTTAAACTTACCAATTAATAAAACCTCCAAGTTTAGAACATGTGTCTTAAAATCCCTAAGCACCTATGAAGCAGTTTTATAGAAACTCACCCTGATACTTGAATTCTTATGGATTTCTTTCTATAGTTTAAATGAGGACAGGGAAAATTTAATAATAACTCACTTTATATTTTATGAAAGGAGTAATGATTAATGACTTTCTTTTCTACAGAAACTCTATAAACTTGCTTTGGAAGAGTCCAGGAAGGAAGGCTGTGATTTGCGTTTGGATGCCATCCCAATCCAGGCAGCCAAGGCCTCAAGAGATATTGCTAGTGATGTAAGTTGATGTTTTTGGAAGAGGCATTTCTTGCTCAAAGATGTTCTCAAATGGCAGATTTTATAATTTTTCTTGCCAGAATTTTGGTTGTCCCTACAAGTCTCCATTTCATTTGGTGATTCCACCATGTACAAAGTTGCCAATAAAAACAAAGCAAACCTCAAGATGATGTGTCCATGATGCCTGTTAATCAGTTGGGGATAGAGATATATTGTTTTAAAATGAAGGTTTCATAGAACCTAAAAATGGGTTCATATATTTGAGCCTCACAAGTTGAGCAGCAAATGCTGTGATTGTTTATAGAAAACATTAAAAGAACATGTACATCAGCCAATATAAATGTGAGTTCTTTTCTACTACTTCCATATATTTATTCTGGCACTAAAGGAAGACTAGATGATGGATGAGTTTTAGAGTTTTGTTTCATCCTTTGAAACTTTTACTGAGATGTTACTCAGAAGATGTCCCTAACTGATTGTAAGAACAAATTGAGAAGTAAGAGAATCTTGTTCTTAGAACCTGCTTGCCTATTCTCTGTAGCTCTTCCTTCTCATGAGAAACATCTCCTGAGGGTGTCTAGCACGCTTATTCTATACCATGGCTTCTTAGGACCCAAATCCAGTCTTTCTTTCTTCTGGGAGGACCCCCATGCCTTAGACTAAGGCTTCATTCCTTCTATTATCAAAATATTTTCTGGCTGTAATTCAGCTGGAAAAGTCCACACTATGATCATCTTATGATAAGACAAATCATAACATGTTTCTCTTGAATTTTATAAGTATGGAAGATTAACCCAAGGCATGACTCTTTGATGGTGAAAGTTCAATGACCTAACAGGCCAATAAGGGAGATATTTTCTGGTGAGATCATCTAAGTGTAGTCCATTCTCTTAGTCTAGACAGTCAGTGTAAGTTCTAATTGTAAGAGATATATTCTAAAATATTTTTAACACATTTTTAGGAAAAATAGCCACATCTTTAAGTAGATGTTCTTTTAGATTCTACAAGATATTTTACCTTTCCTTGTTAAGCAATCAAACGTAAAGTAGGTAGTATGGTTTAGTAGAAGGGAAAAATATTAAGAACCAGAAGCTCTCCACTTGAGTGTCACCTTCTTGTGATGTGATCTTGAGAAAAGCACCTAAAACTCCTCTAGGCTCCAGGTTTCTACTTTATAAAATGGGGTTGATAATATTAGCCTTTCTCTCTCACACTAATGAAAGGAAAATTAAAAAAAAATAATGTGTGTATGAAACTATAAAATATTATATAAATGAGATGTTCTCTTCAGACTCCTATCTCTTTTCTTTTTTCAGTACAAGTACAAGGAAGGCTACCGCAAACAGCTTGGCCACCACATTGGGGCCCGAAACGTTGAGGATGACCCTAAGATAATGTGGTCCATCCATGTGGCCAAGATCCAGAGTGACAGGGAGTACAAGAAGGACTTTGAGAAGTGGAAGACCAAGTTCAGCAGCCCAGTGGACATGCTGGGGTTGGTATTAGCCAAGAAGTGCCAGGTCCTTGTGAGTGACATAGACTACAAACATCCCCTACATGAATGGATCTGTCTGCCTGATCAGAATGACGTCATTCAGGCTCGGAAGGCATATGACCTTCAGAGTGATGTGAGTGAGTCTAATGTTCATCAGCATGTGTTTATTTTTATTGATTTTAACTTGAAGATCTATATTTAACTTGAAGATTTATTAAACAGTTCATGAATGAGGTAGCAGTCTCCAGCAAGTAGAGGGTAACTCCAAAGGAGGGAGAAAAAAAAGCAAGGTTTTTATAAGAAGGAGGATAGGGCAAGGAGGTAATAAGCAAAAGAATAGAAAGAATTGTATCAGACAAGGTCACCTTCCTTTAGAGGAAAGAGAAAGAGGTCAATTATGTTGATTACCATTTTTTAGGAGGGGATGGGGGGGGTCCAGGTGACAGATTACCTCCTTGGTCCTGACCCATCAGAGTGTTTAAAAGATTTTTTAAAGGAGTTCTAACTTTTGTGCCATGGAATCTTTCGGCAGTCCCATGAGTCCTACGGACAACTTCTCAAGACAATGTCATGAAATGCATAAATTGCAATATATGTTTCAGAAGAAACTGATCACATTAAAATATGGTTATGAAAATATTAAACTTGGGGTGCCTGAGTGGCTCAGTCTGTTAAGTGTCTGACTCTTGATTTCTGCTCAGGTTGTGATCCCTGGGTCTTGGGAGTCAAGCCCCATGTTCAGCTCTGCACTAAGTGTGGAGTCTGCTTGAGATTCTCTGTCTGCTCCTCTGTCCCTCTCCCCTGCTCATTCTCTCTCTAAAATAAAAAATATATATATATTAAACATAATCTATGATGTAGTAATACACATGCTTTTTTAACACTTAAAAGATCTAGCACTGCGTATAATACTTAGTTTAATTTCAAGGAAGTAAGGAGCATAAATATTTCAAGATGTTTGCAACAACTGTAATAAGATATGAAAATATTTGTGATTTTTATTTCTGACAAAGTCTTATGTAGTGTTAATGCTATTATAGTCTCTAGCCTTTATTTATAATAAAAAATATTGTGTTTCAATTAGAGTTTAATAAAAATAAAGATATTATGTTTTTCTATTCAAGTTCATTGATGCCAGGTTCAGAATTGCTGGTTGAGCACAACCTAATTTTCCAGATGAATTGATTATATTATCATTTTTCTGATAATTTTCTTTTTTGGACAAGAAAGTTTAAGAATGAATTGTACATGGCAATGAGAAACAATGAAATCTGGCCATGTGTAGCAACATGGATGGACCTTGAGGGTGTTATGTTTAGCGAAATAAGTCAGGCAGAGAAGGACAAATACCATATGTTTGCACGTATAGGAGGATTAGGAGCAACTTAATGGAGGACCATGGGGGAGAAAAAGGGGAAAAATCGTGGGGGAGAGGGAGGGAGGCAAACCATGAGAGACTCTTGAATGCCGAGAACANAAAGAGGGGTGATGGGCATGGAGGAGGGCACTTGTGGGGATGAGCACTGGGTGTTATATGGAAACCAACTTAACAGTAAACTATTTTTTAAAAAATGAATTGTACATATTGAGACGATTTTTCTAAGAAGCTGAAAACAATAGCTCTCTAGAAATATGTGAGGCACTTTTGTTGTCAGCCAATAGATTGTCATTGGGACTCAAATGCTACCTTGATGGTATAGTAGCTTCTTGTTTTTTTGATCAGGCTCTGACAAGCTGTCACTTTTGAAAGACTGATTAAAAATAGTGGCATTGTTGGGGCGCCTGGGTGGCTTAGTCGGTTAAGCGTCCGACTTTCGCTTAGGTCATGATCTCTCGGTTTGTGGGTTCGAGCCCCGCGTCGGGCTCTGTGCTGACTGCCAGCTCAGAGCCTGGAGCCTGTTTCAGAGTCTGTCACTCCCTCTCTCTCTGACCCTCCCCTGCTCATACTGTCTCTCTCTCTCTTAGAAATAAAAAAAAAAAAAAATAGTGGCATTGTAAAAAAGAACTTTCTCAAAAAGCCATACAAATAAAAAGAACAGTTATCTTTACTTATGAGAAAAATGTTCCTTTAGCCAGTTGTTTAAATTCCAAGAAGAAAAATGAAAGGATAAAATATGTTCTTTCACTTGAATTATAACACAAGAAACGGAATTGAGGATAAGATAAATAAGAGTAAAAAATACATGTACTCTTTGCTTAGAAGCATGGTTGTGAAGGCCACTGCCCAATGGGATAGGAACAAACTGTGTTCTAACAGAGTATTCTTCCCACACAAGGAAGTATAGGCAATCAAATCAGAGAATAAATAACTTTCTATCAGGAGGCAGTCACTAATTTCCTTAAAATGGTTTGCATCAATGAAACTGCATATCATTAGATTTTATGAGTCTTTAGTATATGTGCTACCAAAGTGAACACAGATTTTATGAGTCTTTAAACTAGAAAACATTAACTACCTTCAGGGACAAAGCGTTTGGGTAGCTATTCTACACCAAAGTCAATCCTGTGGGTCTTCCCAAAAATTCATATAAGTAAGATTCAGAATTATACATTTTCTATATATGCTGTATAGGCTCTATAGGCTGTCTAGGTAACTTCTATAAATATTTGACATTATTTCATTTGCAGGCTCTTTACAAGGCTGATCTCGAGTGGCTGAGAGGCATTGGATGGGTGCCCATTGGCTCTGTAGAGGTTGAGAGGGTGAAAAGAGCTGGAGAAATCCTGAGTGACAGGAAGTACCGCCAGGCTGCAAACCAGCTCAAATTCACATGCATTACAGACACTCCAGAGATTGTCCTGGCAAAGAATAATGCCCTGACGATGAGCAAAGTGAGTATGCAATTGTTTCCATTTCCTGAGTCATACCTTCCATGGACTTGGCTCAAAGTGAGAAATGCCCTGAAGAGCTTTCAGAGAAGGGAGCTCTAATGGACTGATTTGCATGCCCAACTTAAACAGAGCATCTACTTGATTTCTGGTTGGACCTGCATGTTCTTGTCAACACTGTGTCCCCTAATTCTCTGTGTGCATGAGGAAGCATAGCCTGGGGTAATTTCTCTGGAGTAATGGACACACTCTTTTGAACAGTGACCTGGAGACATCCACACAGACGTTACTTTTCCCTGTACATTCTCCTAGGCAAAGTGGACTCAAACCATTGACAGAATTCCCTTTATCTACCCTGCAAGGAATATACAGCCTTTTAGCATTTTGTTCTGAAGTCTAGGATACACAGTGCTTATAGCAGAGCCCCATTCACTCTTTGAATTTGAACAACTCAAAATAGTTGCTTGGTTTGCCCTTCTGTATTAGGTTGTGGAAGTGAGAAGTGAGAACTTTGAGAAGTGAGCTGCTACTGCCGCTTCGGTATCATTACACAAGATAGATAATCACTTCCTTTTTTTCAGAGTCTTAGCAATCTGTTTATTAATACTGGGATCATTCTTTATCCAATGGATAAGTCCTCAATGTGCACATTTTAGGTTGAACTTAATGTACCTGAATTCTTCCACACCTGCCTGGATATCTTCCAAACATTTAGGTAGTGAGATTGGGTGCAGAATATGAAATTGACTCTCCGCGATCTCCAAAGCTGGTAGTACTAAAACTCCAGGAATTCTATTTTCTACCATACCCATCACAGCAACCACAGTGAAAATAACAATAGGAAACGCTATCAAATCTGTTGAGTGCCTACTAAGACTGAGACACTTTACATATGTTATAGTTAATCTTCAAAAAGCACTTAGTAAGGGCACATAGGTAGTTCATTTGGTTAGGCGTCTGAATTTTAGTTTCAGTCTGGGTCATGATCTCATGGTTCTTGACAGTGTGGAGCCTGCTTTGGATTCTCTCTCTCCCTCTGTCTTTGTTCCTCCCCAGCTCTCTCTCCGTCTCAAAATAAATAAATAAACTTAAAAAAAATAGTAGGCTTAAAAGAAAAACAAAAAGCACTCACTAAAAATATGATTATCTAGCTCTTAGAAGTAAGGAATATGAGGCATTATGTACATTTCTCAAGATTACACAGCTTGGCCATAGTGGAGTTGGGCTTGAATTTGGGGTTAACTCTGAAGTCTATGGATTTCTACTGTGTCATAGTTCTATAGCCAGGTTCCATCCATGGAGGGTCATATGAGTAAGCTTGAGATTCAATGGAAGAAAAAAATTAATAATTGAGACTGTTAAATTGCTTCATATTAGGCATGAAGCTGTCATATGGCAGTTTCAGTATTGTCATGTTTTACTCTCCCCACTACCCTTTTGCTTCCCCTGCCTCCAAAAGCCTTAAAAGGGCTTTTCTACAGTAAAATGTGTTAAATTTGAAAACACCTGTAATATATGGGCTCTAACAAAGGGTTTACCTCTTTTCCCCCATAGCATTTATACACAGAAGCTTGGAATGCTGACAAAGCCTCCATCCATGTGATGCCAGACACCCCAGAAATCATACTGGCCAAGAGCAATTCTGCCAATATTAGTCAAGTAAGAGGTTTCCTATAATGGTCTTTTAAGCCTTTCTAGGATTCTTCAAAATACTTTTTCCACCTTACAGTTTCCTGTCTGGAATTGGCCTATTACCTCTCTAAAACACTTTTATTTTTCTTTTGTGTATCATCCTCCACCTAGAAACTTTACACCAAGGGATGGGATGAATCAAAGATGAAGGACTATGATCTGAGGGCTGATGCTATTTCCATCAAAAGTGCCAAGGCATCAAGGGACATTGCCAGTGATGTAAGTGCCCTCCATCTAACCCTTTATGGACTCACATTGCTGAACAGCTACTATGCTGCTGGTGGGCCACGTTTCGCAACTATTTCCACACGTGTCCCCCACTTCTGCTTCTTACTTTGTAAGACTTTTTCCCTCTGTTGTCACAGAAAAGAATATTACATTTTGGAATTGTAGCTAGAGTTGGTTAGGGAAGGGCTCCACCAATGAAGATACATGAAGATACTACACTTTTGCTTATGACAGTGTGCATTTAAAATTATTCAGAGATGGCAAAATGTTTGCAATACGAAATTCTTATCCATTTGCTTGCAGGTGTTCATGTTTTCTGTAGTTGTCTTAAAAGTGGGTTTCTAAACCTATACTTCTCTCATTTTAGTACAAATACAAAGAAGCATACGAGAGACAGAAGGGCCACCACATTGGAGCCCAGAGCGTTGAAGATGACCCCAAGATTATGTGTGCCATACATGCAGGGAAGATTCAAAGCGAAAGAGAGTACAAGAAGGAATTCCAAAAGTGGAAGACCAAGTTCTCCAGCCCAGTGGACATGTTAGGCATCGTGATGGCCAAGCAATGTCAGACTTTGGTCAGTGACATTGATTATCGAAATTACCTGCATCACTGGACATGTTTACCTGATCAAAACGACATTATCCAAGCAAAGAAGGCCTACGAACTACAGAGTGATGTACGTAACACAAACTTTGGGAAAGATGGAAGGAGAGGACATAGGTTTATTAATTGTCCAGGCGGTGCTCCTATACCAGGGTCCTATGAGTCCATCCCACCGTGGATAGACTCATGGATTGTGCACTGCACAGCCCCAGGGGAACACTACTCACATTGTTTAATAATAATCCATTTTCAGGAGCTAGGTCATAGGAATCAATACAGATGAAGAGTCTACTTAGGCCATGTCTTTTATTCCGTGACCCAGATTCCAGACTATTTTTTCATGTCATTTGTACTTTCTGGCAATGAAAATATATTGCAGGTAAACATAAACTATCTGAATATTTTTGAAATAACTGCCACTATTGTGCTATATCCAAAAGGATTAAGTCAGTTACAGGATTAAAATGGAATAAGATTCAACAAAATTTCCTTGAAAATTTTTTTTCCGTTCTATAATTTTTGGGAAATATCAAATAATTATCATGAAACTCAGCATTATTATGATTTTATTCATCTTCACAGATAGTGTATGTGAAATTATTTTATCATTGATATTAAAACCCCAAAGTCCCATAAATGTCAGCTCCTACTTTTTTTGAATACCATCTACTATGCTCATCAACCCCTCAATCCCATATACTTTATTTTTTAATTACGAGATGATGTGTCTAACCATGGAATCTAATTTCTGTCTAATATCTTTGTAGAGTGTGTATAAGTCAGATCTAGAGTGGCTACGTGGCATCGGCTGGATGCCAGAAGGCTCGATAGAAATGAAGAGGGTGAAGAATGCTCAAGACCTGGTGAATGAAAGACTTTATAAAACACGGCCAGAAGCCTTGAAATTCACTTGCATTGTTGACACTCCAGACGTTGTCCTGGCAAAAGCCAATTCTCTGCAAATAAGTGAGGTAAGAACCGTCCTGTTACCAAGCATTCCTTTTGTGGGACTCTGTTTTTCAGATAATGCCACCCAAACAGAGCAAGTTGACTGTTCCCCTTGGAAGACTTAGCGTAACAAGAGCAACTCTAAGAATCTGATGACAAGTTTGGTAAAGGCAGAGGCAAATTAGAACAAATATTTCTTCAACTCCTATCAAATACTAAAGCCTAGAGCATATTGGGGGACCCGGGGGGCTCAGTCATTTAAGTACCTGACGTCAGCTCAGGTCATGATCTCACAGTTCATGAGTTCCAGGCCCACATCGGGCTCTCTGCTGTCAGCACAGAGATCCTTTGGATCCTCTGTCCTCCCCTTCTCTCTCTCTGTCTCTCCCCCATTCACGCTGTCTTTCTCTCAAAAATAAAATAAACATTTAAAAAAATCTGTAGCGTAATGTTGCATTTTAAATGGTATAACATTGCGTTAGCCATGGTTCTCCAGAGAAACAGAGCCAATAGGAGTTATAGATGTGTGTGTGTGTGTATGTATATACATATATATACATATATATGCATGTGTGTGTACGTATATGTTTATGAGAGAGATGTAGATAGGTCTGCAGACTATACCTGTGTATGTACACACACGCAGAGGAAGAGAGATGTATTTTATGGAATTGGGCCATATAATTATGAAGGCTGGCAAATCTACAGTCTGCAGAATAGGCTGGAGACCTAGGAAAGAGTTGCAGTTCAAGTACAAAAGCAGTCTGCTGAGAGACTTCCTTCTTGCTCTGCAGATGGATGTCAGTCTTTTTTCTATTAAGGCCTTCAGCTGATTAGGCAAGGCCCATCCACATTACAGAGGGTACCAAAGTCTACTGATAAAAATGTTAATCTCCTCTAAAAAAAAAAAAAATACCGTCACAGAAACATCTATAAAAAGTCTGACCAGGGGTGCCCAGGGAGCTCAGTTAAGTGACTGACTTCAGCTCAGGTCATGATCTCACGGTGTGTGGGTTCAACCCCACATCAGGCTCTGTGCTGACATCCCAGAGCCTGGAGCCTGCTTCAGATTCTGTGTCTCCCTCTCTCTCTCTGCCCCTTTTCCACTTGTGCCCTGGCTCTCTCTCAAAAATAAATAAGCATTTTTAAAAATGTCTGACCAATTATCTGGGTACTGTGGCCTAGCTAAGTTAACATTTAAGATTAGCCATCATAAACATTAAAAACATTTTTCCAGGTCAGTTTTTAAGGCTTAATGTTTCAGATATCTACCTTTTTATCACTGTATTAAATTAATACTTCCCTTCTCTCCACAGAAACTATATCAAGAAGCGTGGAATAAAGATAAAACCCACATCACTATTCCTTCAGACACACCACTCATGCTGCAGGCTCAAATTAATGCCCAGCAAATCAGCAATGTAAGAGGATTAAATATGAAGTGTAAATGCCTTTATTGGACAGTATATGTCAGCGTGTGGAGTGTGGCGTAATGGACAAATTACCTGTCTTAGAAGCGTACAGTTTTTGGTGCTAGACATTTTCTCTTTAGCTACCATTCCCAATGCAGTATGAATGGCAATTCCACCTTTTATTTTATTTTATTTTTTTTGTTTTTGTTTTTTGTTTTTGTTTTTTGTTTTATAACTTATTTCTTTTGTTTGTTTTTTTGGTTTTTTTCCATTTTGTATTTTATTTTATTTTATTTTTTACTAATAGCTTATTGTCAAATTAGTTTCCACATGGCAATTCCACCTTTTAAATGTTAGTTTAAATACATGGCGGGGTCCTAGGACTACAAGAGTTAGGAAATCTGAATCCTACTGGATTCCTCCTTTCAACATTAAAAACATTGTTCTATATCCAATGTCCACAGCTCAGTCTTTGTATATTAATCGAGGATAATGAAATCCCTAGTTAAATGTCTCTTACACGCAGGAGTATGAGGTAACAATCTCTTTTGTCTTCATAGTTTTTTGATCCAAAACTTTCTTGTTTGATATTTCAAAGCCATTAGAAAAGCTGACACTTTTTAATTATACCCAAAGCATAAGATATGTATAAATATCTATGTCACATCCCTTTAGCAGGGACCTCTGAAAAGTCAAAGGGCAACATTAGGGGGGAAAAAAAAATCTTACCAGGTCTTACATGATACCTTAATGAAGGTTTTCTAGTTTCACAGTTGATTCTTAGTTTCCTGTTGTATGGTGGGTATTTTCAGATAAGTACCATATTGTAGTGAAGACAAATATTCAAATATTTAGTAGACCTAGATGTTTAGCTTTAAAATTTTAGAAGTATCCTACACTCCATAAAGTAAATAGCTAACCACCAGAAGAATTCAGAAATGTCTGTTTTATCTTATACTGTTTTTATTTACATTATATCTTATGAATCCTATTTTGAGTATTTGAATATATTCACTTATTTTAAGTTCTTATAAACAACCCTGTGTTTTCTATCAATAGAATCTTTACCAAAAAGACTGGAATGAGGCCAAACAGAAAGGCTATGACTTCAGAGCAGATGCCATTGAAATCAAGCAGGCCAAAGCTTCCAGAGAAATTGCCAGTGAGGTACAGCTTTTATTTCCTTGTGGTTTTTTTTTCTTCTTACAACAAATAGGAAGAGTATTTTTCCAAGAATTTGGGAGGTTTAAAAAAATCTATGCAAACAACTGCATTTTTTTTTTTGCACTAGAGACTTTATTTAAAACCATTAAAATGGAATGAAGCACATTAAGGTTAGTATAGATGACGTATATGTATAAATAATTTCTAAGTTGTTTCTGCGTGGAAGTAAAATAACGTGAACAGTCTATGCAGAATTCTTAGAAAAATTCATTACATTTGATTGTTGACCAGTGTCATTTTATCCCCCAAATATTTATGATATTATCCATAAATGTAGATCACAGGTGAAAGTTTCATATAAGATTTTTTTTTTTTAATGTTTTATTTATTTATTTCGAGGAGAGAGAGAGAGAGAGACAGCATGAGCAGGGGAGGGTCAGAGAGAGAGGGAGTGACAGACTCTGAAACAGGCTCCAGGCTCTGAGCTGGCAGTCAGCACAGAGCCCGACGCGGGGCTCGAACCCACGAACCGCGAGATCATGACCTGAGCGAAAGTCGGACGCTTAACCGACTAAGCCACCCGGGCGCCCCTCATATAAGATTTAAGACTGAAATCACATCTTATATATAAGATTTTATACTGGAGGTTTATGCATAATGCTCTCAGTAACCTTGTAAAATTCATTTAACAGTAATTTTAAAACTTAGAGTCAAAATAATTATCCTGCCAAGCCCCTTACCCCAGCTCTAAATCTTTAAGCAGTGCTGTTCTCTTTCTCCATTTCCTGCTCTATTTTTTTAATCTCCTTTATCTACCTATTTCTTCCTTCTTTCTTTTTTTTATTTATTTAATATAATTTATTGTCAAACTGGCTTCCATACAACACCCAGTGCTCATCCCAACATATGATCTCCTCATTGCCCATCACCCCCACTCCCCCACCCCCATCAACCCTTAGTTTGTTCTCTGTACCTTCTTATTTTTCAATTTTAACTCTAAAAACAATAGCCAGTCTATAGTATCTGCCTTATTCCCAGTTCTCTCTCTCTCCCTTTCTATTCAAGCCTTTCTATGTTATCCAAAAATAGGAAAGAAACAGATGCTATCTTACTGTAGTCCTAAGACACTTAGGACAAGCATGGACAAGACGGAAACTCTTGTCCACAGGCCTTTTGTTGTCATCTGATTCACACCAATGACCTTGCTTTCCTGAAATAAGCACCTTTTTTTATCTGTCTCCAAAATCACACAAGTGACTTTTTCCTATTGAGGTACTCTCAGTACTCTTGGGGGACCATCTAACTTAATGTTCCATTTTCCAGGAAACCTTGGGGACCATGATTACACCACTGTCTTATTTTCCACATCTGAAATATGTGATAATAATAGTATCTACTTCACAGAGAAATTGTGAAGATTAAGATTATAATTGCTACTACGCAACTATTTTTAACTAAAAAATCCAGCAATTTCACATGGATCAACCTAATACATTTGAAGCACTCATAATACTATCTGGCATTAGTAATTGCTCAGTAAATGTTAGCTATAATTTTTTGTAATTATTCTCATTCACCATGCTACTTCCCCCCCTGACTTATTCATGTTCTCTATTTTTCTTAAAGTGACTGAAATATGTAATGACTGCCAGTGTTGAGCCAATTTATATTAAGGCAGGGAAAATATTCTGGAAACATTTAATGAAAAGTCCTCTTACCACATTATTTTCACGTGTCTTTTTATCTGATTTTTCACAACGTTTAGTACAAATACAAAGAAGGTTACCGTAAACAACTGGGCCACCATGTGGGTTTCCGCACCCTACAAGATGACCCCAAATTGGTCTGGTCTATACATGCTGCCAAGATCCAGAGTGACAGAGAATATAAGAAAGCTTATGAGAAGTCTAAAGGAATTCACAATACGCCGTTGGATATGATGTCAATTGTTCAGGCCAAGAAATGCCAGGTCCTGGTTAGCGATGTCGATTATCGCAATTATCTGCACCAGTGGACATGTTTGCCAGATCAGAATGATGTGATCCAGGCTAAGAAGGCCTATGAACTGCAGAGCGATGTACGTATATTATCACCAGACTGTTGGGGAGATATGTGTTTCTGTATAACATCACCGTATGTTCCCTAGGGACATATTTTAAGTGGTAATCCTAATAAAGCCTAACAATCTGTACATTTCATTGTAGTAGAGTTATTTTGAACATTCTCTATCTTATAGAGGATTCCTTTTCATGTAGTGAGGCCTTATTCATTAAGACAAAAAAAAATCACTCTCTTATTCTATGTAATTAGATAGAAAATTTCGGCTCCAGTTGTTTTAACCCATAACATTTGTGCATTCAGATATCTAAATTTTAGAAACAAATGTGAACTTAAGGAAATGTTGGATTTTAAGTATATCTGACACATATAAGAAAAATGTGTATATATATTTATATAGAGGTCCATGTAAACAGAAGTATTTTTCCTCATTATCTATGCATCTAAAGACCTTTTTCTCCCAAATTCTTACAGATGTTATTATCAGTAGTACTAAAAGGGCACATTTCAAGTGGTGAGCACAGAAACTCAACCTTATATAAAAACAAAATTAAATGCCATTGCTATCTGTCATTCCACAAGTGTCACTTCTCAGCCCTGTCCCAATTCCCGTAGGATATGATGAACTTCTCCCAGAGCTTTGTGCCAGGGATATAACACCCAAATATTAACAATTAATGTTGATCCTTCTATTTAATGGGATTGGCCACCCAGCTGATTAAATAGAGGTAGTGTGTGGCCCACTGGCATTGTGCTCTAGTGGGCGAATTTGACTCTTCTGCGCTCTGTGGTCCTCTCCTTCATCTAGAACGTGTACAAATCAGACCTGGAATGGATGAAGGGTATAGGATGGTTGCCAGAGGGTTCTGTGGAAGTGATGAGAGTGAAGAATGCCCAGAATCTCCTGAATGAGAGGTTGTATCGTATAAGGCCTGAGGCCCTCAAATTCACCAGCATTGTTGATACCCCTGAAGTCATCCAGGCAAAGATAAATGCTGTACAGATCAGTGAGGTAAGCTGGCTGATAATACATTTGGACATATTAGAGAAGTCTCAACTGTGAACTTGAATTACTTAGAAGTCTCTAATTGTGAACTTTAAATTGCTAATACCAGCATTAGAACCTTGAACATTTATATATCCAGATGGAATTTCATATAGTCAATCAGTTATCCACATTTCATTTACTTGGATGACTCTCTGGTTGACATCAGTGTGGTAGGCATCTTCATATTCTACAGACTCTGATAACACACTTTGAATGCATTTTGAGGTCTTGCTTATAATACAGGTCCACCAGTTAATACCATATGATCACAAAGCTGCCACCTTTTTATTACTTTTCGATCATGAGGTAAGTTGAAAAGTCCATGGGTGGTGCCAATACTAGATATTATTATACTTATTTATAGGCCACAAAAGCCAGAATTCTATTAGCAATGTGGATTTTCATAGTTATCTGCATTGTGGGTTTACCTGCCAGATAATTACATGTGAATTAATGGAAAAGGATCATTTTACTACCAGGTTCCTGACTAGTTTTCCATTTATATTATATCAATACATACGTCAATATATTCTTGTTGTTGAAGTCACTATTGGCACCTTTTAAATAAAAACACAATCAAAACAAGATGTGATCTATGTTTATATCTCAGAACATCCAAAGAGAATCTCTAATTGTACCTATAATTTTATTCACGTAGCAATTGGCTTATTATCAACCATCCTTTGTTTTCCATTTTTACCAGCCATTGTATCGCGATGCCTGGGAGAGAGAGAAGGCGAATGTGAATGTGCCAGCTGACACTCCAGTTATGCTGCAGTCCAAAATCAATGCCATGCAGATCAGTGATGTAAGGAACTATACATCCATTTGCTTTGCACAATATTTTTGGCCTAACCAAAACTTAAATTGATATGCTCCAGAGGGAGTTAAGCAAAATACATTTGCCTACCACTCCTCTTATTTCTTGTTTTAATGATAAGTACTATGTGTACACACACAAATGCAAATGCACATGTATGTGTACACACATGTTTATAAGTAGAGATGTGTGTCCATATCTTTGTTGGAAGGAAAAATGCACTAGTTTCACCAAAAACAACATGAAAACCTATATATGCAAGGATAGTAATATTTGATTCTCTTTTTAGTGGCCCATCATTGATTTTTCCTTTTAAAGCCAAATGATCTATATTTTTTTCTCATTTTTACATGACTTCCTGTCTCCTAAATTTCTTTCTTAAAAAAAATGAACTTTAATAAATTTCATTAAAAATCTTTTGGAACTTAATTTCAGTATGAAACCAGCCTATTTTATAAATCCTAAGGGGAGACTAATTATCAGTGTAACTTAACATGTTCTCTTAAACACATCAGTAATGTTGACTCAGTGGCTCCCTCTTCAGATTAACTGTGGCATTGCAATCTCCATTTGCAGAAACAATATAAGCAAGCGTGGGAAGATGTCAAGATGACGGGTTATGATCTTCGAGAAGATGCCATCCCAATTCAGCATGCCAAAGCTTCCAGGGATATCGCCAGTGATGTAAGAGCTACTTTCCCAGACTTAACCAACACTAGCTAATAGACAGCCATGAGAAGTTACTCTCGTTGATAAACGAAAATATGAATTACTGGTAGTACTTGATTGTGACAAAACGTGAAGGCAGTAGACAGTGGCTGAATTTTGGGAAACACCAGATAAGCATATATTAGGGATAATCTCAGACAGTCCTTGTCTGAGAAGTCCTCACAATGTTTTCATGCATGTAGACATAGAAGACAAGCCACATGTTAAGGATCATAAAACTTACAGTATGGACTTAAAAACAGGGCCCGTAACCAATACTATATTATATCCATTATATGAGGTACCTAGAATAGTGAAATTCATAGAGAAAGTATGTAAAATCATAACCACCAGGGGCAGAGGGGAAGGGAGAATCATAAATTATTGTTTAATGGATATGGAGTTTCAGTTTCAGAAGATGGAGACATTCTGGAGATTGATGGTGGGGATAGTTTCATAACAATGTGAAAGTTCTTAATGTCATTGAATTGTCTACTTAAAAACTGTTAAAATGGTAAATTTTATTTATACATATTTTATCCCAATTAATAAAAATGGAAAAAAGAACAAGGCCCATAAAAGGCTAATCTAAGGGAGAGAGAGTTATTTTGAGCAGACTCTTTGGAAAAATGATTCTTCTTTCTTCTGTTCACATACACCAGTATCTATATAAAACTACTTACGAGAAACAGAAAGGTCATTATATTGGATGTCGCACTGCCAAAGAAGACCCTAAACTGGTTTGGGCAGCAAATGTGTTAAAGATGCAGAATGACAGGCTATACAAAAAGGTCTACAATGACCACAAGGCCAAGATCACCATCCCACCGGACATGGTGTCCATCAGTGCTGCCAAAGAAGGCCAGGCGATAGCAAGTGATGTGGATTACCGCCAGTACCTGCACCACTGGTCTTGCTTTCCCGACCAGAATGATGTGATCCAAGCCAGGAAAGCCTACGACCTGCAGAGTGATGTAAGTTGTTACTTGTGCAGAGAGTATCAACCAAGGGGCCTGAGGAGTGAGCTGTTCCCCAGGAAGAAAACCTTCCAGAGCTTTGCCTGGTCATTCCTCCTAGGACTCAGGAAAATACAACTCTCTTTACAGTAGCACTTCCCTTCAACATCTTACTGAGTTTACTGATTGCCTACCTTACTTCAGAAAGTTTTCTTTCTTGCTGTTAGTGGTAATACCAGCGTTTTTCTATGGATTTCTCAATATATGCAGTGTTTGTAGTTTCCTAAACATGAGATTTCCTATGGTCCTTCAATTGAAGAATGACAGGGCTACTTCCTTGAAATTAATTTCAAAGATTAGCCGTATGTTCCAAACTCACTAGCTTCCCTTAATTTGGTATTCTTCACAATATGGTGTTTCATTACTTTACTTAAAGTATTTTTAGATTTACTCATATTTTCTGTTTATCCAATCTTTAGAAATCATGGACTCCATTCGGATATTAATTTCTTAGGTAGAATGAATGCCTTCTTTTAATTATTTGAACTTGGTTCCCATAAGCTTCAAGGGATGCTTTCTCCTAATGAATTAATTTGTTCTAGAAAAGTGTATCCATCACTTGAAATCAATTGCCAACTAGTGGATTTAGGCCAGTTTCTAGAGAAATGCAGTCTCTCCATTAACCTGAGTAACAGTATATAAAGGAATGCATATGAATCAAGTTTCTGAAGGAAGAAGAAAGCAAACCTCAAAATCTATATGTAATCCTTTTTGAGAATCCCTCTTCCGAATTTTGGGTATCCATCATACTTTACACACTAAAACATATAATGTCCTTCTTCATTAAGACAGAAATTTTACTACATTTTCACTCCTCCTACTCCCTTTTTAGCCTGATATCTGTATCCTATTAACTAGTTGTTAAAATAACATTTCTGAAGAACAGAATGATTTTTTAATGAAATTCATAACCGATGCTTAACATAGAGCAATTTTTTCTGGTTAACCACTTATCTATATCTGGAAAAACAGGTTTAGATAGCCAAGGAAATGCAAATCCCAATTCAAAAGGAGGTGCTAGCTTGGAAAAAGAAAAAAACAAAACAAAACCGTGAGATCAAAATTGTGGAACCAGGGACTGAATTCCTTTCTTTTTTTTTTAATTGGAGTCTAGTTGACACATAAAGTCACATCAGTTTTAGATGTAGAGCATAGTGATTCAGCAAGTCTATGTTCACCAGAAGCTACCATCTGTTACTACACAACACTCTTTCAATACCATTGACTGTATTCCCTATGACGCACCTTTCATCCCTATGACTTATTCATTCCATAACTGGAAGCTTGTGTCTCCCACTCCCCTTTTGCCCATCCCTCCACCTTTCTCCCTTCTTGCAGCCATCAGGGTTTTTTTTCTGTATTTATGGGTCTCTTTCTGCTTTTTGCTTGTTTGCTGGTTTATTTATTTGATGTTTAGATTCTACATATAAGTAAAATCATGTGGTATTTGTCTTTCTCAGTCTGACTTACTTCATTTAGCATAATACCCTCTAGGTCCATCTATGTTGTCACAAATGGCAAGACCTCATTTTTTTTGTCCTGAGTAAAATTGCCTGTGTGCATGCATGTGTATACATACATTCCACATCTTTGTTACCAATCCATCTATTAATTGCTTCCATATCTTGGCTATTGTCAATAATGCTGCAGTAAACATAAGGGTACATATAGGTCTTTGAATTTGCATTTTCATTTTCTTTGGGTAAATACCCAGTAGTGGAATTACTGGATTATATGATATTTCTATTTTTAACTTTTTGAGGAAATTATTATTTACCACAGCAGGACTGAATTTTTAATTATCCCTTTAAAATACACCATGTGCCAGTACTATGCTAAGCACTAAAGATACAATAGTGAATGAAGAGGAAGAAACAAGACAAGCTTCCAGACTTTAGGGAGTTCACACCAATAAAGAAACAGATGTTAACTAGAGAATATCAATAAAAAAATCAGATGGCTGAGAAAGTGATCCATGGTGCTATGAAAAAATGAGGAAGAAAACTTTTCTAAGGAAGTACTGAATGAGTGAGGATATAAAGGGAGAGTAGGAGTTAGTTCTGTGAGGACACAGTGAACATTTCTGCAGAATGACCAACATACACAAAGGGACCTGTATACAAACAATAAACCAAAAGTCCATTGGGATCAGAATGTATAGATTAAAGGGAAGCACATATAAGATGAGGCTGGAAGAGTTGGTAAGGACTGGTGCTAGATTATCATCACCTTCTAGTCCATGGTAAGACTTTGATCTTTGTCCTAAGACCAATGGGGAAGCCATAGGATTGGGGGGGAAGGGAGATGTTGTGACATCAGATTTGAATTGTAAACTTTACGAAGATCATCCTTACTGCTGTGAGGAGAACTTACTGGATAGCCTATTATTGCTTTTGAAGCCCACTACCAGTATGATATTCCTTAAATATTATTCAAAATCCAGCATGCATCCCACAGACAGAGAGCTCCTTCCACGTCATTCTGCTTTTTTAAGAGTGTATAAAGGTGCCCCTGCTACAGAAAACAAAGTAGACCAGAACACTGCTGTGCATGTGAGGAATTATGTCTGTCAGTGCTTGGTTTTAATTATTGTTTGTGGAAGATAAACTATAACATAAAACTGCTTTCTTACTTTACCACAACTTAAAAACCCTGCTTTCTACTTAACTTTGTCTCATTTGCAGGCCATCTACAAGGCTGACTTGGAGTGGCTACGTGGCATCGGCTGGATGCCCGAAGGGTCTCCCGAAGTGTTGAGAGTCAAAAATGCCCAGGAGATCCTACGAGACAGTGTGTATCGGACACCTGTGGTGAAACTCAAGTATACAAGTATTGTTGACACACCCGAAGTTGTCCTTGCTAAGTCTAATGCTGAAAATATTAGTATTGTAAGTCACCTTTCCCCTCTATATTAAAATTAAATCATGCTCATAAATGATAAAAAATTAACTTGGCAATCTATTTGTAAGATAATGATATTATGATAGCAAAGATTTTAATACATAATGTTGATAGGGCTGTTTTATTATTCATAAATTTTAAACAAAAACTCAAAGTACTAATAAAAGGTATTACCAAGTTCATATTAAATGTGAGTAACTTATGTGAAAGACTTTTAGAAAATTTTTCCCCCTTAATATGAAAAGAGTTTAGATCAGAAAAGTTGAAAGTTGTGTCCTGGAACTCACAAAATGATAAGTTGTAAAGTAATTTTGATATTGTTGGATCTTTCCATAGCCAAAGTACAGAGAAGTTTGGGACAAGGATAAAACTTCAGTCCACATAATGCCGGATACTCCAGAAATTAATCTTGCTAGAGCCAATGCTCTTAATGTGAGCAATGTAAGTACCTCAACAGACTCCCTTTTTTTTGTAACGCTACCCAGTTGGTGCTGTGATATCCCCAGGGAACTCTTGGTAGCCAAGAGAGGAAAGATTGGGTGGGGATGGGGAAGACTCCTTACCATAAGCCCTTGACCAGAAAAGGAGCAGAGGGCACCTCGGTGGCTCAGTTAGTTAAGCCTCTGGCTCTCAATTTTGGCTCAAGTCATGATCTTACAGTTAATGGGATTGAGCCCCACATCTGGCTCACGCTGACAGTATGGAGCCTGCTTGGGATTCTCTCTCCTCTCTCTCTGCCCCTCCCCCAGCTTGTATTCTCTCGGTCTCTCTCTCTCATAATAAAAAAATAAACTTAAAAAAAAAAAAAGTGAGGAAAGGAGCGGATCCTTGGCTCTGACTCACCCATCAAGGCCAGTTACTGGTGAGCCAATGTCAAAATGACAAAAAGAAGGAAGGACCGGAAAGCTGAAAGAGGAATGAAGAGACAAATGAACAAGAAAGGAGCATTACCACCAGTCAGATGAACACAAAATAATTATAAGACTTCTTGTAAAACTTTATGCATATTAATTTTAAAACCTAGATCTATAGGGGATTTTCTAGGAAATCAGAAACTATCTAAATGAGCCCAGAAAAAAAATTAAAACACATAACAAGAAGTTATGGATTCTTAAAGACTCTCCTCCCTCCTCTCAGATGTCAGGGTCATCCAGATGGTTTCATAGGAGAATTCTTTCAGAACTTCAAGAAATAGTCAAACTATTATAGAGCCTAATGAAAGAAGGAAAGCCATCATGATTTCCAAAACTTGTCAAAGATAGTTCCACAAATGAAAATTGTAGACCAATGATGGGGAAAATCTTAAATAAAATATTAAAAAATAAAACTCAGAAGTACATGAATATGATGTGAGACAAACAATTAGGGTTCATTCAGGAATGCCAGAAGGGTTCCATATTCAGAAACCTAATAATGTGTCTGAACAAAAGGGAAAAATCACACCTTCATCTTAATAGATTTGAAAAGGCATATGACCAAATCCAATATCCATTCTTATTCTTAAAAATAAAATCCTAGTAAAATAAGAAGAAATGCATATCTTCATGATGTGACTAAAATAATAAATCTCAAATCAAAGCCAGACTCATTCTTAGTTAGTCAAGTTTCTCATTCAAGCGAAGAATAAAACAAGGATGTCCATCGACATCACCATTTTATTTAACATTTGCTGGGATTACTAGCTGAGTAAGCTCATTCAAGCCAAAATAATTATATAACAGTAAGAATAAGAGATAAATATTGGGTTTAAAAAGGCAAAATTATCATTACATACAAGATAAATCATTATGTCTGGAAAAAGGAAGAGAATGAACTAAAGAGTATAATTAATAAAATGAAAGAATTCAGTGGCTAGCTACACAATTTAGGAAAGCCCAAAAAAGGAACTGTCTTCATGGATCATAGAGCTTTCTTGTGTGTAGAAAAAGTGTGACCCTGGAAGAAGGATACCCTAATGCTGTTCACCATGGTTTGGAACAACATGGTTTTTAAAAAAATAATAAATCTTTGTGAGAGAAGGAGCCTGGCCAGCAAAGATTCCTCGCCATGTGCCAAACCACACCATATACTCTATTGTAATGAGCCACCTGGGAGCTAATTTTTTCTAAGAGGTGGGAAGAAAATAAAATTTCAGAGCATGGATACATTTTTTCCAGACAAGAACAGTATTATGGTGCAGTGCTCTCTCTTCACCAAGTGACTGGTTGGAGAGACAGCGCACTCTTCACCACAGCATCAATAGAGTCCTCAGCCTCTTCTTTTCCATCCAGAGGCATCTGTGGCTGGACAATTAGGGAAAATCCCATGTATTCCCTTTTGTATGATGTATTTTTAGCTGGAAATACCAGAATCCTACAGCTGATATCTTGATGTAAGCAAGACTACTATTTGAAACTATGCCAAAAGTAAAGTTACAAACTTCAGATATTTAGATATTTGATATTAAGACATTAACTAAGGACCCATGTGTAGCTCAGTCAGTTGAGTATCTGATTCTTGATTTCCACTCAGGTCATTATCTCAGTCATGGGGTCGAGCCCCACATCAGGCTCTGCATTGAATGTTGAGCCTGTTTAAGATTCTGTCTCACTCTTCTTCTGCCCCTCTCCTCTGCTCATATGCACTTTCTTGCTCTCTAAAATTAAAAGTAAAAAGACATTAATGAGAATGGCTTGGGCTTTGGAGGAAATCAAACTTCCCATTTGAATGCTAGCCAAAAGGTACTTTTTTTTTTTAAAAAAAAACAAAAAACACATGGTGTCACCATTACTATAATCTTGATAAAATCCACTACTTAAAGCTGTTTCTATCATTTGGAAAGCACAACTTTTTCAGGACATTTGTATACGATTTTCCAGGTAACCAGCAAATTCATATTGACTTATTTAATCTTTAATCACATGAATAAAATATATACTGCTACTTTGTTTTTATCAGATGGGAAAATTGAGACTTAAAGTGAGGAATTGACCCATGTTCTCAAAGTTAGTAGATAAAGTTTTGGTCTCAAACCCTGATTTTTTTTTAGTTCAAATAATATATATGACCACATAAACAAAAATTTAATACATAATTAAAAATAGTATAACAATATGTGTAATAAAACAAAATAAACACAAATTCTAAATAACATGACAAGTTTACATTAAATATTCTCCAATATATTTAAATGTGGAGAACACTTCTGTACAAAAACTTAGATGAAAATTCATACAAACCTTGTCTTTCCTAACAAGGATAAAATTTGAGCACTCATATTTCAGATATGCAAAGCCCATGAAGCTGTCAATAATTGAAATTCATCTTTCTGCACTGTTAAAGCTTCCATATTGATTGGTATGATTTCTGAATTATGCATTTAGATTACTGTTCTCAGTCTGACATCATCAACAGAATGTGCCAATTTAAATATGAATGTATATTTTACAAGTTATCTGTATCAGTCCCTACCTTAATTAACTTCTCTGTATAAACAAAAACATGCTGCATTTAAAAAATGGCTAATGGAGCACCTACATGGCTCAGTCAGTTAAGCCTCTGACTTTGGCTCAGGTTATGATCTTACCGTTCATGGGTTCGAGCCCCCATCAGACTCTGTGCTGACAGCATGGAGCCGTGAGCCCGCTTTGAGTTCTGTGTCGTCCTCTCTCTCTGCCCCTTCTCCTCCTCTCTCTCTCAAAAGTGAAAAAACATTTTTAAAAAAATTTTAATGGCTGTTAACATACAACTATATTTCAGAAGGAACATCTAATTTTCCCAAATAATATGCATCATCAACCATCTGAAAAAATCTAAGAAACCATCCTGGGGAAAACCTCCCCACAAATATAAAACATGTATAATTCCAAAGATTACAGAATTGAGTTGAATTTTAAAATTAAATAAATTGAATTGTTAAAGAAATCCAGTAATCACTCATTAATGTCTGACTGTAACCTTATCACAGTGCTGCTAATACAAGAAGCAGCTAAACGCTATTACATAAACTATGAAAAGCTACATAGAGGCCATGATTTAAATTAAAAAGAAATAACTCTTGTCAAGCCCAGATCTTCAGACTCCATACACAATTTCATATTCCAGTAGCGTGGTACGGAATTATTCTTTTACCTATTCTCTTTTCAACCAATTCTGGGATTTCAAAACTGTACTGCTCTGATATTAATTCTCCTTGAGCCCCTGAAGTTATTGGTACATTTGAATCCAAAGTGACATCTTATTTTTTTCCTCCTCTTCAGAAAATCTACCGCGAAGGTTGGGATGAAATGAAGATGAGCTGCGATGTGCGGCTGGATGCCATCCCCATCCAGGCTGCCAAGGCCTCCAGGGAGATTGCCAGTGACGTAAGTGTGGCCTTGTTTAACTTCTCAGTTTTTATGCAAACATCCTAGGTGCATCAAGAGCACATACTGTGATCCATCTGCTTTGTTTTTCCATCTCCAGTACAAATACAAGCTTGACCATGAGAAGCAGAAGGGACACTACGTGGGTACCCTCACAGCCAGGGATGACAACAAGATCCGGTGGGCCCTTATAGCTGGCAAGATTCAGAATGAGAGAGAGTACCGGCTGCACTGGGCCAAATGGAAGACCAAGTTCCAAAGCCCTGCAGATATGCTTTCCATCACGCACTCTAAACATTGCCAGACTCTGGTCAGCGACATTGATTATCGCAATTACCTCCACCAATGGACATGCATGCCTGACCAGAATGATGTGATTCAGGCCAAGAAAGCCTACCAACTGCAAAGCGATGTGAGTGGGCTACATTTTAGAATGAGCTCTTTTCTCATTTTGCCATGACTCCTAAAAGTTTATGTCATTAAATTTTATATTATTACTTCATGTCTTTATACAGCCATGAATTTGGTTTTAGTTAAACTATATAGTATGGTGTAAAAAATCACCAAAGCTATGAAAGATATAGATTTTGTATCAACGAATATATGGTTATGTGACTATAAATCTTAATTGTGACAGTAAAAAGACAACTACTGTGAAAATATTATTTATGGAATTTAAGTAGCATCCAAGGTACAATATTGGCAGTCCATGGAAAGGATCTAGGCCTTTTTAACTTGATATAGTATTTAAAAATCTTGAATTAAGTTGCCAAGGTTTTTAAATCAGGAAATTTGGCTTACAAATCTAAGATTTCCTGTTTCTTCAGAAAAATCAGAGAATGAAATCCTGGACATTTCAATGAAATCCATTACCCTCTGGCAACAATAACTGGAGCTGAATTGAGGCTAACCCCCTTTAAATAGAAAATATGTCTCCCAGCTTTTCATGCCACCAGACCTCCTAATGAATTTACTTATGTTACCTTCCCAGCTGCTTGAGTATGTCATCCTTATACTGTGTTTCTCCATCAAATCACATCCACAGGCTGTCTACAAGGCTGATTTGGAATGGTTACGTGGGATCGGGTGGATGCCGACTGATTCCGTTTCTGTCAATCACGCCAAACATGCTGCAGATATCTTCAGTGAGGTATTCCAAGATTTTACCTTGCCATTTAGTACATTTCCTGGGAGACTGAACAAAAATACACAAGCCAAAATGCAGTCATGCCCCATCAGCAATGTTAATAATTGCAACCACTGTCATTAAAGCCAGACAAATTTTTTCCTGAAACAATCCTCTACTGCCCCTATCACATCATAGGCCCACATCCATAATATTATGTCCAGTACACTCACCGATGCTTAGAATCGTGTAATTGGACAACTTCTTTTGTCAGCAATGACACTACACTTGGGAGAAGTTTATACAGTTAAAAAAATAAAAACATGTTGAGTGTCATGATACACAGAATATTATATTACATGATTTTGATAGCTGAGCAAACGTGCTACTTTAAAATCTGTGGGAGGTGTAAAAAACCACTCATTTGTTAAGAAATAAAAGGCTAAGACAAAGGCCAAACTGCCACGAAGGTGCCATTCAAATATGGCACTCTATACTTCTCGTAGAGAAGGTCCCTTAAATCTAGTATCTCTTTCTCAGCTCAGACAGGACCAGAAACTACAACCATTTGAAAGATATTTTCTTTCCCATAGAAAAAATATCGCACAAAAATAGAAACTCTCAACTTTACTCCTGTGGATGACAGAGTTGATTATGTGACTGCAAAACAAAGTGGTGAGATCCTAAATGATGTAAGTACATGGCTGTTGTTCTAAAATTGCCCAGTCGTGAAATGTCATTTCCAAAGCTTTCCACCTACTTAAGCTCAGCATGCAGTCATTATCTGAGATACAGATTGTAGTCATTGAGATGATGCTTGCATTTGCTTGGACGACATGATGTTTTCTTAACATCAAGTAACTTACCCTCTTGCCTCTCATTTCTAGATTAAATACCGGAAAGATTGGAATGATACCAAATCTAAGTACACCCTCACAGAAACCCCCTTGCTGCACACTGCCCAGGAAGCAGCCCGGATACTGGACCAGGTATGGATTTTAGCCATATGCCTGGTACTTTGTTTGGGGACAGAGGACATAATATAACTGTGGGAGATGTGCGCACATAACCAATCCCCCACTGTGACCCCTTACTTAAGGCTCTGTTTTGGCTCTCTGTTGTTTAGTATCTCTACAAGGAAGGCTGGGAGAAGCAGAAAGCTACAGGTTACATTTTGCCTCCGGATGCGGTGCCTTTTGTCCATGCCCATCACTCTAGTGATGTTCAGAGCGAGGTAATTTAGCCTTATGTGAGTGCACGTTGGAGTGTTCCTTGGCTTAGCAGGGCTGGCCGGGCTTAGGGATGGCTAGAGTACCTGCTCCCTTCTAGTCCTTTGGGAGTTTGGTTTTGGCTTCTTTAAAAGCTGTTGTTTGAGTGCTTTGCTGTTTCTTCTATTCCCTCACTTCCTTAAAATCTTTAAGCTTTCAAATAAGATATAGGCAGAATTAGAAAACAAATACATTTTTTTCTATTTTTAAATTGCTGTTTCTTATATCTGTTTATTTCGATGCTTTTTGTTATTTATTCTCATGGAGGGAGTTGACAAAAGGCTGAGGGGATGAATGCTGATGTTTCCAGCCCCCTTTGCCTTGAGTGCTTATCAAAAGTAATGGAATCTCTATTTTTTTCTCCTACCAGCTGAAATACAAAGCTGAACATGTAAAGCAAAGAGGTCATTATGTTGGTGTTCCGACAATGAGAGATGATCCTAAACTGGTTTGGTTTGAGCATGCAGGCCAGATTCAGAATGACAGACTATACAAAGAAGACTATCATAAAACAAAGGCCAAAATAAACATACCTGCTGATATGGTGTCCGTGTTGGCCGCCAAGCATGGGCAGGAACTTGTCAGTGATATTGATTACCGTAATTACCTGCACCAATGGATATGTCATCCTGATCAAAATGATGTTATCCAGGCAAGGAAGGCCTATGACCTTCAGAGCGATGTAAGTGATCTTGTTTCTTAATTATCTCAAAATGTACGGTATTCTCTGAGAATTATAAGCAACACTCTGGAAGTACCAGTCTTGGAAAGTTTGAGACATAAATATTGAGTGTGTTCCCAGAAGGGAAGTAAGGCTGGGTATGATGTAGAGAAAGACCGGAGGCAGTGATTGACAGCTTTGCTTCCTGACTATGCATTTCTGAATAACTTTCAAAGTCAATTTAAAAAAAATTCTTTTTGTATCATCTCTGCCATCAGCAACATCTCACATCTGCCTGAAAAGTTATCAGTTGACTTAGAATAACAGTTGCCTTCGGGTGAGAATGGAGAGCGCGTTGGGATTTTAAAAATATTGGATGATAGTGTAGTCAAGGACCTGGGAACGCCTAGTTCTTGCTTTGTGAGCATTTCACTCCTTCAGGCACTTATGAAGGACTTGCTTGCAAAGAATCAAAACAAAAAGGAAGCAAAGTACTAATGAGCCACAGGAGGGCCCAGAAGCCCTCATGCAGACTTTTAGTAATGCTAAGGTAGGAATACATGACATAGGCCATCTGACACTGCAGCCTGAGACAAGACCTCCAGCTACCACCAGCAGTCAGTAAGGAACAGAAACACAGTGCATCAGCCTGACGCTCAGGTACACCCTGGAGCTAACCCTACCCGGTATTCTCATTACCAAATCGGAAACAAGAAGTGAAGGATTGCCTGAAGCACGCATGCCGAATTTGAACATCCCACCTCATTGTTGCTGCAACAGGGTGACTGTTGTGGACCTTTAGCCAGATTAACAGCTCCATTGGTGTGGGGTTGCCCAAGAGAATCCAGGTACTAGGTGTGGGAGAGGAGAAATAGGGTTGGCCAAAGGCATGTGGCCCCCGCTCAAAAATACATGAGCATTTACTCGTGTGATTTCCTTTATATGGTGTAAATGTCCCACGTATTTCTAATAACTGAATATAAGTCCATCTAAAATTACACCCACCTTTGGTAAAACCTTTTCTTAGGCTCACTGTTGAAAATAATGGCTCCCTGGCTGTAATTCCCACACCACTTGAGTGTTCCTGCTCTTCTAGAACTTTGTAAATGACTCTCCACTTTGTAAATGACTTCTGTTTACACTAGATTCCTTTATATAATTATCCCTCAAGGCACCTAGCACAATACCTCACTCATAGTAACAGGCTCAAGAAATATTTCTCAGATAAACAGGTGAACTCATGATTGAATCAATGACACAAGAGCCAGGAGAGAGAAATCCTTAAAAAGCTCCTGAAAAAGTTGTTTCTTATCTGCTGTCTGTAAGCCTACATCTGGGTCATTTATGCCTGCCTTTTATCTCTCTTCCTGCTCTCAGAATGTCTACAAAGCTGACCTGGAGTGGCTCCGTGGCATTGGCTGGATCCCCCTGGATTCTGTGGACTATGTGAGGGTTACTAAGAACCAGGAAATGGTGAATCAGGTACAGAGAGCCGTTTCTCACCTCATGCCTGACTCCCTTGCCTGCCATGTGGGGATAGGTACCAGATGGAGGGAGGCCCGCCTTAATCATCTCTGTTTCCTTACAGATAAAATATAAGAAGGATGCTCTTGACAACTATCCTAACTTTACAAGCGTGGAGGATCCTCCAGCGGTTGTTTTGGCTAAGATTAACTCAGTCAATCAAAGTGATGTAAGTTCGCTTTGTGTATAATGAGGTACACGGGCTAGGGAGTTAGTTGTCCATCAGTGAATGTATTTGCTTAACTCCAGATAAATACTTATAAGAAAATGAACAATAGGATGGGAAACTGTAAGATCACCTTTGGTGGGAATGTCTTGAAAGTCACTAGTAGAGTGTATGCTCTACTCACTTTTTAGATAATATCTGTATTCTTGTCCAAATTATTCTGCTATATTAGTGAAAATGAGCTGAAATTCAACCAGCTGGTTAGTTTTAATCTCTAAATGTAGACTGATTATTACCTTGCTAGGTAGATCCCCTGAAACTTTAAATATACATTTACAGTAACCAAAGGTTTTGTTTTCTTTTGTTTTCTCTCCTTAGATAAAATATAAAGAAACATTTAATAAAGAAATAAAGGGCAAGTATACATTTTCTCCAGATACGCCACATATCACCCACTCCAAAGACATGGGAAAACTCTATAGTACCGTAAGTTGTATTTTATGTGATTTACCACTCAGTTCTTAACTTTAAGCTCTTGTCCGTATTCATAACCTTGGCTGATATTGTGAACAACTGAACATATAAGATCTATTATTTCTATTGTGTGTAGTCTTATTTATTAGAAATAACTAGGCTTGTTTATTAGAAGTAGCATTTATTCAGCCAGTATTTTTTGAGCCCCTGTGATGTGCCAGGCACGGTAGGAAGCACTAAGGAGCAAAAGCTCAATAAGACAAGCCCTTCACAAACCCATGCAAATGACAGGGACTGACACCAAAGAAATAAATAATAATGTCACAAGTGCCGTACCAACTGTAGGTTCACATAGGACTGAGCATCTACTAACAGGGAGAAGAGAGGAAAGTCTAGTCCTTCTTTAGCAATCATGTATAAATATCTCTAGCCAACAAATTAAAGACTTGACCTCCAAATTTTAATTCGGCTAATTTAAGTGATGATTGGGTACCTGTAGTGTATATGTTGTATGCCCAGTGGGAAACAATTTTTGGTGATTCTCTCCCTATGTGAAAATTTATTTTCACTTTTATTAAAACTTAGTTAAGCTCTGTTATTAAGTGCCTCAGTGTCTGTATTTTTAATTCACAATAAGCCAGAAGACTCTGCCCTGCTCTTAGGAAGACATGATAATGGCTGTATATAAAGATTTAAGCTTTGCCTTTAAACAAATATTTTACCTTGGTTTTACCATTTTCTTTTTAGCAATACCTGAAGGAAGTTGAATACAAACTTGTTGAGACCCATTTCTTTGTTCTAGATACTGTATAAAGGGGCATGGGAAGGAACCAAGGCCTATGGCTATACCTTGGATGAACGCTATATTCCCATTGTTGGAGCTAAGCATGCTGACTACGTGAACAGTGAGGTCAGTAGTACTTCTTCCTCTCAGAGGTTTCAGTCTTGATTGGGAAGCTGGTTAGAAAATCCCATTGATTTCTCAATATTGTACCTACTTCACAGCTTAAATACAAAGAGACCTATGAGAAGCTGAAGGGTCACTATCTGGCTGGGAAAGAAATCAGTGAGTTCCCTGGTGTGGTTCACTGTCTGGATTTCCAAAAGATGAGGAGTGCGGTAAGCAAAACTCACTTTAACAGAGGATTTGTACCCTTAAGTGTACTATTAGTCTGCGTGTTTGTAACCTGTTCTTTGGTTGAGAGGGGCATGGAGTGTGAGGAATAAGTCATTCTTGAGATTTATCCCCACCCCTGTCAGTTAGCCTTGTGTACCTTTAATAGCTATAGGCTTCCTCACTTTCCCTCCCTCCTCCACTACCAAACACAGTGAAGTATCTGTGTTTGGAAAAAGGAGAAAACGAGACACTGAAAAAGAATATATTAAAGTATCATATTTTTCATCTTTGTTTATTCTAAAGGTACTGATATATAGTAAAGACTCTAAAAGAGATCCATCTGAATAACTCACATTTTAATTCCTTTCTTCTTTTTGTCATTAAAAAATATTGTTCTTTAGTTGAACTACAGAAGACATTATGAGGACACCAAAGCCAATGTTCATATCCCCAATGATATGATGAATCACGTGCTGGCTAAACGATGCCAGTACATCCTCAGTGACCTGGAGTACCGACACTACTTCCACCAATGGACATCTCTTCCAGAGGAACCCAACATTATACGGGCCCGAAATGCACAAGAGATCTTGAGTGATGTATGATGTCCTTTCTGATGCTTGACTTAGTTACAGTCTTCACCCAACCTGGCCTAGGCCCTCATTTCTCCAGTTGTCCCTGTATTCATAAATGTGGCTGTTTTTTAAAACATGGTGGCATGAGTAACCACTTTTTGGGCTAAGAATCCCCTTTGAGCCCTGTGACACCTATGTTAAATATTTAAGCTGTTTCTACACCAGACTTAACTTAGCTATTGCTCTCCTCCTAAGTTCTTTAGGTCAGGGCATTAAAGACCTCCAGCTGTTGAGAGGCCTGCCCTGTGACCACTGAGCACAGCCAGCGGCTGATAGGAAATAATCAAAATGCCCTATTATAAATTCAGTTAGTACCTGTCACTTTTCATCATCCTTTCTTTCTTGCAGAATGTGTATAAGGATGACTTGAATTGGCTGAAAGGCATTGGATGCTATGTTTGGGATACGCCTCAGATCCTCCATGCCAAGAAAGCCTATGATCTCCAGAGTCAGGTGAGCCAATCTTCCTGGAAGGACTGGCTCACTGTGAATCCGTGGACTTTGTGATGCTCTCAGTGGGTGACAACCAGGATATCCCTGTGTCCAGATGGAGAAAGCTGCTTTAACAGCGCATGATCCAAGGAAACCAAAGGTCCCCGGCCCAACAGAACCTCTCCTGGTGACCTGCTCTTTTGTTGGACCTTCTCAGTTTTAGTCTCTCCTGTGCTTTAAGCATTTGATGTTGGTAACAGAAAGTTACCTGGGAGATGTTTCCTGGTGAATTCTCAACCGTCTGTATTGAAGTTGATGAGGTTAACTTGCAAAGAATAGAATGCAAATGCATGCTTTGACCTTAGGTAGATAAGTTCCGAAGTAAAGAGTAGGTATTTGGGAAACTGCCCAGCATATGGTTTGGCTCCGATAGGGCAGGCTAATGGAAGGTTGAGGCTGTGGGACTGTAGTCAGGGTTGGGGTACATGCATGGAAAAGACAAAATGAAGAGAACCAGGAGAGAGCCAGACTCCACTGTTGGTGAAGACAAACTTAGTTTTGGTAGCCAAGCAAAGTTGGGAAGAATATAGAATGATGGCCTCTTTGTTAGTATTAAAGTAGAAATCCAGAAATAAAGACTCATCTAAATTGGCACAAACTGCGAAAGCTGATGGCAGATCTGTATTTTACCATATCTGGTGACTCTTTTTTCTTTACAGCTACTATACACGGCAGCAGGTAAAGAAAATCTACAAAATTACAACCTGGTCACAGATACACCACTTTACGTGACTGCTCTTCAAAGTGGCATTAATGCCAGTGAGGTGCGTCTTCCTTCTACTTCTCTTCCAGGACAAGTCATTATTGTCTTTACGTATTTTCAAAGAGCAGAAAGGACTAACCCATCTTTTTTGTGTGTAGGTGAAATATAAAGAAAATTATCATCAGATTAAGGACAAATATACGACAGTCCTAGAAACAGTGGATTATGACAGAACCAAGAATCTGAAGAGTCTTTATAGCAGTGTGAGTTCTTTTTCTCATCTTTGTATTTGAGTTCTCTTTTTCTCCTTTAGAGACAATGAAGGAATGTTGGGATAGGCACCTTACCCCCAAAAGTTTTTCCAGGTTTTTCATGAACCTTCCAATTCTGTTTTAGCTGCCAGTCCCTACGCTGCATTTAGCTGCCAGTCCCTACATTGCATTTAGTTGTTGTGACTCTTTAGCCTCCTCCAATCTGATCATTTCTCAATCCGTCCTTGTCTTTTTCTGATTGTGACATTTTTGAAGAACACCGGCAAGTTATTTCATAGAATGTCCCTAGATTTGGTTTCACATGATGACTTCTCATGATTAGATCAAGAGTGTGCATTTTTGGCAAGCATAACACAAAAGTGATATGCTTCTCTCAGTGCATCATACCAGGTGGTACATGACATCAATAACTGGTGATGTTGCCCTTGATAACTTGGCTAGGTTCCTGTCTGCTGAGCTTTTCCCCTATAAAGTTAACTCTTTCTCCCTTTGTTATTAAGAAAGAGCATCAAAGAGATACTTGGGACTATGCAGGTATCCCGTTTCTCCTTAAACTTTCTCTCACATATTTTAGCATCTATTGGTGGATCTTGCCTGAAACAGTTTGCTATGGAATATGCCTATTGGTGATTTTCTGTTTCCTTCATCCTTTCCATATTTATTAGTTGGAATTCTGTAAGAAGTAACTCTTCGTTCCTCCCATTTGTTTCTTTTATTTGTATCAGTATGGACTCATGGATATTTATTTTATTCCATAGGGTATAGTCTAATATTGCTATTTATTTTCTTGCTCAAATTATTCACCTTTGACCACTGGCGGCTCTTTCAGGGTGTCTCCTATAAAACCTCAACACACTCCATCATTGTTTCTGAGCACTTCCTTACTTTTTGGCACCACAACATGCTCATCTTGTATTTCCCGTTTCAGACCTACCTCTCTAAGGAGCCCTGGTTTATTTATTAGAGAATGGCATTTCAAAACTAAGTTCAAAAATACTGGGTGTGCTCATTGCTACCGAGAGTGTCTTTGTTGCTAGGACTCCTATGTGGACTGAGCGTAGAAATATATGTATGTATACTAACCCACATATGCGTGCATATCTGTTTATTTCTATACTTACCTAACTAGATCTGTGTTTTAAAACATGAGTTCCTACTGATGCCTCCAATATAATTGAACACTACAGAGTTCATTCTAGCCTTCTACCTTTTTTGATTTTCCCAACCTATGTTAGTCTCTATAAGAAGACTAAATAACAAGTCAAAATACCATTTTCCAAAATAAATTAGTTTTCTTTCTCACTTCTTTCAGTGTAGTTTGTTACACATTTGTAATGCAATTAGATTTATTTGTTACAGTTTAGACTCTATTTTAGTCCTGTCCCCCATTCTGGTTGAATTCTTTGGGTTTAAAAAAAAACCAAAACCCATATTTATATTTGTATAAATGTATATCTTTAAAAAATATAATTTATTGTCAAATTGGCTTACATACAACACCCAGTGCTCATCCCAACAAGTGCCCTCCCTCAATGCACATCACATACTTTCCCCTCTCCCCCAACCCCCAACAACCCTCAGTTTGTTCTCTGTATTTAAGAGTCTCTTATGGTTTGCTTCCCTCCCTCTCTGTTTGTAACTTTTTTTTCCCTTTCCCTTCCCCCATGGTCTTCTGATTCTATGGTTTAATTTACATACTGTAAATTTACTCTTTGTAGTATATAGTACTATGGCTTTTAGCAAATGCATGGAGTCATGTCTTTGCCACCACAGTCAAGATACAGAAAACTTATGTGTCACCTCAAAATTTCCCTCTTGCTTCCCCTCTTCTCTCCCTTGGAATCCACAGAGTCATTTTCTGCACTTGTTAAAAGAAAAAAAATTAAAACCTTTTCCAGAACATTACGTAAATGGAATTAAGAAGTATGTAGCTATCAGGTCTGGCTTCTTTCTCTTAGCAAAATGCATTTATGTACTACACATATTGCTGTATAAACTAGTAGTTTATTTATTTTATTTTTGTTGCAACGTGGTATTCCATTCCATGTATGTACCACAGTTTGTTTATCCATCCAGGCTTGAGGGACATCTGAGTTCTTTCTTGTTTTTGACAATTGTGAACAAAGCTGCTATATGCGTTTGTGTATAGGTTTTTGTCTATAGGTAAGTTTTCATTTCTCTTAAGTAAATACCTAGGAGTGGAAATACTTTTTGAGCTCTCACTAGCTACAAAAAGGTAGGAATGGATAAATGAATTTTAAGTGAATGATTTTCATCCTCCAGGAATTCCTAGACCTATGGGGAATGAATATGGCATCAGAAATTGTTTTAATTTATGTACAGTAAATTTTATTCTGTGTGATGTATGATACTGTGGCTTTACAAATGCATAGTCACATATTCACCACTGCAGTCAAGATATAGAAAAGTTCTTTATCACCCCATGATAACTGGCAAACTGTGATAAGTACTATGGTCGTGAACAAAATAATGGACTGTGAAATTATAGTCATGACAGTAAACCCCTCATTCACGTAGGGGAACTCAGATCCTACTGAGTATGAAGACATAGGGGCTGTTAAGGAGTGTCTGAGACAGACAGATACAGGAAGATCCCCTCCTTGAGAGCCAACAAGAATGTATTTGTCTGTATTCACAAGATGGTTTTTAACCCCTACAGAGCCTATACAAGGAGGCCTGGGATAGAGTGAAAGCCACCAGCTATATCCTGCCTACCAACACTTTGTCCCTGACACATGCCAAGAACCAGAAGCATCTGGCCAGCAATGTAAGTCCAGTACAAATGTGATAGACTCCCACCCACCATCTGCCTTCCCTAGTTCTCTGCTCCTGGAATTGTTCTGCTTGATTCATATGTCATATGGATTGTGTTACATGTTATGTATATTGTAAAAGAAGGTCCTAAATTACATGAGCTATTTAGATATTAGGTCTTATGACCTTTAACCCTTTCTGCCTAAAATGTTCTTAAAACTTAAGTAAACCTCTTCTAGAGACTTTTGCCTTTTAATTGTGAACATTTTATATATTGTTTCAGATGAGTATTTCTCAAACCTTTTTTCTTTGACTATGACCCACAGTGAGAAATTTATTTGATGTTGCAAGTCAACACACACACACACACACACACACACAAATCTGAAGTTTACATGAGTTCCTTCTGACATAAGTATTTTATAGAAGAGAGCATACTGCTACACTAAAAGCAATACTCTCTGATCATTTTGATTCTGTTCTATTCATTTTAGTGGTAATGACCCAGTAAATTGATTTCACTACCTTCTCATGGGCCTAGAGATGTGTATTTAGGAAAAGACTTTGTTAGATAATATATGGAATTTAATTTTTACCTGAAGGAAAGATGAATATATGTGATTTTGCCCAGATCCTAGTCTGTTTGTAGCCTTACAAACAGACTAGCCCAAAGGAACAAACTTATTTTGGGAAGAGAGGTTTTGTAGATATAATTGAAAAGCTCAGCAGAGATTTGCTCCTTTAAGTCAAGAAAAAAGTTATAGAAGCAAGATTTTCAGCAACTTGTTTTTGGAATAAGATGGGACACAGAGAAATGAATCCGTTAAGAAGAAAGATTTCACCAGTTTTTTTAAAAAGTGCCTTTGAATACTGTCTTCTTAATAACTGAGGAGTGGCTTAGCTGTATGGAGCATGTGAACTAATGTTCTGGAAAATTCTGTTGGGAATTTTGGTTGGTTTCAGCAAATGGATTTGCTGCAATTCTTACACATAGTCCCATCTTCCTTTTGTTTTGTTTTTACTAAGTCGTGGGCCTCTGAGTTATGAGAGAAGTATTATTTTATTATGTGCTGAGAGATTGGACCTTCATTTCTGTGAGGGGCTTACCTCCTAGTTCATGTAATCATGGAGCATTAATTTGTAGCAGTATATGTCTCAAGAATTAAAAGTTAGTTTTCTCATAGAAATTGGTTACAGTGTATTTTTGAAAACCTTATAAAAGCTGAAATTCAAGCACTGTCTCTTAAGCATCATCAGTTACTAAAAACAAAGAACTGAGCACATTTTTCATTTTTCATTCATGGTTAAGAAAAGCAAAGTCATCATGAAAGAGATTATTTAAAAATTACATAATCTTTAAAATGAGTTAATAGTAGCAGAAGTACTAGTATTGTATGGACCTTTCTATTTTTTATTTTATTTTTGTAATATTCATTTTGAGAGAGAGGGGAGAGCACGTGCACGTGCATGCATGTGAGCAGGGGAGGGACAAAGAGAGAGAATCCCAAGGAGTCTCTGTGCGATCAGTGCAGATCCCAACATGGGGCTCGAACGCACAACCCATGAGCTCATGGCCTGAGCTAAAATCAAGAGTCGGCACTTAACTGACTAAGCCACCCAGGCACCCCATTATGGGCATTTTTAAAACAGTAACTAGGGGTGCCTGGGTGGCCCAGTGGGTTAAGTGTCTGACTTCAGGTCAGGTCATGATCTCACAGTTCATGAGTTTGAGCTCTACATCGGGCTCTGTGCTGACAGCCCAGAGCCTGGAGCCTGCTATGGGTTCTTTGTCTCTTCTCTGCCCCTCCCCTGCTCTTTCTCTCTCTCTCTCTCAAAAAAAATTAAAAAAAAATTTTTTTTAAACAGTAACTAAAATTTTATAGCTCTGTATAGTTTACAAAGTACCGTCAGATATGGTTTGATGTAATTCTCAGGGTCACCCTGTGGCAGGTACCAGTGCTGTACATCCACCTCTATGCAAAGATGAGGAGACAAGCCCAGAAAAGTGGTGACCCCATGTTGGCTGGATCTCAGAGTTGGGCCCTTCTTATTATGTCCCATACTCTTTAACAATATAGATCCATTACTCTCCAAAACTTTTTCTCCCTTTGTACTTTCTCTCTATAGATCAAATATCGAGAAGAATATGAAAAGTTCAAAGCTCTTTATACTTTACCGAGAAGCGTCGAAGATGATCCAAACACAGCACGGTGTCTCAGAGTCGGCAAGTTTAACATCGATGTAAGTAATCCCATGGATCTTCCTTCAAATCAAAGCCAAGTAATACAGCCATCTGTTATAAATCAACATTTTCTATTAATGCACGTGGCAGTTACTGTGCATATGTGAAGAAAGGAAGTGTTACTTCAGCACATGTTGCTTCCCCCCGCCACAATGAATCTATAGGAAGTGTCAAAAAATTTCAGGTCCCACCTGATTGTTGTAAGTTGGCTACCCTGACTTCTCTAGTGTGTAAGAAAGGCATGTGTTGCCACGATACCTTGCACAATGTCCTGTATAATTGGCATGTTATTTTATCTTCACAGCGTCTATACAAATCAGTTTATGAAAAGAACAAGATGAAAATCCACATCGTGCCTGACATGGTGGAGATGGTTACTGCTAAGGACTCTCAGAAGAAAGTCAGTGAGATTGATTACCGCCTACACCTCCATGAATGGATTTGCCACCCTGACTTGCAAGTCAACAGCCACGTCAGGAAAGTCACAGATCAGATCAGCGATGTAAGCCCATTGCTTAGGAAGGTCCCCCTCCCTGGCTCCACATCCCATCCCAAGGAGAAGCAGACTCACTTATCACTTGCCCTCAGTCGTCTTCCACTATTGCTTTCCTGCATACCCCTGGGTCTGTCCCTGAAGCAGGGATCTGTGTGTTGGTGCTTCCATGGCACCCTCAGCCTCACAGCATAATGCCTTTTGATTTTCATTCCATAAAGTCATCCTGGGTCCAGAGGGTGTCCATGTCTTTCCTGTTAAAATTACGATCAGTTTTGTTTTGTTTTGTTTTTTAAATCTGATTCCCTGTATCTGCTGTAATCTTTTAGATTGTATACAAAGATGACCTCAACTGGCTAAAAGGCATTGGTTGCTACGTCTGGGACACTCCTGAAATTCTTCATGCCAAACATGCTTATGATCTACGTAACGATGTGAGTTTGCCTTTTTTGTTTGTTTGTTTGTTTTTTAAATATGTTTCCTTTTCTGCATAGTGTAAGTCAGAGGGAGAGTTATGGACGTTGTCTCAGACCAAGTATGTCATAAGTGGAGGATGGCTGAGCTGGAGAAAGATGCTAAGGAGCAGAGAATGGCTATTGCACAGTAATGCATGTGGCTTTCCGAGGAAGCAATACAGTCAAGTTGTCCCACTGTCCTCCTGTGGAGAAGGGAGCCCTGGCTCTTCTCTCTACATTTGGACTATTCAGATATTGAGCACATGATTCTCATATTAGGAAAATCTCATTTGTTAGGAGTTTGTGGTGCCATAGACAGGATCTATTTATAAAAAAGAGGATTTGCTAGGCAAATGAACACTGTAATCAAGATTTCAGTAAAAAAGCTTAAATGTTCCTAGAAGAGTAGTTGTCAAGCCTGCAGAAGGCTCTGGAAGCACCATGGGACTATAAGCATCGATTACACAGATTGTCATAAAACTCAAATGCATCCTGGTCAGTTGAATAAGTGCTAATGAAAGTAAACATTGGGGAGCCTGGGTGACTCAGTCATTTAAATGTCCGACTTCCACTCAGGTCATGATCTTGTGGTTTGTGAGTTTGAGCCCCACATCAGGCTTTGCATTGACAGTGTGGAGCCTCCTCAGGATTCTTTCTCTCTCTCCTCTCTCACTGCTCCTCTCCAACTTGTGCTCTCTCTCTCTCTCTCTCAAAATAAATAAACTTAGGGCGCCTGGGTGGCTCAGTCGGTTGAGCATCTGACTTCAGCTCAGATCCTGAACTCACTGTTTGTGGGCTCGGGCCCCGCGTCGGGCTCTGTGCTGACAGCCAGGTCAGAGCCTGGAGTCTGTTTCAGATTCTGTGTCTCCCTCTCTCTCTGACCCTCCCCTGCTCATGCTGTCTCTCTCTCTCTCTTTCTCTCTCTCTCTCAGAAAGAAATAAAACATTAAAAAAAATTTAATGAAAAATAAACTTAAAAAAAGAATTAAAAGGAATCAAACCCTCTGTGAAAACCAGCAATTTCTAATACAATGAATGGTCTAACACAGGCTTATTTTCTTCCTCTTGGCAGATCAAGTACAAAGCTCACGTGAAGAAGACGAGAAATGACTACAAGTTGGTCACTGACACTCCAGTCTATGTGCAGGCTGTCAAAAGTGGGAAACAACTAAGTGATGTAGGTGCATGGGAAGTAGTGTGGGCAGTAATAAAGATGGGCCACTCAAGCAGAAGTGGCAAAAAAAAAAAAAAAGAAAGAAAGAAAAGAAAAAAGGTGGCCTTTTCTAACTGGGAGATCAGAGTTAGTGCCTTAGAAAGTACCTACAGTTCTGCTCTTGTTCTCTAAAACCGGATGTGTTCAATCAGTTCCCAGGGGGCAGTTGTAAGGGATCTAAATCTACTAAATACTTGGTGTGTTAGGGTGTCCCAAATTGCTTTTTGTATCCTTGTGTCAAGAGCAACAGCTCTGTCTCTCCGTGTAAGCCTTCTGATAAGTTAGAGCTAACGACACCAGAGTGAGGAGGGAGCAAACTCTGAAGTCAGAGGTATGGACAGTTGCTCCCACACATCCTCCACCAGGCTTGGGAAAAGCCCTGATCCCTCTGAGCCTCGGCCTTCTTATGTGTACACTGCGTACGTTGTATCCATTATGGTGGACACAGAGCAGGCTGCTCTTTTTTTAATTTTTAACTAATTCTGCAGGTTAGTAAGTAAGTGTTAAATCCCACCAGTGAATCAGAATGTTAAAACCTATTCTTTTGACTACCTCACACCTGTCAGAATGGCTAAAATTGACACCTCAGGCAACAACAGATGTTGGCAAGGATGTGGAGAAAGGGGAACACTTCTGCACTGCTGGTGGGAATGCAAACTGGTGCAGCCACTTTGGAAAACAGTATGGAAGTTCCTCAAAAAATTAAAAATAGAGCTACCCTACGAGTCAGCAATTGCACTACTAGGTATTTATCCAAAGGATACAGGAGCGCTGATTCGAAGGAGCACATGCACCCCAATGTTAATAGCAGTGCTATTAACCATAGCCAAATTTTGGAAAGAGCCCAAGTGTTTATCAACTAATGAATGGATAAAGAATATGTGGTATATATATATACAATGGAATATGACTCAATGATCAAAAACACTGATATCTTGCCATTTGCAACACTGTAGATGGCACTAGAATGTATTCTAAACAAAATATGACAGAGAAAGATAAATATTAAATGATTTCACTCATGTGGGATTTAAGAAACAAAACAGAAGAACATAGGGGAAGGGAAGCAAAAATAAGATAAAAACAGAGAGAGGCAAGCCATAAAAGAGTCTTAAATACAGATAACAAACTGAGGGTTGCTAGAGGGGAAGATAGGCTAGGATACAGTCCTCTAGGCAAAGGGAAGCAGGCTGCCTTTTTCATTTTTTAAGGGAGACTTGGGTTTCCATTCCATTCTTTCCAGCAATGCTGCTGCAGTCTGAATCAACTGACCCCTCTCCTCTCTGCACACAGGCTGTTTACCACCATGACTATGTGCACAGTGTCAGAGGCAAAGTGGCTCCAACTACGAAAACTGTGGATCTGGATCGGGCCCTTCATGCACACAAGCTCCAGAGTGAGGTGAGCAGTTAGAACCCAATACAGGGCCCAGCAGAAGTCCACCATGCAGCCTAAAGAGCCAGGCCACTGGCCTCTGTAGAAGCCACCTGGGCTTGGGCATGCATATCAGCCTGGCCTTGTCAATTATAAATGGTGTTCCATTCACATGAGTTAAAAAACAAAACAAAGAGAAAACCAAAAGAGTACATAGTATGTCTTTCTCTTGGCTGGCAAGGCTTATATCAAGCAAGCAATGGGCACTTTTTGGAGCAATATTTACAAGATACAATGAAGAAAGCCAACTTACCATCTCTGCCTCAAAAGACTTAAAACCAAGATGATGAAGACAAGGCACATAATCATAAAAGACTTCACATAAGAAGAGCTAGAGCTAGAAATTACTGTTGGAATTCAGAAGAGAAAGAAATTGGATTCCATTCACATATTTAACATCCCTATTCTGAGTTTCCTGGTGATGCTACTTTGGTCTCACCCTTTAATGTTACTCTCCTGTATTTAATGTTAAAAGTAATTTAGTTTTTAATATTTCAAGTACTATTCCTACTCCTGTAGCTCCCTTTAAAGACACTTATTTGTTTGTTTATTTGTTTACAGTTTTTTTTATTGAGAGAGAAAGAGAGAGCAAGCGAGCACATGCAGAGTAGAGGGATAGAGGAGCAGAAGGAGAGAGAAAGAGAATCTCAAGCAAGCTCCACACTCAGAGTGGAGCCTGATGTGGGGCTCAATTACACAACCCTAGGATCATGACCTAGGCCAAAATCAAGAGTAGGATGCTCAAGTGACTGAGCCACCCAGGTGCCCCAAGACAGACTATTTAAAAGGTGACAGTCAGAAACTCCTTTCCTTTTTCTGCTAGGAATAGGAGTATCTTGACCTCTTCACAGCCTGACATCAAAACACCATGATTATGTGGGGTATAGGATTCTAAAGATGTGTCTTATGATTATGACTGTCTCAGGGATTGGGGGTGATATGAATAGCATCTAAGGGGAGGGTTAATGACAGAGGCGGCACTGACTGCCTGTTTTCTCTACTTTCCCATTTTCTTGCTGGATACAATGCAACTCTTGGGGCATGAGTTCAAAAACAGAAGAATTATTTTCTATAAGCCCCTTCACTCATCACTCTTCTTTTCAAAAGCAAGAGTTTAGAGTAACCTAATTCATTGCCTGACTCTTAGAACAGACGTAATTTCTTCCTGAAATCAGTTTGGTGATCAAAAGAACCTTAAGTATCTAGTTGAAAACCTAATGTGAGCTGCATGTAACTTGTTTAAATTAGATCAGTTATTTGATGTAGGTGTCATTTACCTACTCTTCCTCATTCCGCAGAGTCTGTACCGTGGAGCTGGCCGGCGCTCCCTGCCTACCGGATACAGGCTTCCGGTGGACACCACTCACTTCAAACACATCAAGGATACCCGATACATGAGCAGTTATGTGAGTGGTCTCCTCATTAAGATGGAGTCTGAAGTGGGAGGGGGGCACTAATATTTATTAATAGCCTACCTAATGTCCCCAGTCACACTCTGAAGGTTCAGTGTGATATAATGATGGGACTAGAGGATGTGTTTTCTAGGGGTGCTATGGAATTGGCTTGCTCCTGCTTTAGCAGTATCTGTAACCCAGTGGGTTAGCATAGGGCTTTTGTGGGGTTGCATCTGCATGATTCAGTTACTTTGGCTCATGGTTTATGGCTGTCAGGATGCCTCTACTTCTGTTGGCTTTAGCGCAGAAGAATCCTGAACCATTCCAAGCCAATACCAGAAATGGAACTTCATACATGTACTGGTGATGTCTGGCAATAGCATTACCTTCAAGATACAACATCACTGTGTATTCCTTTGAAAAAGAAAGGACCCTTGCCTAGTTGCTGGTTCTGATACTTGCCTCACTGCTTACCTTCTGTGCTCACTTAAAAGAAAGCTCAGAGGGGTAAATAGGCTCTCACCACTTGTAGCTTGCCCAGATGTCACTGACACTAACCTTCCCTGGATTTAAAAAGTTCCACATTGGAATGTGATGCACTTACCCTATGGCAAAATCTAGCTATGTCTGTCACTCTGGTCCACAGACCATACACACAAACCAGCTATCAGTTGAAGAATAAGCTGTCTCTTCCATGTTGCCCTTTAGAGTCCTGGGAATCAAATCTGCTGGTCAGGCAGAGTCCAATAGCCAGGGGCCCCAAAATATGGTTTCCAAAGCAGAGTCACAGACTGAATCATCTAACATGTCATTTTTTAAATCAGGCTATAAAGCCATTCATCAGTCTTAAAAGTAGTCTCTTATGTCTTCTTTGCATTTTCTAATTTCCTAGCTGTACTAGGGCTAAAAGTAGAGGGTTTTTGTTCTATTTTTCATATCTGCCAATAAACAGATTTATCTAGGCAACACTGGATTTTATTCCTTTCTGGACCTGGCTTTATTAGCAAACAAAATAATTTTCAAGATCCAAATTACTATTGAAATTTTGTTAATGACTTTTCCTTATACTTAATGCTTAGAGAGTAACTTTAAATGAAAGTGACAGCTCTTTGCTATTCGAGAAGTATAAAGTTACTCTTGGCTTACCTATCTGTGAACTCATTCTGACTTTGCTTTTGCAGTTCAAGTACAAAGAAGTTTATGAACACATCAAGGCAAATGGATATACACTTGGCCCTAACGACGTTCCATTTGTCCATGTCCGGAGGGTCAACAATGTTACCAGTGAGGTACTGTGAATGCGGATTCTGTGGGGAAAAGACTGAGTTTCAAAGTGGCTTTGTTTGAAATGCATTAAGAGAATGCATTTTAGCCAGAAATTTACCCATCAGCAAGGAGTAAGAGGATCCTTTCAGTTACCATTTTGATACTGGTGTCCATTGGCAACAATTTTATATATTTGGTAATGCCATTGTAGAGATCCAATTCATAGATTATAATGCAAATCAATTCCATTTTTGACTTTTATATATGAAAAACTTTAATAAATGTGCATTTGAGTCTGACTCATGACCCTGGTTTTCTACATAAATGATTGATTTGTGTATCTGTTCCTATCCAATCATCTGATAGAATGTGGCAGACTTGGTGCTCAAAATTCTTCACCTAAATAAAATAAATACCATTTTCTCTTTTTTTCCTAATCTCCATCACTTTTTGTATCCTTACTCACCCCCTCATGGCTCTTCATGTAAAATAATTGGTTGTTGATTAGTTAATAGATTCCCTCATCTTCTTACACTAAATAACTGGGATGGTTTTTCCTCCAATGCAGAGATTGTATCGACATTTATACCATAAACTGAAAGACAAGATTCATACAACTCCTGACACACCGGAGATCCGCCAAGTCAAGAAGACACAAGAGGCTGTTAGTGAGGTGGGTATTTTCCTAGGAGAGAGGAAAGGCTGTGGAACCCAGGGAGGAATGTCAACCATTTGGTCTCTGATATGTGTCTTTCTGGGTATTTTTTTCTTTAGCTTATCTACAAGTCAGACTTCTTCAGGATGCAAGGCCACATGATCTCCCTGCCATACACACCCCAAGTGATCCATTGCCGCTACGTGGGAGACATCACCAGTGATGTAAGCATCTCCTGGGGATCTTTCTGACAGGCTCTTACCAAGAGACTGTCTGCATTTAAGCCAACCACTGGTCTTTGAACAGCCTTCTGCACTGAATGAGTGTACAACTTGGAGGTGAAATTGTATGGAAGTAGGACCATGCTTTTCTCCAGCTATGCAAACAGTAGTAAGAGGACCATGTGACAGTGACAAAGATTGCTGACCACCATTCTGCATTCAACACTGAACCGTTACCAGCTCCTCACTCTACATGACCTAGATCCTAGGTCCTGTTTATATTACCTTTCTCCTGCTCATCCCCACTCTCACCCTTTTTAGCAACTTTCTTCTACCATTCTTTTTCTCCTCTAATGTTTCCTTCTCCTAAAAGACCACTCCATTCAGTCTATGCTTTTCTCCCATCAATATAATAATAGCATAATACTCTGTTCTCTCCTCAGGTCAGGATTAGAGATTAAATTTTAAAACTTGTGATTCACTTGGGTACAAGCAAACTAAGAATACAGGGTGGATGTGTTCAACCAAACTGAAAGACCTATCAATATAAGTGTCACTACTCTATCACCTTTGTTCCTGGTTTACATTTACTCACAGGCAGCTATATTTCTGTTTCTGTGACACAGATTAAATATAAAGAGGACTTGCAGATCCTCAGGGGACTGGGCTGCTTCCTGTATGACACTCCCGACATGGTCCGCTCCAGGCACCTGCGCAAGCTCTGGGTGAGTGCACGTCTTCACGGCACACGGCCACCCCTGCACAGTCTCCATATACCTCATCACCATCCTCAAGGTCCTAGACAGAATCTTTGCCTACAGCTACTTTTAAGGGTAAATTTACCATTAACCAACTTGAACAAGTCATGACCCACTTAAGATGCCATGTGCCTCTGTAGGATGAACTCCATTAAATGGCACTTGTCTTTGTTCCTGCCTGGGAAGACATCCAGGACACATAGAAGGTCTCACGTTGCACATACCAGCCATTTGAGAGATAGTTATATGACCATGACATGCAGTTTCTTAAATGACTGATTAACTTTCATTTCCATTGTCTTTTTTTTAAGTCTAATTACCTGTACACTGATAAGGCAAGGAAGATGCGAGACAAGTACAAAGTGGTGCTTGACACTCCAGAATACAGAAAAGTACAGGAACTGAAGACACATCTGAGTGAGGTAAGGAACTTGAACCTGTCACTGCAAGTGACTTCTTCTCGTGACTGTTTTTCAAGCAACTCCACTAGGCAAAAAAAATCTCCCCTCTGCCTTTAATTGCAGAGTGGCCACCATGTCTAAGCAAGTCATTTGACCTCATTTTGCCTCAATTAACTTATTTTGTCCCCTTTTGATGAGGCTATCTATACTTAACTACCTATGACTAGGGCTGCTGAGAGTTCACATGGTTTTATAAATTAGAAAGGCCTTCTGTCTTATGCTATTGTTGCAGTCTCCAAACTGAATTTATTTCAAAACTATCTCTTTAATCCCAGCTATCAGAAACCCTAATCATGGCACTGCCATTGGAAAAGTCTTAAATGGCTCCCTGCTCTGCTGCCCACAACAAATTCTAAACTACTGCTTTGTTTCATTTTCAGTTGGCACTGAGGCTTCTGATTTATTATAACCAATTGTGTATAGATATCTCATGCTCTCACCTGCACACTTGGTTCAGTGAGTGCTGAACCCTATCTTATTTTGTTGTGTATCCCATAGTGCCTTGCTGCCAGTGACTAAATGTGCTTTGTAAAGATCAGGGCATTCTACAAATGTAAATGGCTTTTCTTATTATAGATGACTTGGCCATTCTCATTCAACTTTCAGTTTGTTTTGTGGTCTCATTAGACTTCAGCGAGCTAAGCCACATGGTAGTGGTCATGCCACTTCATTGACCCCATTGTCAATAGTTCTGATGACTGCTAATTAGGAATCACTTATGCTCTTAGACTTAGAGATGTCCTGGCGAACCAAATGTTGCCCTCAGTGGAGGGGATGTGCAGCTTCCTACGCTCCTAGTGAGCTAGAGGCAGAGGGTGATTAGTTCTTTAGTTATACAGATGCTACACTGAGTGCATTTGCTTTCCTGAAAGCTTACCTGTGTTACCTCACCCAGCACTAGCACTTTTCCAGGAATGTCTCAGAGAAGCTGTGCTTCTCTGTCCTGGCTTGAGTATCAGCATCACCTGGGAAATATTTTTAAACTACTCTTGAGCACGCTCCAATTAATTCCTCGGCCTCACACCAGACTTTCTGATTGTCTATGTCTGGACATCTGCATGCTTTTAGCTGCTCCAGAATGATTCTAACATGCCGTCAGTGTTGGAAAACTTTGCTTTAATGTGTCACATCTGTCCTCCAGTTACCACATAATAAAACATAGTTTGGTAACTTAAAGTGCTTATTGGTATATCTTTGAAATACCTTTATTTCTCTTGGCTGTTTGGATTCAGAATTATCTAAAACTTTAATTTTTCCTTTTCCTAATTCCTATTGGGATTTTCTGCATCTTGTGCATCAACACTGAAAGAGAAGAGCAGATGTTCTGCAGTGGTTAATTTCCTCCCATACTTGCCTCACCAGAAGAATGATGGGGCCATGATAAAATAATGATCCTCCACTTCTATTTTTTAAAGAGTTTGAGAAGGATAGATATTAATTCTTTGAATGTCTGGTAGAATTCATCAGTGAAGCCTTTTGATCTTGGATTTTTGTTAGTTGGGAGGTTTTTGACTATTGATTCAATATCCTTACTAGTAATTGGTCCCTTTAGATTTTCTATTTTATCATGATTCAGTGTTGGTAGGTTGTATGCTTCTAGGAATTTATCCATTTTTTCTAGATTGTCCAATCTGTTAGCATAAAATTATTTATAGTAGTCTCCTTTATACTTTATATTTCTATGATATCAGTTATAACATCTGGTCTTTCATTTCTGATTTTGAGTTCTCTTTTTCTTGGTGAGTCTAGCTAAATGTTTGTCAATTTTTTTTTATCTTTTCAAAGAACCAGCTCTTTCATTGATCTTTTCTATTGTTTAGTTTCTGCTGACAAATATGATACTCTTACGGATATTCCATTGTATGTAACAAGCTGTTTTTCTCTTGCTGCTTATCTTTAACTTTTGACATTTTAATTATCAGGTGTCTTGGTATGGATTTCTTTGGGTTCTTCTAATTTGGAGCTCTCTGGGTTTCCTTGATCTTGATGTCTGTTTTCTTCTCCAGGTTAGGGAGGTTGTCAGCTATTATTTTTTCAAATAAGATTTCTGTCCCTTTCTCTCTTCTTATGGAAGCCCTATGATACAATGGCTAGTCCATTTGGTGCTATCCCACAATTCCCTAAGGCTGTCTCACTTTTTTTTTTTCTTCATTGTTTTCTCTTTTTGCTGCTCTGATTAGGTAAACTCCACTGCCTTGTCTGTGAATTGACATATTCTTTCTTCTGCTTTATCTAATCTGCTGTCGAACCCCTCTGGAATATTTTTCAGTTCAGTTATTGTATTTTTCAGCTCTGTGACTTCTGTTTGATACTTTCTTATATTTTCCATCTTTTTGTTGACATTCTCACTGTGTTCATTCATTATTCTTTCCAATTTGGTGAGCATCTTTATGGCTGTTAATTTAAACTTTTTGTCAGGTAAATTATTTCCATTTTGTTTTTAGTTTTGCTCTTTCATTTGAAGCATATTTCTCAATTTCTTCATTTTGTTCAATTCTCTGTGTTAATTTCTATACAATAAATGAAGCAACCACCTTTCCCACTCTTTAAGGAGTGGCTTCCATGCTAGAGGTGAAACTTGTTGTTCAGTCTTGTTTCATTTCTTGGCTATCTCTCAAATCTTCATGCTTGTGCAAGTAGCCGATTGTATTTTCAATAGCTCCCAGTAGTTGAGGATGTACTGAGGCCACCCAGTGTCCCAAAGGGAAAGATCTTAGCATTTATATTCAGGCTGACTGGAAGCCAGACCCCCTGGCATCAGCTTTTAAATGTTTGCAAATATATACAATCCCAAGAGACTACAAGCATAAATCCTGTTGGCCACCAGAGCCAGACAATCTAGAGTTGTTCCCTGGCTGGTAGTCATAGAAATTGGGACTCCAGACCAGTATATACATATTTTTCTAGATGAAACCAATAAGCTGGATCAAGGCAAAGGTAGAGAACCAAGATGGCATCCACAACCTATGTTCCTTGTTATTAGCAGCTCTACTAAATGTGTGTCAAACCTAAGGCCAATCCCTCAAGCCAAGGATTCAGGATAAGCAAAGAGGCCTCCTTCATAGAAAGACTGGGAGTATGTCTCAGTCTGTGGAGTGCCTTTGGGGTGGTAGCTTACCAAGAACTGTCTTTCCAATTGTCATAGTCCTGTGGGACCCAGGAATACAAGCCCCCTAGGCTACTAGTGCTAGGCAATCAAAGGGTATCCCTTGGTTGGCAGCTGCAAAAACCAGGCCCCAGATGTATAAAAAGTTTCCCTCCAGGAGATGCTGGTGCTCTGAAGCACAGTGGAGGGTGATAGATAGTACATGCCCTCTAAGATCTCTCAAAAGGATTGTAGTCAGCCCCAAGATACATTTTTTTTTTAATTTTTTTTTTTTTACAAATAGTTTATTGTCAAATTAGTTTCTACATAACACTCAGTGCTCATCCCCAAAGTGCCCTCCTTCATGCCCATCCCCCCCTCCCCCCCACATCCATCAGTCCTCAGTTTTTGTCAGCATTCAAGAGTCTCTCATGGTTTGCCTCTCTCCCTTTCCCCCACCATTTCCGCCCTTCTTCTCCCCCTTGTTCCTCCGTCAAGTTCCTCCTAATCCTCCTATACGTGCAAACATATGATATTTGTCCTTCTCTGCCTGACTTATTTCGCTCAGCATAACACCCTCAAGGTCCATCCATGTTGCTACACATGGCCAGATTTCATTGTTTCTCATTGCCATGTAGTATTCCATGGTATAGATAAACCACATCTTCTTGATCCATTCATCTGTTGATGGACACTTAGGCTCTTTCCATGTTTTAGCTATTGTGGAGAGTGCTGCTATGAACATTGGGGTCCATGTGCTCCTATGCCTCAGCATTTCTGTATCCCTTGGGTAAATTCCTAGCAGTGCTGTTGCTGGGTCCTAGGGGAGTTCTATTGTTAGTTTCCTGAGGAACCTCCACACTGTTTTCCAGAGGGGCTGTACCAGTTTACATTCCCACCAACAGTGCAGGAGGGTGCCCGATTCTCCACATCCTCGCCAGCATCTAGAGTTCTCTGATTTGCTCATTTTAGCCACTCTGACTGGCGTGAGGTGGTATCTCAGTGTGGTTTTGATTTGTAGTTCCCTGATGAGGAGGGATGCTGAGCATCGTTTCATGTGTCTGTTGGCCACCCAAGATACATTTTTAGTTAGAAGCCTGCCCCTCAAGCTATAGTCTTGATGATTAGCTAACAAGTCTTTGCAAAAAGACTGAGCTCCTGGGTCTGTTTTCTTTTGCTGTGCCTGAGGATGGTAGCTGTTTAAGAACTCTTTCCCTACTGATTACTGTCCTGTGGGATGCACAAGAGTAGGTCCTACCAGCCACTAGACCTAGATTGTATAGAGGTGTCTCCTGGCTGCAGGTGCAAAAATTGGACTCCCAAACGGGCTATGAGTGGGTGACCCTGCTTATAACAGTCCCATGAGACCAGAAACACAAGTTCCCCTGACCTTCAGAGCAAAGTGACCAAGAGGTGTCCTGAAAGTGGTAGCCACAAATAGTGGAATGAATGAAATCTTGTCATTTGCAACAACTTGAATGGACCTCAAGGGCATTATGCTAAGTGAAATAAGTCAGATAGAGAAAAACAAATACCATATGACCTTTCTTATATGTGGAATCTAATACACACACACACACACACACACACACAGTAGTCACCATAGGTGGGGAGAAGTGAGTGAGAGAAATTTAGTTTAAATAAACTGAATTTTTAAGAAAATACTGATCCAAAAAAAAAAGAAAAAAGAAAAAATACTGATCCAAGCCAGTATTCTGGATTTGGAAAGTCTTTGGTAGAACCTATAAATCTGTTTTAAGAAGGACTTTGGGATTTAAAAAAAAAAAAATTTTAATGTTTTATTTATTTCTGAGAGAGAGAGAGACAGTGTGAGAAGAGGAGGGTCAGAGAGAGGGAGGCACAGGATCTGAAGCAGGCTCCAGGCTCTAAGCTAGCTGTCAGCACAGAGCCCAATGCAGGGCTCAAACCCATGAACCATGAGATCATGACCTGACCCGAAGTTGGACACTTAACCAACTGACCCACCCAGGCACCCCAGGACTTTGGGATTTTTTAGGATCAGGAAAGTTTCAAAAACAATGAGTAAAAAGTTTGGTGGCAAAAGGAAGTTCCAGTTCTTGGCTTTTGAATGGTCTTTGAGTTGTATAGATTCTTGACTTTTATTGTAGTACTAGGAAGCAGAGATGTTGTCCCAAGAAGTATGAACAATACATACCAAGTATAGGGGAAATACAGCAAAAAGAAAATTATGGAATTGACATGGGAATTTTAGTCCCAGATTTACTTCCTAGTTTGCCTTATTATATTAAATTCTCTCAACATTTATCAGAGGACTACTATCTTTCAGATCTTTCATCCAAGCACAAGGTGATAAAAGAATGATAGAGCTGAGCCCCTGCATTCCATAGGCTCATAATGTGTGAAAAGAAACAAACATCAATATGATAAATGGTATCCTATAGGGATAATCAAGACAGTATGTACTCTAGGAGCTTTTCAGGCAGATGAGAGGGGAAAAAACATTCTAAGCAGAAAAGGCAGTATATGGAAATGGCCATCATGAGTTCTTGAAGTTGGAAATAGTTTCAAATAGTGTGGAAGAATGTGAGGAAAAGAGACTGGAAACATAGGATAGAAGCCAGCTCATGAAGACTCCAGGGAACTATCTTAATATTGGACTTGTGAAAAATCATTGAAGAATTACTTATGAGCATTAATAAAATCTTCTCAGGTTTGTGAAAGATGAATGAGCCATATGGAGTGGTCCAGTGGAGGACCTAAGAAGGTGTTTTAGGAGGCTCTTGAAGATGTGTAGAGAAGAAATGATAAAGGAGACTGAACTAGGGCAGTGGCTGTGAGAAAGGAGAAATTGGATCAGACTCAAAGGCTATCACAAAGTTAGGAGCCCAGGATTCATGACTCTTTATTCTGAGAATAAGGGAGAAGTCTAAGATGACTTCCCAACCTTCTGGCCTACATGACTAAGAGATCAAGGAACCATTTCCCAAAGTAGAGAAAATAGATGAAGAAGCAGATTTGGGATGGAGATGATAATATAAAGAAAGATACATGGAACATGGTAAGTTTAGGACATTGTTGAAAATTTGGATCTGGCTCAGGAGAAACCCTAGATATATAGATTTGGAAATCCTCAGTCTCAAGTTGATGATTGACGTCATAGGTACAAATGAGGTTACACAAGGAGATGTGTAGGGTGAAAGAGGCCAACCCTGACTCCAGCTAGTGGCAGCTAGGGCAGCACCATAGAAGGAAGCCAAGGAGTGCCTAGAAAGATGGGAGGCCACTCAGAATGCTGGAATGGGAGGCAGAGAAGAACACTTTCAGGAAAGAAATTGCTGAACAGTTTTAGTTGCTACAGAGAATTGTTTCTGTATTTGGCAGTTGTAGTTTTTGGTCATCCTAATAAGAATGACTTCATTGGTGTGGTTGGGTGCAAGCCAAACTGTTTCCCTGAGAAATTAATCAAAAGAGAGAAAAAGAAGAAATACATAGTAGGCTCGGCTGTGAAAAGCAGAAACAAGGTCGTCAGTACAGATTGGAAAAGGCTTAGTGAAGGGAGGAACTAGAATTTGTTAGCAGATGAAGGGGAGGGCTCGAGGAACAGGAAGGTTGGAGGTGTAGAGGGGAAGGATATAATTAATTGCTGGCACGGTCTTCTAGAATGGGACAGGTGAGCACAGGACCAAAAACACAGGAGGCTTGAATCTTGAGCAGGTTTATAGAATGTCTCTTATTTTGATACAAGAGAAAAATGAAAGAAGGACTAGGGAGGTAAATAAATGATTGGTTTATTGGGCAGAAGCTGAGTTTGTTGCAATGGGACAGGCCCTGATTTCTTTATGAAGTAGGCAGTAAAAGCATCTCTCAGCAGAGAACATAAAGTGTCAATGAAGCAGAAATAATGGTAATGACTGTTTTATGTCCAGCTGGTGTACAGAGCTGCAGGCAAAAAGCAGAAGTCTATCTTCACCTCAGTTCCTGATACGCCTGATCTTTTAAGAGCGAAGCGGGGGCAGAAGCTTCAGAGTCAGGTGAGATTCATAAACCTATAGCACCAGCCTCACAGGGGGTGTTTTGTGGGGCTGACCACTCCAGGTCAGTGATAGACCCTCACACTTGATTGTCCTTGATAAAACCTTATGGCCCTTAACTTCAAGAAGTAGTTTTCTTTTGGGCCATCATAACTGTGGTTGTGTGTTACATAAACAAGTAATCCCATGTCTACTTTTCTAAGTTGTATATAACTTTTGTTATTGGATGAGTGATCTGTGGGCTAAACTGCTTGCTTCATTTAATAGGACCTATCTGATGTTCATGACAAATGAAACCACAGTTTATGCATTCAGATGAAAATGGGAAAGAGTGTGTTGAGGGCTCTGTCAGAACCTTCTCGTTCTTCCATTGGCATTCTTTATCACAGAGATTTAGACTGGGCCACACCCAACAGGAAGGGTATTTGGTAACTAGCATGTTGTATACGTGTTTCCAAATGTGAAAGACAGAAATAAAGGAACAGAAATACGTATGATAAATGAAAAACCAGGACAAGAAGAAGTAGACATGGCCCTCCCATTTAGAGGGTAGAAATGAATGAAAATGACTGGAAACTAAATAATAAATGTTTTATCTCTATCACATCTGATCTCTGTTCTCTGATTAGTATCTATATGTTGAACTTGCCACCAAAGAAAGACCGCATCATCACGCTGGAAACCAGACCAAAGCCTTGAAGCACACTAAAGACGTAAAGGACATGGTCAGTGAGGTAAGTCAGGAATTTGGCACCAGCATACACTGGGCTAAAAAAAAGTGTTAAAGCCTTCCCTTTCTGCCTCTGATCAGAGAACTCATTTCTGTAATTGTGCTCAGCAGCATTAAAACACAAAATATACAGTTATTCTCTTATCGAGCCAGATACAGCATGGTTTCTAGGCTGGATCTGTGATGTGGTTATGAATTGGGAAGGATGAAAACACTTGAACTTACATTTGTCTCTTTCTTCCATCTCTATTTCTTAGAAAAAGTACAAAATTCAATATGAAAAGATGAAGGACAAGTACACCCCTGTTCCAGATACGCCAATCCTCATCAGAGCCAAGAAGGCCTATTGGAATGCCAGTGATGTATGCATCCTTTTCTTCTTTCTTCTGTTATGACAGTCAAGGTTGCCGTACCTAAGAAACAGAGGATATTACAGTCATCCATACTTCAAAGACCTGGCCCACAACATGGGTCATGAGAACAACACTGAAACCACAAAAGGGCATAAATAGTATCAGCCAGGCACAGTAGTTAAGAATAATGCTGAGAGATGCTAAAAGCCTGTCGTTCTTCTCCTTGCCCTTCTGGACAAAGCCGTGACCCTTTCTTATAATTCTCTGTTGGCATTCGCCAGGGATACTTGGCAACTAATTGTTACTTATCCATAGAGTCATGGTCTTGGCATCAGCCAAACACAGTTTCAAATCCTATTGCTGTCACTTGCTCTCTGTATGATTCTATATAATTTACTTAATTTCTCTGAGACTGTGTTTTCTTATATGTGAAATAAGGATAAGAACTCTGATAATTAAATTAGACAAAACAAGATAAAATATGTAACATTCCTGGCACAGTGCTGGGCTCTTAGTTGACACTCAGAAAATGTTTGTTCCCTTTCTTTTCTTGACCACCTAAGTCATGAGAATGACACAGTTGTTAGAATAGGAGGAACAGATTTTCATTTCCCATAATACATGATCAAGGACATAACTGGCTTTTAATGGTAATGAGATTACCTGTTAATAAAGATAGGAAGTTAATCAACTCAAGGTAGGTAACCAGTTCTTATCAGTTTTGTATCTCAGAGCCCACCTGCAAATGCATTGCACCCATTACCAGAACCAGAATCCTGGAGGAGTGGCCATATTGGGACATTAACTTGGGCAAAAGCTCAAGCAGCTCTATAAGCCCTCAATTTAAGAATATTGCTCTAGGATTTCAAGGCATCTTAAAATCATTACAGTCTAAACAGAAATGTGAAAGGATTCAGCAAATTGTAACAATATATCAGTTCATTTAGAGCTGAAAGAAGTTTGCTAGCCGGACTAGTCCCTTGGCTCCCGACCCTTTGGGATTCTTCAGGTCCCACCTCTGGTGTACAGAACCAATGGCTTGATAAATAGGCTGAGCACCTAGTGCCGGTGTCTTCTAAAACATCCAAGGTAATTAGCATGCTCTTCACTAAATATAAAATGCCCATAGAAGTGGCCTAGGTGCTGCTCAATCCTGAGGCATACCAACATACCAGGGCACCTGGCTTTACGCTCTAGGGGTCCAGGGGCAGAACATTTTGCTTAAAATATAAGCTAAGAAAGTCATATCTGTCCTCAAAATCTATCCCATAAGGTATTTTTAGTCTTCGTGTGACATCCTCATCTTTATCACTTCAATGTTACTGTTGAATATTAATTTGAACCAAGCCTACTCTACATCACCACTCTCTGGGAGTGGTCGCACAGTGAAATTGGCCCCTGGGGCTCATTATGCCTCAATGGATAGCCCCACCCATGCTCATAACTCTAACCTTTAAAGTAGTCCAGTGTAATCAGGGTTGTATCTGCCATTGAGTTTGGCTTATGTATAGGTGGCTATCCTCACAAGTGGAGCCAAGCAATTTTTTTTTTTTCTTAAATAGTTTATTGTAGAGCTAAGCAATTTTATGAGATCTGGAAACTAAAGTTACAGTGTCAGGAGAAAAGACATCTTTAATGATGTATTTTTTCAGCTACCCAAAAAGAAAATACTTATTTGAGGTTGAAAACAGACTACTCAGAGAAGTACCCATCTTGTGTAAATAGGATGAATCTTGTGTGATATTCTTAGGTTAAAGTCAGAGATGTTGTCTCTTGAGATACCACAAAAATGAAGATGACAAAATAAAATTTTAAGACTGCCTCATGGAGAAGGCATTTTAATACTAAGAGAAACTAAATCTTTCTCCTGTTTCCATGTACATTAGTAAGTCTTGGGCTCAGCAAGACTGTTTGCATTTTTCCTCCTCCCAGTTAGCTTGTTTGTTTGTTTCAGATTTAAACAAACTTATTAAGTAGTTTCAGATTTACAGAAAAGTTGCAATGATGTACAGAGAGTTCCTATATACCCTACATCCATTTTCTCCCTTGTTAATGCCTTACATTACCATCGTAGAGTTGTCACAACCAGTGAATTCATATTGATATATTATCATTAACTAAACTCTGTATTCTATTCAGGTTTCACTAGTTTTTTCCCCGATGTCCTTTTTCTCTTCCAGGATGCGAAAATGAGCTTTTTTATCTCTCCTGAATTTATTCAAGAGAGAAGACTCAAGAGACTTCAAGCTTAAAAGAACTCAATTATTTAAATTGGTAGTTTTTTTTTTTTTTTACAATCTGTGTGCTTTTTCTCTTTCCAGCTACGCTACAAAGAAACATTTCAAAAGACCAAAGGAAGATACCACACTGTGAAGGATGCTCTGGACATTGTGTATCATCGCAAAGTCACAGATGACATTAGTAAAGTATGTCCCTACATATTTCTACTTGAGTTGGGCTTAATAATCTACCATCTTTTTTTTTTTTTTTTGGTTTGTTTAAGTACTCTCCCTTTCTTAAAACTCTCAAGAGAAAAGTAGACTTGTTTTACATTAAAGTCGGGTAAGACTTTATAGCTGTCTTTGTGCCTTTACCCTAGGTGAAATACAAGGAGAACTACATGAGTCAGTTGGGGATCTGGATGTCCATTCCTGATCGCCCAGAGCATTTCCACCATCGGGCAGTTACTGATGCAGTCAGTGATGTGAGTTTTAAAGTCTTCTGTTTTTACATATAAATTCATATTCCCATGTGATTTATAAAATTAAACACTGAATAAAAATTGAACACTTGGCTGGATTTTAGATCGTCTATATGGATGTTTAAATCCTAAATCTCATTGCTAAATAACTGAACTTTAATGTAGGAGAGAGAAATATATATTCAAATTTATAAACCTAGATGCATGATATCATATTACGTGACTGGGAGTGATATACTTCATTTAAGATTTAGCCTATTTTTGATCATTTGATGAGACAACTTCATGAAGCAATGAAGACACATAACAATGCTCATTTAGAAAGAAATTTCAGCTCTCTATATGAAAATACAACTGCTGAGATAATATACTTTCTAGGAAAATATGCCTACTGAATTTGAACTGCTTTAATTAGTATTAAAAAATAAAATCTCCATATAGAACAATACACCATAAAATGAGGAGAAATCAGTATTAGTAGAAACTTCTGTTAAATAATTGCCTTAGTACTTTAATATTCTTTATATGTCAGTAGTCAGAGCTACTATTGGTCCTCATGTATTGATTCTAACTTACTACTTTTGGAGACAGGTTCATAAAATTCTTTGATGATGTTCTTCTCCCAGGTAAAATATAAAGAAGATCTGACCTGGCTTAAGGGCATTGGTTGCTATGCCTATGATACCCCTGACTTCACTCTGGCTGAAAAGAACAAAACTCTCTACAGCAAGGTATATCCACTCAAGGATAAGAGCCACCTGTGTTTAACATATTCCAGTGCCCACAGAGAGAATTGGTACTGAAGAAATAACTTTTCATATGTCCATCCCTGCCCTTATTTCTAGACCCTATAGTTAGAGTGCATACTGAATTGTTCACTCTGCTTAGGAAGTTTCTTAGTACTGACTTCACTGACTCTAGTCATCATTTATTTATATCATTTATTTGAATTTGATAAAAAGTCATCCCAGTATAATTCCTCATGGCCCTTCCAAAACTCCCTCCCTATTACTGTGTCTCTGAGTGACTTACCTTGTTAAAATTGATATGGTAGGAAATATAAAGTGGGATTATTTTAATCTACAAATTTGATGTGTGACTTGAGGCAAATAACTTGGTTTTTATGTCCTCATTTTCTTATTTACAAAATAAAGCAGGTGGACTAGCTTCCTTTGAATTCTAAAATAAGAGTCAACAATTTTTTCTGAAAAGTGCCAGATAGTAAATACTTTAGATGTTGTGGACTACATTCTGTCACATAGTCTTTGTTACAATCCCCCAAAATTGTAAAAAAAAAAACAAAAAAAACCCCAAAAAAACCCACAAAAACGTTTTTAGTTCATGGGGTCATTTCAAAACATTTTTAGTTCATGGGGCCATTTCAAAACAGATGGTTAGCTCAACTCTGCTTTAAAGTATTATGATTATCTGATTAATTACTGGGAAATTATTTCAAATTAGTGGATTAAAAATGCCTTCAAGTTTACATGGAGTAAAACAAAATAAAATAATATTCATTATACTCTATAGAAACAAAGAAGAAACTGATTTGTGTTTTTGCCTAGAATGGAAGATAGATCTAGTTGCCATCCATTCAATAAAGTATGTATTGTGGGGCTAGTGTTTAGGGTATTCATGCGGGTATACTCTTCATTGCCTTAGGAGACAAAGTAAGTGTTCAGTAATTGCTTATTAGCCTCCATTGAATAAATTGTCTCAGTTGTATGATAAATTACGTGTCTTATTCTTAAGGTAATCACAGTCTATCAAGTAATCCTGTTCTGTTTTCTCTAGTATAAGTATAAAGAAGTGTTTGAAAGGACAAAGTCAAATTTCAAGTATGTCGCAGATTGTCCAATCAATAAGCATTTCAAGTACGCAACTCAGTTGATGAATGAGGTACGTATGACGTTTTCCAGTTAAGCCTATTCAGTTCCTTTAAGAAGTATAGTTATTTGATTAAAACCCAATACATAAAATGACAGGAAAGTTTAATTTAAATGTTTAGATGTTGATTCAAGATAAAGATTTGGACTCTTATAATGTCACCATCTGATGGGCTCTGCCAAAAGCAGAGTGAAAAAACTGTCCAGCGAATAAAAAAAGTGAAGGGACTGTCCAGAGTGGTGTAAGGGTCCCACAGCCATCATTGCCTCTCTTTCCACTAGCATAGGGCAGCACAGCCCTTTAGGTGACAAGAGGAAGGAGGTCAAGGATTTTGTTCACTATCACCTCAACTCCCTTAAACATGGTATTGCGTAAGGGTGGGAAATCCAGAAGTTCAAAGTTCACTTGGGGTCCCTTACCAAGGCACAGAAATGGCAGTGGTTAGAATAGCTACCCCTAAAGGGATAGTTGTGATTCATGTATTCAAATGTACTGCCATTTGTTATTCATACATTGGTGCAGAGAAGTATCCATTTGCATCCAAAATATTACTTTATATTCTGCCCAATCTTTTCTGGAACTGTTGTAGCAATAATTTAAATTTATCTTAAAATGGCCAAAGTGAGCAAACTATGAATTAAATTATGTTTGGATGGCTTTATGTTTAATTTCCTACCTTTAGATTTTCCACAGATTTATATAATTTATTTTCTAATAAGTAGAATGTATCTAAAAATGAAAATGTAGTCAATAATATGTTTATTTCAATATATTAATCTTTTGTTAATTTCATTATTTTAAAATTTGATATTGTTGATTTTCAGTAGATTTCCAGGCAGGATAACTGAAGAATTACTGTCAGTAGCTTCCTAGGAAGACAGTCTTAATATATTTTATTTCTGTTTTTATAGTTTGCAAAGGATTTCCAAGGTCTCTTTTATAATCAAATTCACTACCTTTAGAAGACTGGTAGAATTTGCCCATGAATATGCTTTTTTGATTCTCACAGCCTTAAATAGTAAACCTGTAGCTCATCAGTGCCTTGTTTCAGATGCCATAAAACAACATTGCTAATGGCATCATATTTAAAGATGGAAGATAGTCATGCACAAGGTAGTCCAATTTTGGTGTCATCAGTCAGGTCTATCCAAAGCCCCGGCCTTCTCCAGGTGATCTTCACTTGACTCTATTTGCCTTCATGTTGTTACTACCCTGCTTGCCGTGGGAGCCCACCTCTTAAATGACCTATTCCTGGCTCTCTGGAGTGTCTATCTTGGGACATTTCTGTGTAACCTTGAAGTTCTACTCTTGCTATAATTTGATATGATGTTTGAGCAGAAAAAATACAGAGCTGATTATGAGCAGCGGAAAGATAAATACCACCTGGTAGTCGATGAGCCTAGACATCTTCTGGCTAAGATCGCAGGCGACCAGATAAGTCAGGTACTGTGATGGGGCTGGCTGGACAGCCCAGGAAGGACTGTGCTCCCGATTTCTCATGAGATGTCGTTCTGTCTGCTGCAAGGATGTCATAGGTTCTGCCTATGATATTGGGATGTTCTGTTTCAAATATCTGTCTAGCCACCCAAAGAGCCCATGAGCTATTTGAGTGTGCCAGTCCATGCTCTGTGTCCTCAAATATTCTGTGGTGAAGATAAAAAGGAAAGCTGGGTCTCTCCCCTCCTTTATTTTTCTGGAGTGTCTAATTGTAAACTGCCATTGTAAACTGCAAATTGAGTTGCAAAAGCAAAAACAAAGACAAAAACTCATGGAAGGAAAGAAGACAGAACACCGTAGTGGGTTTTTCTACCCCAGTGATGTATTCTTTCCTATAAGGCAATGCTGATGGGACGAGCTATATTATCTCCCATTCACAAGGACTGAGGATGCTCAGTTGCAAGGATTGCAGTTGTACTTGGCACTACGATGTGTGTAGTGTCTTCACCCACATGTATATTTGAGCACATAAAGTGTGTGTGCCTACATCTCTTCACTCAGAAGTGATTGGGATATAGAGCCATGTTCTTTTCTGTCTTCATAAGTCTCTTCTGTGCTTCACTGCTCTTTGCATGAACAGAGAAAATATAAATCTAGTGCCAAGATGCTTCTGAAACAAGGATGTAATGAAATTCTGCGTCCAGATATGTTGACTGCCCTCTACAACACACACATGTGGAGCCAGGTAATGTCTGATATGATGTGAAGAAGGGATTGAGAGGCCTTGAGGGCATTCACTTTTATGCTTTCCTTGATTTCCTTCCCCCTGCTCTCTGCCCAAACTGGTTTCACATGACCTAGCTGCATAAATATTCCTTCCTTATAAATGAACTCTGGCTGTGGCCAAGTGTGGTGACACAGCAGCCAGCATCTGTAAGTCATCTTAACTCCTAGTAGGATTAACTGAGACTTTTTCAAACTTTATTTCCAAATTGGTATAACATTAATTTCAATTTTTTAATATTTGCCCCAGGAAATGGATTCCTTATGGAGTAAGGATATTAAGTAGGTTCAGTGGTTTCTAAAATATCTGAATAATGTTTTCATCTGGTATCTGTTGTTCGGTGATCACTACAACAGTACCATTTGGAAGCGATGAAGACCGCAGTGCCACTCTCTGAATCTTGTACATATTTATGGCCTCGAGTTTGATGCTAATTTGCTAGGTTATTTCCAACATGTCTGTCCTCACACACATGTGTTAGCGATGTTTCTGGTGCCATTGCCTCCCCACAAGGTCAGTTGAAGCACACATCACCACTTTTCCATCACATGCTGAAAGGTACATGTGAAGCAGCAAAAAAACAAAAAAACAAAAAACAAAAAAAAGACAAACAAACAAAAAAAAATGAAAAACAACAACAACAAAAAAACCCCACCACAGTAATAATTGCTTAACTACCAGATATAATGTTAGTAAAATCCCATTGTTCCCACACACAAAAAGTTATTAACCTTTTGTATTAGAAACCCATTTTATCACTTAAGTTGGGCACCAAATCAATACATGAGATGAAGGGGATGAGGTCTCCATAGAAAATCCTGTTTGCCTGAACTTGCTCCTTTATCCTGCCTGATATGATTAGCACATAGTTGTGCATGAAATTTTGTTGTGCTCTCTGTATCTGTACTGCTTTAAACAGCTTGTGTGCATGAAAAAACTCATGACTTGGAAATTACAAAAATTAGTGTCTTTGTGAAAATGATAAATACTATATACCATATATACTCATTTTTTATTTTATATCTGTTTCACCTTTGACATGGATACATGCCTTAAGACATTCTGCATATTTGATGCAGCATAGTGTAAGTGAATCATTACCTGTCAGAGTCCAGAGAACAAGAGTGTGGCTCTGGCTCTGAGATTCATTCTGTATATGTCCCTTAGTTCAGTGTTTTAACCTCTCTGCTCCTGAGTTTCCACATGTATGCAAATACAGAAAATATCACTTATTATTTGCTACTCCATTACACCATCACCATCAAATATGGACTTGTATTAAACATTTCTGTTAGGATTAAAAGAGAAAGTATGACCCCATGCCCCACATTCCCCACACGTGTGGCTTATGTAATAATCCTACTATTTGCTGTGGGACTCTCTCAAGAAAATTAGATTCCCAAAACCTCTTGATTCTCCCTCAAGTTAACTTGTTCTTCTCTTCTACACTTTAGATCAAGTACAGGAAAAACTATGAAAAATCAAAGGACAAATTTACCTCAATTGTGGATACTCCCGAACACCTCCGTACTACCAAAGTCAACAAACAAATTAGTGATGTAAGTACAAGAAACACTGAGTGGATTCTCAAGGTCAGGGAGCATTTGCAGATATGGAGAGACATTTTTGACTGTCAAAAGGTCTGGAAGATTCTACCACTATTTAGTGGGAGGGAGACGGGGATGTTAAATGCCCTGGTATGCTTACAACTCTTCTTTTGTAATAAAGAATTATTCCAACTAAATTGGCAGACACACCATTTTAGAGGCAATGGACCTTTAGCAGAAAGCATGAAATTGCCTATTGAGTTTATAGAATTGCCTTTCCTTTGTGTACACTAAAAAATACCAAAAAAATTGTATCTATATTTTACAGTACGTTATATTGTAAATTGAGGTGTACCATATTGTCTCCTTCTGCTTTTACTTCTTCAGATACTTTATAAATTGGAATACAACAAGGCCAAACCCAGAGGCTACACCACAATCCATGACACACCCATGTTGCTGCATGTCCGGAAAGTCAAAGATGAAGTCAGTGATGTAAGTACAAGAATGGCTTTGTAGCCTTTCTTATCTTGGGCTCTTTCTAACATGTTATATAACAAACCCTTTTTCAGTTATCCATTCCTGTGTAGCAATCGACCTAAAACTTAGTGGCTCGAAACAAAAATCATCCTTTTTTGCTCATGATCCTTTTTTTAAAAAATATTTTTTAATGTTTGTTTATTTTTGAGAGACAGAGTGTGAGTGGGGGAGGGGCAGAGAGGGAGAGGGAGACACAGAATCTGAAGCAGGGTCCAGGCTCTGAGCTATCAGCGCAGAGCCCGACATGGGGCTCAAACTCATGAATGGTGAGACCATGAGCTGAGCCAAAGCTGGATGCTTAACTGAATGAGCCACCCAGGTGCCCCTTTTTGCTCATGATTCTTTGAACTAACTGGGCACAGATGAGGAGATCCTCTATGTCTTGTATTGTTGGCAGGCAACTGAAGCCTAGGTGGGCCAGGACATCCAGGATGGGTCACTCACTGAGGATGGCTCTAGGCTAAGGGCTGGACTATTATATAGACAGGAACCTCTGTTTGGGTCCTTTCTATATGGTTTATATGTGTCAAAGCACAGTAGAAGGGTTCTAAGAGGCTGGAATAGAAACTTCCAGATCAGTTAAGGGCTACGCTTAGAAGTGACAGAGTCACTTTTGCCATATTTTGGTAGGCACAGTGCATATCCAGATTCAAGGGATGAAGAGATAAGTGCCACCTTGGATGAACAAATAGCAAGGTCACATTGCAGAGAAGCATGGAGCGGGGGGGGGGGGGGGAGGGGTTGTGGCATTATTGAGGCCATTTTGAAAAATGCAGTATGCCATAAACACTATTAATATTCTGTAAGCTTTGTCTTGACCCAGAAGAACAAGGCAGCCATTAAATTCTCATACTCTGAATTTGAGGAAGAATTATATTAATAAATTTTCAGATATGTGGCTAGATTTTGTGGTTGAAAACTATCTCCATTTTGGTTTAAAAAAATAGATTAAAAACTTTAAAGAATTCCATGTGGGCATCAGAAAGAATAGTAAAGGCAACTGTAGAATAGCTCATCCCCCCCCCCCCCCCCCCCCCCCCCCCGCCAAAACCATGACTATGGCTAGTGCGCAGGAATTCTTTGGTACATAAATAAATGTGTTCACACTATTGATCTGGAATTGCCATGAAAAATGTTAAATACATCCAGTGCACTGTTGATAAAGGCAGAAATGTATAAAACATTTTTAAAATGTTTTCATATTTTTATGTGAAAATAAGTTTTGGCACTTCAAACATGAACATCACTGGTTCATAAACATCTATCAGATCCCTTATGTGGAACAGTCCATTCCCCCTCACTGCAGAAAAGCAAAGCATTTCTGTATCCATTCCCCCAAACTGTCTGATTATAATAATAACTGGAGATACAAAAAATATTGATTTCCAGGCCTTTCCCCTATAAGTACTGATTTACTAGGTCTATGGCAAAGTGGTAGACAATTGTGATTTATATGATTACACTACGGGGCTTCCTTAGAACAGGTTTACTTCACACTTAACACTATAACCTAAAATCCTCTGCAACAAGTAGTGGGAAGGCCCGGATGGTACCCCAGAGCCTGTATTTAAGAGTAGCAGAAGTGGGTGAAGCTAGAAACGCCAGGCCCAGGATAGGCAAAGTACCTGTTAAGCCCACAGAGGCTAAGCTTTCCCATTCTCTCTCTCCCATCCAAACCCACACACGCCCCAACTTGCTAGATGTGGCCCTGGCAATGATGGTCGTGGATGGTACCCATCAGTTCCTTCATTTGTCAAAAACTGATTGGTACACAATCTTTGTCCTCAAGGGGTTCAACTTAATGGAAGAAGAGACTGATAAGTACATAATTACAACATGATAAAGTAACAGCCAGAAGTGTGGGGGCATAGACAGAGGGCAAGACTAACAACATCTGGGTAAGCTAGTGGGTGGAAGTTTCTCTTCCATCAGCAGTTTTCAAGATGTTCTGAACTCAGGATTTTCTGATTTGGGGAAGGGAAAACACACATGGCCCTTTCAGCCAAGCTTAGGGGACATATATCCTATGGTGGTGACACTGGTGAGCATACTCCGTGTGTTCTGGGGAGCTGGTTTTAAGATCTGATACAGGGGTGCCTGGGTGGCTCAGCTGGTTGGGCAGCCAACTTTGGCTCAGGTCATGATCTCACAGTTTGTGAGTTCAAGCCCTGCGTCGGGCTCTGTGCTAACAGCTCAGAGCCTGGAACTTGCTTCAGATTCTGCATCTCCTCCTCCCTCTGCCCTTCCCCTGCTCACACTCTGTCTCTCAAAAATAAGTAAACATTTAAAAATAAATTAAGATCTGATACAGGAAAGTGCATGACTGCTTCTTTCTTTACAACAGATTTATTCTGTCTTAGGAAGCATTATTATAGTCATGGTAATTTATTGTTGTTGTTGTTGTTGTTGTTTAATGCTCAGTAGGCCACTTTAAAAATTAATCTTGTCACTGTGTTTCCTCCCACAGCTGAAATACAAAGAAGTTTACCAAAGAAATAAATCCAACTGCACCATTGTGCCAGATGCTGTTCATATCAAAGCAGCCAAGGATGCCTACAAGGTCAACACCAATGTAAGTTCCAGAAACTTCCCTAAGTCTAATGGGGGATTTATCAGCTCCTGCAGGACACATGACCTCCTTTTACATGTCTTCAGGTGTTTGAACTGTAATAAGTCTGGATCAAGAGTTAGGCCCCAGGAGCAAGACTAATGATGCTGGATTCTAAATGCTGCCTTTGGCTCTCACAAAGGAGAATGGGGAAGAGCAAAGGGGGCCTACCCCCATACCACAGCGGCACACCCCTCAGCCTGTGTGCCAGGTGGCTGAGAAATAGAAGACTTAATTCTGAAATGAAGGTTGCACTTTGGAAAGTGTTTCAGCTTTCATTTTTCATTCCCCCCACTCTCTGTGTCCTCCTCCTGCCCTGAATCCTAGAACCTGCTTCTTCTGGAAAACGCACCCACACACATGTGCACACACACATACACCGTTTTAGTCACTTGAGGCTGTCAGAAGTTGGCCTAGGCCTTTCTACTGCTCAGATCTCCCTGCATGGACTTGAATCGTGTGTGTGTGTGTGTGTGTGTGTGTGTGTGTGTGTGTGTGTGTGTGGTGGGACGTCTTTTTTTTAATAGTTTTTATTTATTTTTGAGACAGAGAGAGACAGAGCATGAGTGGGGGAGGGGCAGGTAGAGAGAGGGAGACACAGAATCTGAAACAGGCTCCAGGCTCTGAGCTGCCAGCACAGAACCTGATGCGGGGCTCGAACCCACAAACCGTGAGATCATGACCTGAGCCGAAGTCGGACATTTAACCGACTGAGCCACCCAGGCACCCCTGTGGTGGGACATCTTAAAGCCTCAACCACAGAAACATTTTTGTGCATTTAGATGAGTATTGACTTTTAAAAGATACATAGATAGTTAAGTAATGAAACCACAATTCAATGCCCACTAGTGCCAGAGGGAACATATATTTATCAGGGTCAGCAGACATCTTTGGGGGCTGGCAGGTAGCTTACAGGTGTCCCAAGGATGGACTGAGGGATGGGTAGCAGGATGGATGTGTGAAAAAGCAAATGCAGTAAAAGGTACACTGTAGAATCCAGGCATGTATGGGTAGATGTGTGTTCTCTAATATTCTTGCAGCCCTGTTGTATATTTGAAAAATTTCACAATAACATGGGGGGGAAACTCATTGAATAGTATCAAAAGCATGCAGATTATTTTATGCAAAAAATATACCTTGACAAAAAAGAGGGAGAAAGAGTAAGGAAAGAAATGTACCTGACAGTGAAGGCTCTTCCAAGGACAAATTAAATTATGTAGCACCTCTACCTCAGATCTGGCCCCAGGCAGCCAGCTGCCCAGCTCAGGTGAAAGTCTAGCAAGTGTGCAAGCCAGTCTCTGTGGGTTTGAGTCCCAGCTCTGCCGGTTACTAGCTGCCTTCTCTTGGGCAGTTTGTTTAGCCCTCTTGAGAGTTCCCCAGCTGTCAATTTCATGTGGTTGTCATGCAGATTAAAATGAGTTAATAGTTATGAAGCACTTAGAAAAGTGCCTGGCATGAGATCAATACTATAAGCTTAATAATTGAAAAGACTATTAAGCTGAAGTTCAGCTAGAAGTTAACAGTACTTGACTCTGAAGATGATAAAGCTGCACTGGCAGAGTTAGCGGAATGGTAGGATTAGTTCACCTGGAGGCCTTTACAATTTTTAGCCCCTATTGTGAGACCAAATGGTCCCACAAGATGACCTTTAAAATGGCTGACTAGTTGCGTCAATTGTACAGAAATGTTCACTGGGGCTCTCTCTTGCATAAAGAACTGTGATTTGTTGTGTGTTGAAATGTAAGCGGAGTCCCTCTGTGCCACGTGCAGTTATGAATTCAGCCCAGTGACCAAAATGATTGCTTTCTGTCTTGTTATAAACAGCTGGACTACAAGAAACTGTATGAGGCCAACAAAGCCCACTGGAGGTGGACCCCCGACCGACCAGATTTCCTCCAGGCGGCAAAGTCATCCCTGCAGCAGAGCGATGTGAGATGGGAGAGGGAGTCGGGCTGTAGGACACACCTGAGACAGAAAAATGAAAAACTACTCATAATAACCACTGTTCCGGGTGACACCCTAGCTCACTTGAGATCCAGTCAGGATGGGGGCAGGGAGAGTGGGAGGCGTGGGCGGCAAGTGCAGGAGGCAGAGGCGGCAAGGAGCCTGGTCTCCCACAGGCGGGGTTGGGAACTGGGGTGAGCAGGCTGGGAGGGCTTGGTCCTGGCCACAGGGCTGGAGAGGGGGAGCCCAGCATGCGGTGAGGGGCCAGGAAACCTCTGCCCCCCCCTTCTGGTAGCACGTCCTCATAGTACCCTTCACAGAAGGATCCTTTACAAATGTAATCAAATGCCTCCTTCTTCCTCTGCCTTTCTTCTGTTTCAGTTTGAATATAAGCTGGACCGAGAGTTCCTCAGGGGTTGCAAGCTCTCTGTCACTGATGATAAAGACACGGTCCTGGCCCTGAGGAATTCTTTAATAGAAAGTGACGTAAGTATCCTGTGCCTTCCGTGATGGCTAACCTCACTCAGGGCCGTCCTCTGTGGCACAGTCCCCGGTGACACCCAAGGAACGACAGAGGAGGCTGCTGGTGTAGGAGCTCAGGCGTGAGTCCTGAAATGCGACCCTGCCCCCTGAACACCAGCGACAGGGCAGAGCGGGGCCTCAGCAGGGGGAACCATTAAATCTAGGCGTCCGTTCTTGTTCTATGCTGCACCACAGATAATTCGCACAGCAAGAGTGGGGAACTGAAGTTCTGGCTGGATTCTATGTGGAAACATGCGCTTTTGTGTAGGCATATTCTTCCTATGCTGCTGTTTCCTCGTCTATAAAGGAGAAACGGTGATGCCTCCCAGGATTCGGAGGCAGATCAAATGACATATTTGAAAGTGCTTTGAAGTAAGGTGAGGTGCATAAAGAAAGTTTCATCATGAGGTCCATTTTGATTGTTATCAAAGGCTCATCTTGCAAGAGAGAAAGAACATCGCTTGTGTACCTTTCCCAAGGTTCCCACACATCAAATCCTTTACTGAGTTTAATGTTCATCCTACGTCCGTGGTGCTGTTTTTCCAGCTCTATCTAGTGACTTGGGGACCGAATAAATATATACAGGACTCCCAGAGGAACTAAAGACTTATTCTTTTTCACCCCTATGTAGCTGAAATACAAAGAGAAACATGTCAAGGAAAGAGGAACCTGCCATGCTGTGCCTGACACTCCTCAGATCCTCCTGGCAAAGATCGTCAGCAATCTGGTGTCTGAGGTAATCCTCTAGCAACCATATGCTCTGCTCTGGTCTTGGGCTAATGCCCTAGGCAGACACCCTAACAAGCTCTCTGTGGATTCCCTCAGAACAAGTACAAGGACCATGTCAAGAAGCACTTGGCCCAGGGCTCGTACACAACACTGCCAGAAACCAGGGACACTATTCATGTCAAGGAAGTGACCAAGCATGTCAGTGATGTAAGTGACCAGCCCCACGACTCTCGGCAGCAGCAATGCCGCTTGACCGTAGAATCCAGGGAAATCTGACACAAGATTTCCTGTATGTCGCTTCACCCTTACCATCGATGCCCATTTGTGAATTTTCAATTCTGCTTCAAAGGACTTGATATTTATTAGGTTTCCAATTATGGCAACTATAGGAAATGTGGGCTTTGCCACGGGGCGTGTTATCTGCAGTATAAGATGTTAGTAACCTAGCGTTAATAAAAGGCGGAAGCGTTGCTGATTAAGAGTGGCCTCTCCTGTCGTTACACTGCTAAACAATTGTAGAGAAATAAATCACTACTTTGTATCTCCATCATCTCTGCCCACTTTGTCCTTATCAATGATGCTTTAATAATCATGGTATTATATTTTGATGAGCCCCAAATGGTTCCTCAGTGTATTTTTCAAAGATAGAAATGGTAAATGAAAAAGCTTAATTGACTTGTAGTCAGCCCCCCGAAGATTGCCGTGTATTTCAAGTGTTAGGTTCCAGGATGGAAGTGACCAGGAAGAGCTAGAGTATGGATCAGAGATCCAGGTTCCACACTGATGCCAAAATGGCAAGCCATTGATTTTCCTAGAGATCTCCTCACAGTTCTTCAAGTAAATCTGTTCTGTTCCCAGACTCCTCTGCTCACACAAGTAATTCTGGCTCTATTTAGACAAATTACAAAAAGAAGTTTGTCAAGGAGAAAGGGAAATCCAACTACTCCATCATGCTGGAGCCACCAGAGGTGAAACATGCTATGGAAGTGGCCAAGAAGCAGAGTAATGTAAGTTCCCCCCTCTCCACACTCTCAGGGGTCCTGTTGAGCCAGGGGATCCCAAATTGGAGCATGCTGGACTGTTTCCAGTGAGTGGTATCCCTACTTTCTCTGGTAGTTTAAAAAATGCAGTAGCTCAAAAGAATTGGTTTGGTTTTCATAAAAAGTTTCCTTGCGCTTAATGAGGATTTTCTCAAAGGTAGCATATCTCCCAAGTGAGAGAAAACACTCTTTTCTCTCCAAACAAAGGTTGCTTACAAAAAAGATGCCAAAGAAAACCTGCATTACACCACAGTGGCCGATCGGCCAGATATCAAGAAAGCCACGCAGGCAGCCAAACAGGCCAGCGAGGTAAGCGTGTGGTTAAAATGTACCTGCTTCCCAAAGGTCACCAACTAGTACAAGGCACCCACCCCCTAGAATGTATCACCCATTTTGGTTTTCTTGGATTCAGGTGGAGTACAGAGCCAAGCACCGCAAGGAAGGCAGCCACGGGTTAAGCATGCTTGGTCGCCCAGACATTGAAATGGCCAAGAAGGCAGCCAAGCTGAGCAGCCAGGTAATACATACGGGCAAGTGGCAGCTCTCATGTGAGAAACCTGTGGGAAGAAGCTATTCCCGGGATGAAAGTGCAATAATAGCAACAAAAGAGATCCTGTCTTTGATAGCAGTGCTGAGCTTGGCAAAGTTGTGTCATGAAGGTGTACCAAGGACCTTCTCTCTCATTTCTGTCGAACATCTTCAGGCCTTTCTCATTCTCCACTTTCCCATTTATGGGTGTGTCTAGATGCTTGTGTGCTTAACTATCTTCATGGAAGAAAAACATCAGTTATGAGGGCCTACTGGCACCTCTTCTCAGGTAGTAAGATTACATCCCAAGTGTTGGATTCATACTTGAGTCAACTGTGGGAACTTAATAGGCAAGAGTCATGAAATTCCGACTTCTAGAACCCAACCAGATGCAGGCACCTTTATTCTTTAATTCAGCATCCATATATGCATGACTGGGCTCAGAACCGGGGGATGAACAGATGAACATAACTATTAGCTCTGCTCTTCTTTACTCTTCCAAGGGCCCTAGTCTGGATAATAAGTTATGTGATCACTTTATATATAACATGTTCTTTGTATTTATATTTCCTCATTTCTTTGTTTTCAAATTAATTGATGTTCAGAAATAATTTGGAGTTTTGCATTTCCTGTTAGGTTAAATACCGAGAAAATTTCAACAAAGAGAAGGGCAAAACACCAAAATACAATCCAAAAGACAGCCAGCTCTACAAAGTCATGAAAGATGCTAACAATCTCGCAAGTGAGGTATGTGGGTTTTTAAAATTGTGGTAAAATATATAACATGAAATTTGCCATTTTTTATCTTTGTGGGGTGCCTCTCTGGCTCAGTCAGAAGAGTATATGACCTTGGATCTCAGGGTTGTGAGTTTGAGCCCCATGTTGGGTGTAGAGATTACTTAAATAAATAGCATGTACAATTGCGTGGCATTGACTGTATTCACAGTGTTGCCCACCCACCACCATTATTTCCATCGCCCCAAACAGAAATTCTACAACCATTAAGAAATCATTCTCCATTCCTCTCTCTCCCCAAGCCCCTGGGTAGTCTTTATAATCTCTTTTCTGTCTCTATGAATTTGCCTATTAGAGAATTTTATGTAAGTGGAATCATACAATATTTGTCTTTCTTTGTCTGGCTTATTTCACTCAGCATAATGTTCTCAAGGTTCCTCCATGTCATAGCATTTGTCAGAGTTGCATTTCTTCTTATGACTACATAACGATCCTATTGTATGTATACACCACAGTTTACTTCTCCGTCTGTTGATGGACTCTTGAATTGTTTCCACTGTTTAGCTACTGTGAACGAGGTGTGTGATTTTCATCACCATTTGTTTCAGGATATGGGATATCTTAGCATGGCTTCCATTAGTACTGGTTTCCATTTCTTATTTATGTGATTTCTTTCTTCCCCCTTGACATGCAGGTTAAATATAAGGCTGACCTGAAGAAACTTCACAAACCTGTGACTGATATGAAGGAATCTCTGATAATGAATCACGTCCTGAATACAAGCCAGCTTGCCAGTTCTGTAAGCTCAGTCATTTCCCACAGCAACAGCGTGTTTCACCCATTTGTGGCTGAATTCCTTTGCTGAGCTCACACACATCTCCCTCTCTGCTCCTGAGATGCTAGATTTATTAGAAAACTCTTCTGTTGTTTGAATACATTCTTCCAAATTACACATTTGTCTATCCATTCTCCACTGACTGTAACATCCCTCAGAATATAAAAATACTTTTATTCTTTTGAGTATTCAAACTTTTTTATTTCCCAATTAACCAAGCCCTTCCCTCCTTCTAAGGACATAGAATTATGGTTTGGAACAATTTCTTTCACTTTTCACTTTTAAAGCCCACTTAAAATAAGCCATATGACCAAAGTGTTTACCATCCTGTGTGAACTGGTGGTACTGAACATGGATCTTCCTCCTCTAAAATGTTTTCATAACTGCCCACTTAATGTTTGCTGGTTTTAATTTGGTCTTGACGATGCTGAGTAAATGTCTAACCTAAAGAGGAAACACAGGAATGCTGAGCAGCTTTTCTCTCAATGTGCCTTTCTACCACCTTCCCCTCAGTACCAGTACAAGAAGAATTACGAGAAGAGTAAAGGCCACTACCACACGATACCGGATAATCTGGAGCAGCTCCATCTAAAGGAGGCCACAGAATTACAGAGTATAGTAAGTCAATCATGACCACCTTCTTCCCTGATGCCCATTCAGCCACAGTGTCAAAAATGTTTATGGAGTCCCCCTTAGAATGGTAGTTATAGTTTTAATAACCATTGCTGGAGAAAAATGCCCAAAGAGATGAGGGAGCTTGGAACTTAGTGGCATTTTGAAACAAAACTTTATGTTCTAAATAACAGCATTGACATGTATTGGAGACATAGTGCCTGTGTACGCAAAGTGTATTATTCAGGTTACTGACGGGGCTGGAAGTCTACAGAGTATGTCACAAGGGGGACAGACCCTCACACCAACCCCATTGTGCCCTCACGAGTTGCACCCCCACCTAGGAAGCCTTACAATGATGATAGAGAGCCTTAAGAGGATTTGGAGCAGAGAAGTGACATGAGCTGATAGACCATTGAAATGTCTGTGGGTATTTAAGAAATTGCAAAACTTGTAAAATAAAGATTCTCAAAAGAAAGGACTCAGAGAAGGAGTTTGCTGTCACATGACTTCCTATATCACAAATTATTTAGGTTAGCAATATTTAGGTTTCTTGTTGGGCATTCACAGAGAGGCCTAAATTACTGGAAGTGTCTTCATGTCATCTGTGAAGCAGCCGGCACCCCGGGCTTTCTATTTTCAGCAAGATTGCTGAGATTGAGCATGGCTGTTGAGAGGCTGTGTGAACAAGAGCCTCTGCCTCTCAGACTTTCAAGTTCTGAATATCTATGGGCTGCCCCCACTCCTAATCATGTGTGATGAGGATGAGGATGTTGTATTTGTAAAATAGCTCTGGGGGTCTTTTGTGAAGGTCAGATTTATTAATAAGTAAGTCAACATGGAAACTAGCTTTCATTTCCTATATGAACTTATATTGGTCACATTTAATATGTGACCAATTATGGCCTAGATCAGTTATTGACATATAAATAAAGTTGCATGTGTTATCTATCAAATCAAGACCCCAGGTCTCTGATAAAAGTCCTTATGAAAGAAAAACTGGAGATATTTCTCAGAAATATGGACAGATGCTATAGTTAAAATGTTCACATCTGCACATATCAGATCTTGTTCAGCCTTCATGGTCTGGGTGGCTTTCCCCATGCATCTCCTTCCTCAACATTTCTCTCAGCCGAGTATTCTGCAGGAATTCTTTTGTCTCCTTGAACTGAACATAAATCCTATTATGCCTTTCAGACAGTAATGGTGTTTTCGCCCAGACAATAACAAAAAGTTTCTAAATCTGAAACACGACAGGAACCTGTTTCGAGTGGCAATGAGGTGCCACTCAGGCGGACTAATGTATCAGTTAAAAACTATCCCTATGGGTTCCTGGGTGGCTCAGTTGGTTAATCGGCCGACTTCGCTTAGGTCATGATCTCACAGCTCGTGGGTTCAAGCCCTTGTTGGGCTCTGTGCTGACAGCTCAGAGCTCAGAGCCTGGGGCCTGCTTTGGGTTTTGTGTCTCCCTCTCTCTCTGCCCCTCCTCCCATTTGCACTCTGTCTCTCTCTCTCTCTAAACTGAAAAAAGAATTTTTTTTTTCAGATAAATAAATAAAAACTATCCCTAAACTGGCCTCTGTCTGTGAATTGATCAGAGGAGATATAGCTAATAAGGCTTTTCATCACTAGGTGAAATACAAAGAAAAGTATGAAAAGGAACGAGGAAAGCCCATGTTGGATTTCGAAACCCCAACGTACATCACTGCCAAAGAGTCTCAGCAGATGCAAAGTGGGGTAAGTCCTACAAAAACACACCACACAACAAACATACATCAAGCTGCTAAAAACAAACTCTGCCCTCACATGTGTCCAGCCTTCTGTTATCCAAAAGTTGTAGATGATGGAAATTTTATTAACATGTGGCCATAAAATTTTTCCATCTCAGAAATCTTATGATTCAGTAATAACAAATATTCTGAATTGTAAACATTCGCCTTATGTTTTATTTCAACTCTCATTTCCATAGCATTGGAGCAGAGCAACTATTCCTAACTCTGAAACAAATGATATTGAATGTAATATGAAGTTTTCTTTGACAAATGAGAGGTTCCCTCTGCACAGATCTGCCATTGGCTTCGGATTGCTCTTCTCTTACTAGGAAGCCCCAACCAAACAAAAGATTAGTGATCAAGATGTTTATCAAAACAGCAAAAGCCGAGATGCCATATTTTCTATTTTAGAAATGTAACCAGAAACATCTAAAAAATTTGTTTTTTTCCTTTTTAAGCAACAGCGGAGAAGAATGGAATCTTATTTTGAATGTTAGGAAGTCTTCATTGGGAAACAAACTTATTTTGGATTGCTTTTTACCTCTCCCTTATGGGACATATCACCAACTATAAAGATAAATCGTTGTTAATAAAGTAGCACATTGCAGAGATTTCTGGTATATAGAAGTTCAAATAAAAGTTTAACATAGTTTCCTACAATTAGTGAATCTGGGTAAAGGGTCTATGGGAGTTCCTTGTACTAGTCTTGTACCTTTTCTGTAAATTTAAAATTGTATCAAATTAAAAATTGTAAAAATGGAGTTCCAACGTTTATTCCAAGTCTTCTGGTGTGAATGCCTAGTCCACGGATTGGAGAGGAGACAGGTGGTTGTGACTCTTTCTCTCAACAGCTGACAAAACCTTAGGATTTCTCTGTGCCTTTATCTTCTCATAGATTACAAATAATAGGCCATGATTATGAAAAAGGCCAAATTTGCATTTGGTGCCCTCAGGCTCTTCTTCCTCTGCATTGTTATTTTCCCTTCACTTCAAGTTCAGAAGTAAAATCTTTTGTTGACTCAGGAGAGGTGACAATGGATGCAGAGTTTTGAGGGCACATATGACCTTCCCCTGTCCTGCCCTATTGTGAAGCAGTGGGTGGGGCAGTCCCGAGTCACGGAGTGTGACAAATGAACAGGGAGCCCAACAAGGCTTCTCAGCCATTGAGTCTCTTCGGGGTCATTTGCTGCAGACAAAAAATTTCCAGAATAATCAGACATATTTCAAATGTTTGACCTTTAGCAAAACTACAATCCAGTTAAAAGGCCATACACAGAAGGGCAATATTATAATTTTTTTTCTTCCTAGGTTTGAGAAATAAGTTGTGATACTCTTTTTTTTTTTTTTTTAATTTGTGTTCTTCCTACTCATATTAGAAAGAATATAGGAGGGATTATGAAGAGTCCATTAAAGGCAGAAACCTGACGGGCCTGGAGGTCACGCCAGCTTTATTACATGTCAAATACGCAACCAAAATAGCCAGCGAGGTAGTCCCCACTTGGTCTTTTCCTTCCTTCTTGATCCCAGTAATGCACTAATGACACTCATCAATATGTTCCTTCTACCATGTTCATCACCACCTAACTTTTGCGGTTTTCAAGTTGGGTTCACATGTGTCTGGTATTACCGCCTAATCTATTACCCACGTTAATTCTTCTCATTTTTTAATTGAATACCTAATAAAATATACTTACCTTAGCATCCTGTTAATGTCTAGTTTCTTATCTGATATTTAGTATTAACCAATGAAGCTTATACCCTGCCTTTATGCATATCTTTAATCACTAAACTGTAACTACCTAAAATTGGAAGGGTACTTTTTTTCTTTCTTTCTTTCTTTCTTTTTTTTTTTTTTTTTTTGGCTCTTTATTTAAGAGGAACGATCCAGGTTTTCTTGTCAGTGATGTTGCTTTTATTTTGTGATATAGAAAGAATACAGGAAAGATCTAGAGGAAAGCATCCGTGGGAAGGGCCTCAGTGAAATGGAAGACACACCTGACATGCTAAGAGCAAAGAACGCCACTCAAATCCTCAATGAGGTAGGCCCACAGCCAACTGCATGCATATAAGTAACAGACCATCTTCTTCCTCCAAGCCAAGTTACGCTGAGAAGGGAGGAGAGAAAAATTTCAGTTTTTGAATTTCAAATTACATAACCAACATGGTTATTAACCATTAAATAAAAGATATCAAGAAAGAAATTCAACTTTTGAATTTCAGATTACATAACCAACATGGTTACTAACCATTAAATAAAACATATCCCAATTTCTGATGAGTTGATACTACAATAGTTTGTACCTAGTGGCTATCATAATCTGCTATTTACCTATTTGATAGATAAATGGATGGATGGATAGATCTGTTTGACTTAACCATGATCCATTTGATGTGCTCATTTAAAATACCATATTGGAGTGTTGTGCACCTAAGTTCAAAACTAGTTATGTTGCAGACCAAATTCAAAATTTCCTTTATACTTTGGTTTTCTTTTTATTTATTTTTTAGAGATAGAGAGCAAACCCAAGTGTGGGAGGGGCAAAGGGAGAGGAAGACTGAGAGTCCCACGCAGGCTCCATGCTCAGCACAGAGCCCATCATGGGGTTTGATCTCATGTCTGTGAGACTATGACCTGAGCTGAAATCAAGAGTCAGAGGCTTAACTGACTGAGCCACCAGGTGTCTCTATACTTCGATTTTCTAAGGAGGGAGAGCTACAAGTGTTTAAAAGGAAGGCTTCCATGTTGACATGAGTACTATAGTTTCCTAAAATGGGCTTCTGCGGCCACTACTGCATCTGACCACAGGGAATGGTGATGGTGAACACTAGTAACAGAAGTGGTATATGTTAGGTGGATTTATACTCACTCTGTACATTTACTACCTAGTTGTGGAAGTTAGGTAACTTTTTTTGATGCTACTACAGAAAGAATATAAGAGAGACTTGGAGCTGGAAATCAAAGGAAGAGGCCTAAATGCCATGGCCAATGAAACTCCTGACTTCATGAGGGCCAGGAATGCTACTGATATTGCCAGTCAGGTATGTGTTACTATTTCATGTTAATCTTAAAAAAAAAAGTTGTGATTACAACAATACGGTATTGTCCTTCTATTAGCTTACTTGGTCAATAGGAGTCATATGTATATAGTGACATTTTTAAACATCTGCCTGGTGGAATTCATTCTAATATAAGAATCAGAACTCTTTGCCAGGCCTGCAAAGGGTTTGTCTGTCTTTCTGAGTCTACAACCACAGAAGACATTCAGAGCAAAGGGTAGAACTTGGGGAACATGGAGCTAGGGTAGATTCTGACATCCTGGTCATATTTCTTCATCAATATACCTCCCTCCCCCCCCCCCCCCCCCCCCCCCCCCACCTTTCAGCACCAAGAGTTCTTTGCTTAGACTATTTGGGGAGTTCTTTCTTTTCTTCCTTTCAAAAGCTAAATTTAAAGTGTAGTTGTTTTTAAAAATTTTTTTAATGTTTTTTATTTATTTCTGAGAGACAGTGTGGGCAGGGGAGGGTCAGAGAGAAAGGGAGACACAGAATCTGAAACTAGCTCCAGGCTCTTAGCTAGCCATCAGCACAGAGCCCAACACAGAGCTCGAACCCACGAACCGTGAGATCATGACCTGAGCCAAAGTCGGACGCTTAACAGACTGAGCCACCCAGGCACCCCTAAAGTGTAGTTTGTAAACATCCCACATTGTCTTTTGCTTATTTGTCCTGCTCCCAGCTCTTCTATATATAAACAGTCCATGCCTTGCTATGTGTTGATCATCTTGCTCCTTTCTGGTTACCTCTCCCCTACCCAGCCCCTGTGCTGAATTACATAGTAAGTCTTTGAACCTTTAGGACTCAACCTTTCTGAATCTCTCTCTTTCATACAAAGCTATAAAGACAATAGGAAAAAATATCGAATCTCGAATGAATCCTTTTGGAGAAGAAATATTGACCACCTCTAAATCAAACAAAACCAACAAACATGCACATTGTAAACATTTACCCAATTTTTGGGTGTTCTTTTGCAGATTAAGTATAAGCAATCAGCAGAAATGGAAAAAGCCAATTTCACTTCTGTGGTTGATACTCCGGAGATCATTCATGCCCAGCAAGTCAAGAACCTTTCAAGCCAGGTAAGGACATTCAGTGGAATACTCATAGACCCCGCTCATGAAGAACAAAAAAGTCTTTCCATGAATACTTAGTAGCCTCTTTCAAATCACAGTTTTGCCCAATAAGAGAATGGATTCAACTATGATGTAAGTTTGAGACAGAGTTGAGATTTCTGTACCCAAATTAGATTATGTGACGGAACTTTAAGGTACTGACAAACTCTTACATGGTACCATCTATGTTAATGAATCAGTATTTTAACATGTAAAATCTCCTATAATGTGGATGTAGAATTTATGTGCAAATCTGGAAAAAACAAAGTAGACAGTCCCTATCTGGTTTATCAACCTCCTTCACCAGATTGAAATATGTCGTCAACACCAACCATGTAATCCAACCCTGATTCTTCCCATGAGGGTTAACTCTCTTCCCAGAAACAGGAATGAGGGGAAGTAGAATGTCTTTTATACACCAGGATATACCCTCATTTGTTTTCATTTTCAGTGATATCAGGGATCTGAAGTTTGTTTAAGAAGCTCCAAGGTAGAATTTTTGCTTGTCTTCTGAGCAGTGAGTTCTAAAGCTGTGGTGACTGGGCAGTGCTTTATAAACACCTGGGAATGTAATTTTCCTGGTCCCACCCTGGAATTTTAAAGCTACTAAGCCTGATGTAGGCCCTGGAAATCTGTTTTTGTTTGTTTCTTTTCAATCTTCATGGGTGATCTCTCAATGGCCAACTGGATCAGGGGGATTATGGATTTAAATCCTATATTAGCAACATACAATTTTATATCATAAAATTAGCCATGAAAAAATCGTTATCACTAGAGAGTGGTTTAAGAAATAAACCTTTTGTTTCGGGGGTGGATGGGAAATCATTTTATTACCAAAATTATATGGGCCCCAAACTACCATATTGTGTTCATTGGGGGAGGCCAACATTCTTGAGGCCATCAGAGCCTTGCCAGCCATGTAACCTTGCACCTTTTGACACTGCTAATCTTTAAAGAAAACCCCAGAGTGCAGGCCTGTTCTAGGGAAGAATTAAGTGACTTAATCTGTTCTCCTGGGGCTTTCCTCTGCTGGCTCCTCAAGGCCTAAAATATGGTTACTTCCCCCCCAGTTTAAATTAGTATTTACCTTTGAGTGATGTAGTAGTGCTGGTGCTTTCTACAAAATGCTTCTTGGTTTCCAGTGAAAAGTATGTATTTTATAACTTCTAAATCTCATACTTGGGGGTTAATGCAAATAGTGTAAATGGACCTACAAATTCAGGATAATATACTAAATATATATTTTTTAATTTTAATGTTTATTTTTGAGAGAGAGAGACAGTGTGAGTAGGGGAGGGGTAGAAAGAGAGAGAGAGAGACTCAAAATCCGAAGCAGGCTCCAGGCTCTGAGCTGTCAGCACAGAGCCCAACTCAGGGCTTGAACCCATGAACTGTGAGATCATGACCAAGCTGAAGTCCGGCGCTCAGCCTACTGAGCCACCCAGTTGCCCTATATACCACATACTTCTTAATGCCAGGGGTCTGGGACTCCTGCCTCTCACAACACCCCCAAATTCCAACTACAAACTGATCACCCCTCTTAGTGACCAGCACTAGCTTGGACAAGCAGTTAAGGTAGCTTTTGCTTAATGTTAAGAAACTAAGAGGGAAAGAAAAGAGGTGCACCTGGGTGGCTCAGTTGGTTGAGTATCTGACCTCAGCTTAGGTCATGATCTCACGGTTTGTAGCTTCGAGCCCCACGTTGGACTCTGAGCTGATGGCTCAGAGCCTGGAGCCTGCTTCAGATTCTGTATCTCCCTCTCTCTCTGCCCCTCCCCAGCTCACTCACACTCTTTCTCAAAAAAGAATAAATGTTAAAAAAAAAAAAAAAAAGAAAGAAAGAAAAGGAGGACTGATTTTACCCCTTTCCCGGGAGGGAGAAAACACTTTGCCTTATATTTGCATATCTAAGAGAATTCTTTCAAGTGACTTTTTCCTCAACTGGGAATGTGATGAACTGTTCTTTCCTCCCAGAAATCTTTGGTTTAACAGCTCCCTGTTAAAAATCTAAACTGAAATCTCTTACTGATTGAACCGGCTATCGTCTTTGAGATTAAATCTTTCAACACATAAATGTAATTCGTAATGTGTGTGTAATTCAAGTTAGACAGCGAGCTATACAGAGAATAGTTTTATCCCCTTGTGAAAGTAGCTGGCATTTCTGCCACACCCAAACGTCCCTGAAAAGTGGGAGAAACGAGAGCTAAGCAAAGCTGGAGCGAAAAGTGAAAGGACGTAGTGACAAGCAGTAAAAGAAAAATCTGGTTCTCAGGCAGAGCATGTGCTCTGCTGCAAAGATTAACCCAAGTGAGTCCGTTCTGTTGCAGGGACTGACTGCGTAGGTATCTGGTGGAAGAGCCAGACCTGTGGGCACAGTGTGCAGCCAAAGGCCTGGCAGGAGCAGGGAAGCCCAAGACAGGTGATGGCTGGCTCAGAGCCTTGGCCAGTCAGTTGGTCATAAAGGTGGCCCCAGGCGTGTTTAGTAGAGCCCCCGGTGCTGCAGTATCACCGCACATTCTGGGCCTGCTGGCTGGGCCTGCCTGCCTGGTGCGTCCTGTGGCCAGGAGCCTAACCACACCTCAGCTCAGGGGAAGTCTCCTGGTCACCAGCCAAGGCCGGCTTTACAGAGGCCTATCGATGGCTCCTAACCCTCCTGCTTTTCTCTCCCTGCCTGTTGGAAGTCCGGCTCCTGGTTGGTTCCCCCGTCCAGGTCACAGTAGGCACCCCATTGCCCGGAGCCTGGTTGTCTGTCACCTTCCTCAGCAGACCACCCAGCAAGGGCCTCCTTCTGCCCTCTTTGCCATGACAATGGGTTTTACTAAATGCCCAGGCTCAGCTCTCCCAGAAAGAAAGGGCATGGCACTCACTGACCAAGAGAGGGCCGTGCTTTAGAACAACCTAATGTCCATGAACGGTCAAAAACTACCAAGGACTTTCCTTTTGCTGAGCGGGAAGGGCAGTTTTAGGTCCCATTGGTCCATATTCCCATGGTGTTCTCCATCCCTATTTCTTGGAATTTATTCTCAGAAAAAGTACAAGGAAGACGCAGAGAAGTGCATGTCCTATTATGAGACTGTTTTGGACACCCCCGAGATGCAGAGAGTCCGGGAGAACCAAAAGAACTTCAGCCTTGTGAGTGTTTATTGGATCTGCGACCCAGCCCACTGATACCTGGGATAAGGCTGGCACGGTGGTTGGCTCTGGGCCTACACACGTGGGCCATCCGTCCCCCTGCGGTGGGGCTGTGTGGCGACCCTACACCGACCGCTCCCAACAGTGGCCCAGGAACCGTGTGCTCTATCCTGCTCCGGGATTACCTTGTATTTCAGGACCAAATCATAACGTGAAAGGCCCACCTGCTACGTTGTTAGTAGCTTCTTGTCACTGCATGTGAACTGTCTCCATTTTCCATTAGTGCTCACATCTGTCTTTTTCATAATTAAATCAGGAAGTGTTGCATTTTTAAGAAACCTAATTTGATACTTTACAAATTTTAGCATCTTTAAAAATCTTTTTACAAAATTCTTAGTAAAGAATTTCCCTTTAGGGGCGCCTGGGTGGCTTAGTTGGTTAAGCGTCCGACTTTCGCTTAGGTCATGATCTCGCGGTTCGTGGGTTCGAGCCCCGCGTCGGGCTCTGTGCTGACTGCCAGCTCAGAGCCTGGAGCCTGTTTCAGTCTGTGACTCCCTCTCTCTCTGACCCTCCCCTGCTCACGCTNNTTAAAAAAAAAAAAAAAAAAAAAAAAAAAAGAATTTCCCTTTAGCTATTGGACCATGATTATTATAGCATACATATATATTTCTTATTTGGATTTTAACTTCCTTTCAGTTAAAGTTTAGACAATTTAAAATATATTTTAAGATGTTGAGATCTTAACAAGGTGTTTACTCTTTCTTCATAGCTCCAATACCAGTGTGACCTTAAAAACAGTAAAGGAAAAATTACAGTTGTTCAAGACACGCCAGAAATACTGCGTGTTAAAGAAAATCAAAAGAATTTCAGCTCGGTATATTTACTATTTATTTTCCATTTAACGCTAACCTAATAATTCCATTCTCCTCTGTAAAAATACGCTACCCTCATGCTGATTCAGACAATTAACATCTAACTTCCCTGGTTAATACTAGCAGTTATTTGTTAAAATTTCCCATACTTTGCTCTAAAAAACATGACATTGGGGACCATTTGAAATAACAACTTAAATATGCTAACAAAGTAACTTTTCTCCTTAATTTTCAGAGGAGTCACATGTGTTGTCTTGCTCCATGAAGATGGATTTCTTTTTGACATTGTGATTTCTTCTGTTATCCTTCCCCAGAATAACCAACTTCACATTTCTTTAACGGATTTTGTGTTTCATATGGGAGGGGTTTCTCTAAACCAACATTTTCCTGGTTTTTTTCTTATCCTGTATTAATACAGTACGATAATCTTAAAAGAGAGCTCAAGATCTGGAAAGTTATCTGTGTTGTATACATGGTTGGAGTTACTGATGCTGACGCGGAAGATGTCAGATTGTCAGATACTCTGGTACCTGGCTAAGGACATCCTCTAGTGTCTTTTGTTTTCACAGAAGCTCTGTTTCCTAGTCTTCCTCCAGGAATCACTGGGCTTTCGTTTCCTCTGTGTAACATTGTCCTGATTCTGAATGGCCAGGTTTTATACAAAGAGGATGTCTCTCCTGGTACGGCAGTCGGAAAGACCCCCGAGATGATGAGAGTGAAGCAAACACAGGACCACATTAGCTCGGTAAGGACGCCCCCGTGGACTCACCTGCAGCGTCTTCTGCCTCCTTTGATAATTTACTTTGAGGGCTGAGCTTCCCTCAGAACGCTGGTCTCCAGAAGCTGCTGGACTAGGTGCCTGTGCTGAGCACCATCACATAATCAGTGCAGTGCTGAGCACGTGTCATGAGGGGAGATTATGCATAGGAGACAGAGCAGCTGGTATCAGCAAACCAGAGCTAGATGCTGGTTAAAGGGGTAAAAACACGTTTCAGTCAGGACTGCTGCAGTAGGGGAGAGATCTGACTGGGCTCAGTTCCAAACACTGCAAGGAAAAGTAAGGATTTATAATCGGGGCTCAGAGCAGGGTGGGGTAAGGAAGCAGAGGGAGAATAGAAACTTAGAGAAAATGTCAGCGGTCAGGGAGGGATCTGGCTGAACCCATCTTAGCAGATCCTGGCTGGCAGCAGGCCAGGGTGACCATACTTTGCCTGGTGGGGTAAGGGATGTGGTCAAATATCAAGGGTGATAAGATACCAAGGGTAGGGGATTCTGGCTGAACTGGCTTAGGATTCTTGCTAAAACCGGGCAAATACAAAGACAGACTTGGAAGTCCAAATGTTGAGGCCTGATTGGGAAGAAGATTCAGAGGGCCCTGATTAAAGTTTGATCTAAGAGAGACTCTTTGTCATTTGTAAGAAAATAGAGTATGTTAAAGTCAAGAAAATCAAACTTTCTGGATGTATATATATGTATGAATATATCTGTCCTGGCCAAATGAACCATTGGGCATAAAAACATCCGAGTGCACAAAAAATAAGGGGCTACAGTCTAAGTATGGACCCCTCCTTCACCCCACCCCTAATTAATAGGAAAGAGACCAAGTATCCTTGTCCATGATTGTTCTCCGACCCAGGGTTGGACTGGGGCCCCGATCACCCTAAGTACAGAGTTTGTATTATTTAAATTGTGACTTTACAAACTGCAGAGCTACTCCTCAAACACAGGCACATGCTCCCATTTTCATATCTGCAGGTGAAGTATAAGGAAGCCATTGGACAAGGAACGCCAGTCCCTGACCTGCCTGAAGTAAAACGTGTCAAGGAGACACAGAAGCACATTAGCTCGGTAATCGCCTATGCGGTCCGCATGCGTTTTGCAACCAGCCACCCCCTAATTGCTACCTAGCTTTCTGTCATCCCTTCTTCCTCCTACCAAGGGCTTCCCATGCTTTCAGCAGGGTGTGAACCTCCCTCTCTCCATCCTAGAAAAGAAACCTCTGTCTTTACATAATTAAGGAGCAGAAGGGACTTGGCTTCTTGATTAATCATCATGCCTGCAGGTTCTAAAGTAAAAAGTGCCAGCAGTAATAATAAGGTTATCAGAATGATTTCAAGTGAGTTAAAAGATATCCATATAAAAGTAATACAAAAGATTATATATATAATTGCATATATATTATATAATATATAATTTTATTATACAGATTTCTATATGTATATAAAGTTATATATGATATATGTATAAAATTTTGTGTTACTCATATATCTTTGCATGTATGAGTATCTCAATTTATTCTCCCCTGTCCAGGAAAACTCTAGGTAGACTTGTGAAGTCTATGCAGCCTTCTCCTCTCCCTTTCAATATCTCTTGCCCTGTGTCCTCTGCTATCTTGCAAATGCAGTGTATGTCTAAGGTGCGGGCTGTCATCTATCTACCCACGGTAACACAGTCTATATTAAGCATGTTCTGTGCAGGAATTTCAGGCACCTGTGCATATCTGTGGGGTGGGGGTCGAGGGGTGAGGGTTGGGGGTGGTCCCTCACACCTGATAATCAGGTGAAGCGTATGTTTCGCCTGCCCAGCTTCTGATCGCCACCTCCCAACACTGTGTGCACGTACACACACATGCACACATGCTCACTCCCTCATTTCCTCAGCTTTCCCGTCCATAAGCAGATTCTAAACAATAGCTGGCTACTAGCAAGAGATGCTGTGGAGTTTGGGAAATAGTTTAGGGCCAATAAAAGGTGAGGATCTTGGTCTTAGAGATTTTGCTGGTCCCTGGAGGACTGAACTCTCACTTTATTGACACCTGAAATCTCTCTTGCAAGCTGCTCATATTATTTAGATCTCATTTCCTTTTCACTCTGCTTATATTCTGGGTTCCTTATGTACAAATTTCATTCAGAGTTTTGTCACCACTGACTGAAGAAAATTCCTTTATTCACTTTTGGTCTCAACTTCTTGCCTTTCTCTGTTTTGTTCTGTTGTCCATGATCAGGTCTGCTGCCTTGCTGGGTAAAGAAACACAAATTTGTACTAAGTCAGTAAATTTTTAAAGATCCCTAAAAGTTTCTCAGCAAAACAAAGATATCACCACTAGTCTGTCAGTGATTTTCAGAATTAATCTGTGACATAAACTCCCATGACATTTGTGTCCCCCCCACCACCCATGCTCAAGTACACCATAGGATCCATTTATTTGAAAAGAATTCATTCATTCCTTCAGGCTGACAATTCTTAACATTAAGAGGGAAGAAGGTAAAGAAAGAGGCCAGAGCCTCAGGAAGTTCCTTACTCTTTCCATTAAAATTCACAGACCTTTGATAGGACCCCTAAAAAATGGGGACTTCCCTCAGTTTGAAAACCACGAATTTACATGATCCAACAGTCATCAATAGAAATTTCAAGGAGATATTCTCTTTCTGAAAAATATACCGTTTAAATCTCCTCCTATTAAGGGCACCTACAGACTAGGTGCCACCTAGGAATTTTCAGTAGAAAATACAAAACAAAATTCTTAATAAACCTGAAAGTTTTGTGTGTGTCACATGATTACAAAATTTTAAACCATGTAACCTGTTTATTAAGTACAAATCTACTTAATCAGTACTACTTATCAGTAGTGGACCTATGAAATGGTTAGATTTTTCTCATCATTGAATTTATTACATTTTAATGAATTTTAGGAATGTACTGTTATAGTGTAATTATAGAGTATAATTATATATAATATATAATCTATATTAATATATAATTAATATATAATATTAATATATATTATTATACATACATAATATATATAATATTATATAATTATATAATTATACTCTATAATTACACTATAGAAAATGTGTAATTTAGTACTCCATGTTTAAGGTGATAAAATTAATACTTTTGAATAGGGAACATAAACATTTGTGGAATTTCTTTCCCTTATCCCCTGAGTGTCTTATCTGAAAGCTAGACTGTTTTCAGGGGGTTTCCATGATGTAGCCAACACATGTGGCTGTAATCTAAAGGATTCATGGTCATTTTACCTTTTTGGCTAATTATCTCCTACAGGTTATGTACAAAGAAAACTTGGGAACAGGCATTCCAACCCCCGTCACTCCAGAGATTGAGAGAGTGAAACGCAATCAAGAGAACTTTAGCTCGGTATTTACAAATATATCACATAAGAAACTCTTTCCCCACTTAAAAATTTACCAGAATAACCCGTTATCCTTTTTTTTTTTTTTTTTTTAAAGTAACATCTTAACAATCTTGTGTGTGCGTGTGCATGTTATTACCTGACCCAAACCATCTGGACCTAAGCAAAGTGACTCACTTTTCTGATGGTACTTTAACATTTTTAGCGACTGACAAGTGTGGATACTTAGGTCTGAAATAGTGTATGGAGAATTAACACCAGATTCCTCATATTATAGTCATATCCTATAATGCAATGTACTTTTTCATCCCTGGAATTAGCATGGTAGAGTTCAGCATTAAAGTGGTAAAGAAAAAGTAAAAGCATTATCCTTACTAAATCAACTACTCACCAAAAGATTCCCTCTTCACAAAAACTCCCTGCCCCCGATTTTCTCCCTTCCTTAATCTTTGTGCCTGTTTTGAATGTCTTCTGGGTGCTTTCTTATATCTCACAGGTTTTGTACAAAGAAAATTTGGGGAAAGGAACCCCAACACCTATCACTCCAGAGATGGAGAGAGTCAAACGCAATCAAGAGAACTTTAGCTCGGTATTTCTTAGGGGCATAAATAAAATCCCTTAATTCTTAATTAAAATAATATTTTTAACACATTACAAACATATGATTTTTCTCCTCATAAAATTACTAAATTCATATAATGAAAATAATGATACCAAATATTACCTCGGTTTTCAACCCAAATCTAATTTAGTATTTACTTGAGTTCTGGTGTGAAATTTTAACTGTGTTTTCCCTAAAACATAACTATTGATCACGTCCTTAAAAACTCATAATATTCAGTATTTTGTGTTTTTTTTCCCCCCTCAAATCCTCCTTTAATAACAGTAAGTGTTTCTAACTGGTGTGGCACAAGTCAAAAGTAAAAATCTAACATCCTTTCAAAAGGTCAATGTTAATTAGAATTTTATCTGTGCTTATTCTGGCTCTGTTTGATGTATTTTTTGTGTGTTTGTAGCTTTTGTAAAAGAATGTGACTCTTAATATTTCCAATCTAGACATGACAGCAATTTACAATGGCTCAGAAATGTGGCTCAGCTAGTTTTTGTACCACATCAGATATAAATGAGCTTTCCTTGGGAATAGCTTAAGGATCATTCAAAGCTAATGTTTATTTAGCTTCTAATATTTATTAGTGTTCTATTATTTATTAATATTTATTTTATTCCCCCAAACCTCTCTGGTTCCCTAATTTAGAGTTACCAACAACTCATTGTGGATATTAATTTTAATGAACTTGAACACCATTTGATCAGGCCTAATCCCTGTGTCTTTGAGAGAAGACCTACATTAGTAAGTGACTCCTGCCTACGGCCTGGCAGCTGTGTTTCTATTAATGCCACTCAGAGGCCGACATCGTACTGTGTGTGATGAAATGTCAAAGTGATCAGTTCTATTTCTTAAAGTGGGTCAGGCCTATTTTATGCCATTATGAAAATAAACGAAAATACTTTTAGAGACTGTTTTGAAGGTTAAGTTACCTAAAAGATGGGTCCACGCTGATGTGATTGTTGGTTTTGTGCACACAGATTTTGTACAAAGAGAACTTGAGCAAGGGGACCCCCCTTCCTGTCACTCCTGAGATGGAGCGAGTCAAACGCAATCAAGAAAACTTTAGCTCGGTATTCAGGAGAAAGCTCCTTTAATTCCATATTTAAAAAATAATAACTTTCTCTCAAATAAACTTCTCACTATTAGTCCTGTTAAAATAATGAGTTTAACATTTTTTAATATCATCAACTGAATCCTGTTTTCACATCTTTTACTTACTATTTGATTCTCTAACATTTTATACCTTCTATGATAGTCCCTTAAAACTTTTAATTGGTTCCTTTCCTTCTTTTATCAACTTTTATGTTGTTGCTGGGACTTTTGAAGTTCACTGATATCCAAAACCCCCAAACACTATAGCTCTTATTTACTTGGAACTCTGATGCTTCTGGATTAGTGTTGCACAAAGGACTTGCTTGAGACCACATGCAAAAACAGTGGCTCTTGCTTGGAAACAGTGGTTACTTTAACCTAGATCCTATCTGGATAAACACAGGACAGAAAAAGAAAGTAGCTCAGTGTTGGAACCCAAAGCAATCTTACCTTGATATTTGTGCTGAACAAGCCATTCCATGAATACAAATCCTGACCTTTTGATTTTTTAAAATATATAAATCAAATCATAAATGTAAAGTGGTTTTTATCGTTTCAGTATTTTCAGAAAGTTTTATTCTTCCACATAATTAGATCAGTAACTTTCTTTGGTCCCACTGTCTTTTGGTTTGGTTTTGTTTTCCTTTGTTTTTAATTACTATTCACTAACAACCTTTCAATTTTGTTAAATTTTCAATGTAAATTAATATTACTTTTGGAATGGTATAGTCATTATTTTCCCTGTGGGGGGATGATGATGATGATTTCTTCTTTTGGAAGAATTAATGTTTGCATTAATTTTCAAAATCATATTTTATTTCCTTCTATATTAGAGTAAGTATATTACTGTTTATATCTGAGATCTTAATGATCCCGATAATCCTGGACAATTTTTTTTTTCCTATGTAACCATTTGTGTTCATTTTTACACAGGTTGCATTTAGGCAAAATTGTCTGGTGGTGCACAGAGCTTTCAAGACTCTGTAGGAAATAAACAGTACTATGTATTAAAACATTACCTTTCAGACTTGGTCACCTCCACAACTTGGATTTACTCAACAAAGACCAACTTTGCTATATTATGTAAATTTGGCCTGGGGATTTAAATATCTGTCATTGTAAAAAATAGATGTTCTATGTAGGGAAAATAGGTACTTGTCAATCAAATTAAAAAATAATTTTTCTATTGTACAATAAGCACTTAAGTGCCCTTAGGAACTTATTTGTAATTTTTTCCTTAATTCCCAACACAGGAAACTAACATTCAGTATAATATGGGTTGATATTGAGTTGAATACCAAATACACTGGCACTGTAGCTAAGGAAATATGGAGTATGTTCTCGTCCAGATCTGTGTTTGAAGAGAGAGGCTGACTTGGGGAATTTGTCTTTCCTGTTTCATGTCTGTAGTCTTGTACGAGGGTCTCTGCAGGACAGTGAAAGGGCTGTTTTGACTACTTTTGTTTTTTCTGGACGCTCTCTTGTGTCATACAGGTGTTGTATAAAGAAAACCTCGGGAAAGGGATCCCAATTCCCATCACTCCAGAGATGGAGCGAGTCAAACACAATCAAGAAAACTTTAGTTCGGTATTTAAAAGAAAAAAAAAATCCCCTTAACTATCTTTAAACCAAAAATTAATGGCTATAACTTTAATCTAATCAGCTTTTCCCAATAAAAACTTTGACATGTTTTATTTACAACTTGATGCTGCCATTTCCTGTGAATCCATTTCCCCATTCTGGTTAAGCATTAATATGATTATTTGACTTTTAAAAAAGTGTTCAGTATTATGTCCCAGCCTTTAAAAACATAACCTTCTCAGTGTCTGAGCACCCACATTTATCCTGCTTTGGCAAATCTGATCTGAATGTAAAGCTTACAAAAATTTATTTAGCAGAGATTAGAATGTTGGCCTCATTTCTGTTCTAACCTTCTCTGCCCCTACTGGTATTTGTACCGGTAATTTGAAGTTTCCTTGTTTAGAATCTTGTCATTGTTCTCCATTTGCTTTACATGTAATTAATTCTTCCCAATATGTCACCCAAACTAAAAATTAAATACTTGAACTTCTTTTGAAAGTCAACAAAAGAAGGTTTGTGCATAAGTATCTTTATATATACAGTGTTTCTAAAATCCAAATACCCTTATGTGGATTCTTAATAACATTTCCAAATCAAAAATAACTTCCTGGGTTCTCCTTCTGTCTCTTACCCTTTTTGTATTTCTCTTCCTCATAACAAACTGGGCAGGGGTGAGTGGTGGTGATGGGGGGACACTAATCCTTCCCTTTCACGGTGCATTCTGTTGCTCAGCGCTGCAAAGATTAGTTCAAACAACAAAAATAACCAAACTTTCCTTTCCCATCTCTTAGTTTTTGCTGCTCTTTCCTACATTCCCTTACTTGTCTTTAGGCTCGTACAGGTTGGATCTAGAAGCTTCTGGTATTTCCCTTCCTTTAACTCCTTCTCTTCCCCTTTGCCCTTCTACTCCCTACTTCTCCACAAGGGGGAAAGTGGTTGATGGCTCTTTTTGTTCTGGATGGTTTCCTATCATACAGGTGCTATACAAGGAAAACCTGGGGACAGGAATTCCAGTCTCCATCACTCCTGAGATGCAGAGAGTCAAACACAATCAAGAAAACATTAGCTCGGTATTTTGGAAAGAAAGGGAAAAGAAGATGCCTTTTAACCTCATAATTAGATACTTAACATCTATTCCTTTTTAAAACTCACTACCCTTCCTTTGTTTCTAATATACCTCACTTAGCAAAAGGACATACTTTTGCACTTTTATGTTACTACTATGGATTTAATTTTTTTTTTTTATTTTGGCTAATTCTGACTTCTAGGCCATCTAGTATTTTAAAATATTAAAAAAAAAAACACTTGTCTTTTAGTTTGCTTGGATAACAGCAAAACCGAGTTCTAACAAGCTCAAACCCCCATGCGATCGAGAGGCACTGTGCTCTCAGAAATGGAACAATAACATGAATAACTGACCACCTTTCCCCAGCAGCTGAGGTCCTTGCTGCCCTAGAGTCCTTCCCCAGCCCAAGAATGGCCGCCATTTGTCTGTGACAAATTGTCAACCTGTAACTCCTGGCTCCCTGGAGTGCTGTGTCAAGTGGTGACAAGGAAGTTGAACTCATCCTTAAAATCTTAAAACCAATGAAATATTACTGACAGTTGTTTTTTCTGGATGTTTTCTCATCACACAGGTGTTGTACAAAGAAAATATGGGCAAGGGAACCCCTATACCTGTCACTCCAGAGATGGAGAGAGTCAAATACAATCAAGAAAACATTAGCTCGGTATTTTGGAAAGAAAGGGAAAAGAAGATGCCTTTTAACCTCATAATTAGATACTTAACATCTATTCCTTTTTAAAACTCACTACCCTTCCTTTGTTTCTAATATACCTCACTTAGCAAAAGGACATACTTTTGCACTTTTATGTTACTACTATGGATTTAATTTTTTTTTTTTATTTTGGCTAATTCTGACTTCTAGGCCATCTGGTATTTTAAAGTATTTTTTTTAAAAACTTGTCTTTTAGTTTGCTTGGATAACAGCAAAACCGAGTTCTAACAAGCTCAAACCCCCATGCGATCGAGAGGCACTGTGCTCTCAGAAATGGAACAATAACATGAATAACTGGCCACCTTTCCCCAGCAGCTGAGGTCCTTGCTGCCCTAGAGTCCTTCCCCAGCCCAAGAATGGCCGCCATTTGTCTGTGACAAATTGTCAACCTGTAACTCCTGGCTCCCTGGAGTGCTGTGTCATGTGGTAACAAGGAAGTTGAACTCGTCCTTAAAATCTTAAAACCAATGAAATATTACTGACAGTTGTTTTTTCTGGATGCTTTCTCATCACACAGGTGTTGTACAAAGAAAATATGGGCAAGGGAACCCCTATACCTGTCACTCCAGAGATGGAGAGAGTCAAATACAATCAAGAAAACATTAGCTCGGTATTTTGTCAAGAAAAGGAAAAACTACTCCTTTAATGACTTAAAATAATACTTATTAATCCTACTTTTAAAAAACAACTTACATTTTGTGAATTTTGTTGATATTTATCCTTCTTTCCCAGAAGGCTACTCTTAGCTTTAACCTTGTAATAACAAGATTGCTTTAATCCTTATATAAAGTTCTAATATCAGGAAGTAACAGATTTTCCAATAAAATATTCTTTTACTCATTTCTCCCCAGACTTACTCTCTAGCTACTATTCTCAAGGTCTCTTTGTTTTAGACACATGAAATTTGGGGGGTGGCATGGTAGGTATGAGAACTCTTTCTGGAACATTGGAGTTGTGATCTGCTTTGCACCGATGACTTTAGGTTCTAATTATCAGATTTAGACAAAGAGACCTTGGGAAAAGTAACCCTGATCCTCTCCTTCAAGGATAATGATATTTCTATTCCATTGGGTATTTTAAAATATTTTTTTTAAAAAACCGCTTATCTTTTAGTTTGCTTGAATAAGAACAAAACCAAGTTCTAACAGTCTCAAATCTCCATGTGATTGTTTGGAGGTACTGTGCTCATAGAAATGAAAAAAACTAAGATCAACTAGTGATTTCAGCACATGATTAACAATTTACTTAAAAAGGAAAGTATCACTTGAACTGGTTTTGCTTTACCAATGTTAGTTTTTTGTTTTGTCTTTAACTGTTAGTTTTAGTAAACTGTTTCCTGTAAGCCTGTGCTCTGTGGTATTACATGTTTAGTGATTACTGGGGGTGGGGGGGGTTGGGATTCGTAGGGGGAGAAGAGTAGCTCTTGCAGGTTAGAACCCTGCGACCCTCACATCAGTGCTGTGTGCAGGTTTCTCCAGTACTTGAGCACAGGGCATCGGAGTCACCCAGAGCACTTGTTACATCAGATCGCGGGGCCCTGTCCCCACAGTTTCTCATTCTCTGGGTCTGGTATGGGGCCAACAAATTTGCATTTCTGGCAAGCAAGTGCTCGGCAGATGCTGAGCTTGCTCTTTGGGGATGCTACTTGAAGAACCATTACTTAAACAGAATTCCTTTTCCCGAATGCCATTTCCCAAACCTCCTGTCCCCATGAAGGACACTGAAGGGAGACACAGAGCTAAAGGATTTATCATGATGCTAGTGATTTAATCGCTGGGAACGTTTTCCTTACTGAGAAGTTTGTTGGTGAACTAAAGCAGGAGGCAGAGCACAGATGACAGCAGGGACCAGAAGAGTAGGGGAAATCCTTGTTTGTGGGCCCATGGTTTTATGGATGTGTCTGTACAGAGAGGTGAAGGGCTGCACAACCATCCAGTCTCCCACTCCCATGCAGGGAGCGGCCCACCTTCCCCTTGTCACTTGAGTGCAATCCCCTACAGTCCTTTTTAGATGATCGGTCTGGTGCTTGAAATGCATAGACTAGTGGTAAAATGAAGGCCATCTTTCATCCTTTTTAGGGCACACTGCAGTTCTGTCAGATGGCCTGCCAGGATTTCAGGGCAGGGGGCTACCCTGGAAATGTGTGTCTTGCTGTAACTATACTCAGCTTCCTTTGGAAACCTACCTCTTTCTACCTAACCTTATTGCCCAAATGGTTTGACACTCTGAACCTTATAACAAATTATCTATTCCGTTTAATCTTTTGGTAACTGTAACTTTTTTTCTTTTTGGCTTTTCGGATCCTTTGGACTCGTGTAGGTTTTGTACAAAGAAAATGTGGGGAAAGCCACCCCAACCCCTGTCACGCCAGAGATGCAGAGAGTCAAACGCAATCAAGAAAACATTAGCTCGGTACTGTCTTGAGAAATGAAAGTGCTTTTAACTTTGCAAAGTAACCCCTGCGGTTTGGCCTGCTCCTAACTCCATCCCAGGTTAAAAACCAGCAAATGCCATTTGTTTTAAAAGAACCTCCTGTAAATGACCAACTACATGTATTATTGCCATTAACTATTTTTTAAAGCTTTCCTCTAGAGAGCCATTCTCACTAATGTAGTAGATTAGAGACGGAGTTTTCTCCCTCAAATCGCATAATATTTAATAGCCTGAATATTGCCTCTTGGTGATTTTCGGGTCCCACTTTGTATCTCACAGGTGTTATACAAAGAGAACCTGGGGAAAGCAACCCCTACACCCTTTACTCCTGAGATGGAAAGAGTCAAACGCAATCAAGAAAACTTTAGCTCGGTATTTTGGAGAGGAAAAAAGAAATCGTTACCCTTTTAATAAGTCTGGCAATCATGGTTATATCACTAATTTGTCTCACAGTTTTCCCAGAACTCTGAGTTTTTTAAGTTCATCTTTTCCCACTTAAAAACAGCAAACCAACCCCTCTCGCTCAAACTGATTTAATTCTTTCTTCTTCTTTGGCTTTATACAATAACATTTTAATGGCTTTATCTTCCTGACGTGTTTCTTATAGAGTGTGATATAATCGAGCCATAACACCAGCTAGATGATGGCTTTCAGAACTGTTTTTCTGTTCTCTGATGTCTGAATGCTCTCTTGGCCCCTCTAGGTATTATACAAAGAGAATATGAGAAAAGCAACTCCGACCCCTGTTACTCCAGAGATGGAGCGAGCTAAGCGCAACCAAGAAAACATTAGCTCGGTATTGTCTAGGAATAAACACAGGAGTAGTGCAACAACTTGGAAAATAACATTTAACATCATAGAAACATGCCTTTCTCAACTGGAAAGCACACTAAAATGAAAAAAAAATGCAACATCTTGGAAAATAACATTTTAACACCATAAAAACATGCACCTTCTCATTCAACTGAAAATTTACATTAAAATTAACACAACTGTGCTTTTAAATTCCAAATGATCATACTAAGAAATAACAAGTTAATTGCCAATGTTTTCTCTTACCTTTATTTTACTAGGAGGTAGTGTTACATAACCAACTGTAACAAATTGACTTCCTAACATCCTCAATATTCTGCTATTTTTAAGGTATCCTTAAAACAGGTAATACTCTGAGATGGATGTCTTCTTTGGCTTTGGTGTTTTGGGTTTTTCATGTCTGGAGGACCTTATTTCTGTGTTAACATATGTGTTTATGAAATCTGGAAAATGATCACTTGTTTGGAAGGATGATTGGGGACACCTGGTTGGCTCAGTCAGAAGAGCTTAGAACTCGATCTCAGGGTCATGAGCTCGAGCCCCATGTTGGGTGTTGAGATTTTAAATAAATATGTTAATTAAACTAAAATTAAAAGGATAGTTTTCAATGTCAGAATCACATCTAGTCTGCTAAATACCACCCAGTCTGCTGGTGCTGTAATTCCCAGAGACTACTTTCTTCCTATCCTCTCTGAAATTCTACTGTGCCCTGTCTCCCCTGAAAATCAAAGTTACATTTTCAAAGTCGAAACTTATCCTTTCTCTCCTGATGAGAACCCTATCCATGTATCCTCATGCTAATCTGTTCAGCTGTTAGTCAAGGGTATCGCTGGGTCTTTTCAACTGACTCAAGCTTCCCTCCCCAGCTACTTTATCTCCATGTGTTGGAAAAGTTTTGAGGCTTCAGAATTAGAACAGTACCGTGACCTGGACTTAATTCATGGTTTCTCCTTTACCAGGTTCTTTATTCAGATAGCTTCCGGAAACAAATACAAGGCAAAGCTGCCTATGTCTTGGACACTCCAGAGATGAGACGGGTGCGGGAGACCCAACGTCACATCTCGACGGTGAGTCTGGAATTCTTCAGGACTGATTGGCCAGGCTGCTGGATCAGGTGGAAAAGGAAATGGTCACACCGTCATATTTTTTACAAAGTGAATTCATAAAATTTCAGGTGAAATATCATGAAGACTTTGAGAAACACAAGGGCTGCTTCACACCAGTGGTGACAGACCCTATCACTGAACGAGTGAAGAAGAACACACAGGACTTCAGTGACATTAGCTACCGAGGTATTCAGAGAAAAGTTGTAGAAATGGAACAAAAACGGAATGACCAGGATCAAGAGACTATTACAGGTATGTGAGCCCTACAAGGAAAAGCAACTTTAAGTTGAGGGGGTAGAAGAACAGGAGTGAAATTACCCATTGTAAGTCAGACAAAGGGACCTCAGTCTGTTTTTACTAGTTGTAAAAGAAAACTATGATTTCACAGCTTGCAAAGCTGATATCTGTTCTTTGATACGCTTTGTTCTCCTCTGAGAACTGAGCTAAATTAGTGTTAGTGATCCTGTGGTTAAGTTCAGGCCTTGCCTCCCAAGCTAGAAGGAGTCACCCAAAAATATCTGTTCTGATCCTTAATCTCACTCAATCTTAGGTTTACGTGTCTGGCGTACTAATCCTGGCTCAGTTTTTGACTATGATCCAGCAGAAGACAACATTCAATCACGAAGCTTACACATGATTAATGGTATGTTATAGCTTACACAGAAATGTCACCATTTAGTAGGCTAGCGTCAGTGAACTTGAGGAAACTCAAGGGTCTTCAGTATTCTCGGCTGTCATTCCGCGTAGAAACACCTCACTAACTGGTGAGAAACTATCAATTTTCTAGGCAAATTTAAGTCAAGGAAAGATTGCCTCCATGTAAACCTCCTTTAGGCCCCCTTGTTATCATTTTGTTTCCAAAGAAAAAAAGTTAGTACATCTTTCTATTGGAAAAATAATGGGGGAAAAAAAAACACCAAAAAGCACATAGGCACAGGGAAGAGAATCAATTTGACCTTTGGCAACTTTCTGAACACTCATGTCATCAAGGAAAAGGATTATTGACTCAACAGGCCACATGCCTTTGTGCCTTGTATTCATGTTAAAATGTAGAAAATTACATAGTACTTGTCCTTAAAGGATTTATACTCTAGTCTCCTGATGGAGAGACAAGTAAATCAGTGGTTACACCCTGACATGTGCAATTTTAAAGGTCTGCACACAAATTGTAGGAACTCAAGAGAAAGGGCATCTAAATTAATTCGTAAGTGAGGGAGGGCTTTCTGGAGTTTAACGTGGAGATTATGACTTTTGATGAGCCAGGAAAACGGATAGGGTGGAGGAAAGGGGTTGTGGGCCAGGACAGACTGAGATTTGAAGCCTGCTGTACTGTTTAGTAGCAGTCACGCACCCTTTGGAAGTCACTTCAGCTGTCCTGTGGAAAATGAGGATGACAACCACATAACATATAAGGGTTGTGAGGGTTTTATCCATGGAAATCTACCAATAACCACGCTTGGCAACGACCCCACCCCACAGAGCCGAGGTTCAGTTATGGTCAGGCTTTGCTATCGTGTTAAAGTCACGCCTGCTTCCCCCCCCTCCCCCGCCCCCCTCCAGCGCAAGCGCAGCAGCGCCGCAGCAGGGAGCAGTCCCGGTCCGCCAGCGCGCTGAGCATCAGCGGTGGTGAGGACAAGTCCGAGCACTCAGAAGTGGCCGACCAGCGCCTCTCCACCTACAGCGACGGTGGCGTCTTCTTCTCTGCAACCTCCACAGGTACAAGTGGGTGCCCGCTGGCTGGGTTACGAGGGCAGATACTTTCAGTTAAAAAAAAAAAAAAAAAAATTAAAAATCTGGATTTAAAAAAAATCATTTCTAATGATGAGAAAAGACTAGAACTGTGGAGAGGTACATGAAACAAGATGTTTCATTTTCATTATTAGAGCCTCCTTTCTTGGAAATCGTTCTTTTTAAATTAGGGGAAAAGAGAGCACTGCCTGCTTAGCTGTGTAACACAGGTTAAATGTCGTCTAGCCACTTTTTCTTCTCGTAAACTACTTTTCCCTACGTTTTAGCTTACAAACATGCAAAAACCACGGAACTCCCACAACAGCGTTCCTCTTCAGTTGCCACCCAACAGACAACGGTATCCTCTATTCCATCTCACCCATCGACCGCCGGGGTAAGTAAACAATCAAGAGCTTACTATTACTAAACTCATTCTTATTTTCTCATATGTGCAATAATGATTATCATTATGGTCTTTTTTTTTTTAATCCCAAGTTTTAAGTTAAATTCTAGTTAATTAACATGTAGTGTAATATTGACCTCAGGAATAGAATTTAGTGATTCATCATTTATATACAATACCCAATGTTTATCACACGTGCCCTCCTTAATGCCCATCACATGCCCACCTCCCCTCCATCACTCCTGTTTACTCTCTATAGTTAAGAGCCTCTAATGGTTTCCTTTCCTGTAAAGCTTTTAATACACATCTCATATTACCAGTAATATCAGAAACCCTTCATTATCTAATTCATTAATTAAAAAGCATTATTCAGTGATCTAGAACTAAAGCAAATGATCATTGGGGGCTCACTGGTACTACCCATTATCTTAATGAATTTGCCGCTTGGAGTCCTTCAAGAATTTACGTGTGCACATGTCACACATATAAACATGTCATTAACTCAGATCTCCTTTGTTAATAATCATTGAAGAGGTAAGTCAAATCATGTTTACAGTTCACCAGATTACTTTAAAAATGGTTAATTTAAAACCCTGCACACATTCAAAATATCACAAAAACATAATTCTTTAGGGTTGAAATAAAAAATATTTTATGAAGAAAACTATCTTTACTAAAAGACCTAAAGATCTAAGTATTTAGAACCATTACATTTCAGGAAGGGAATCCTGTAACATTGTCATTTTTCCTGAAATAAATAAATTGGTGAATTCAAGGAAACTCCAGTCAAAATCCTAAAGGCATTTTAAACAATTTTGTATATTAATCCTAAAATTTATTTCAAAGAGTAAAGATGAAAGAATAATCGAGTAAATTTTGAAAATGACAGTAAGAATTATTAACCAAATAAGAGCAACACATACTATAAAGCTATTATTAAATAGGGAGTTAGCCTGGGAATAGATGTGAAAATAGATGAAGTCCAGAAATGGACCCTAAAAGAATTATACATTAGCAGGAAGAAGAAAATCAAAATTGTAAAATACTACAGAAAAGTGGAGACTACTTTTATAATGGAACAGGGAAGACCTTCCTGAGCAAGTTCTAGAACCTAGAAATGTGTAAGAAAAGGTCACATATTCAACCATAAATATGTAAGTGGTTTTATAATAAAAAGAAACATGTCAAACTGGAAGAAGGTATTTGCAGCATACCTAACAAAAAGATTTAGATCTAAAAAGCCCAACACTCAAAAATTCAGTGGCAAATTATTCCCCTTCCAGTCAAAATAAGAAAAGACCTGGATGTGAATGAATAAACAACCTACAGCAGAAGAAATAACAACACCCAAGAAAAAAGATGTTCATCATCATCGCTAATCATGAATATGCAAATTAAAACAAAGTATCCTATTAGAACATTATGGTAGTGAATTAAAAAAAATTAATACGCACATACCATTTGATGTACTTCCGCCTTTAAAAGCTCTTTTTTTCCTAAAATACTTCCAAAGGCAAACATAAGGGGATTAGTGTAAGGAAAAATGGTAACCGTTAAATGTCCAGAAGTATAGAAATGGCTAAATAATTTGTGGTATTACTGAAGTATGGAAAGACTTCAAAGCTACATTAAATGGAAAGAAGAGTAAAGTATTATTTATAGTATTGTTCCACTTATAGAGGGAAAGGGGAAATCTATCTCTGCATATGAATATATGTATGTATATTTCAGAATGCTAGGAAAAGATATGTAGGTTATATACCAAATTACTAATCAGCGCCTGCTCCTATGAAGGAAATTTGGGCACTTTGAATTTTTGTTTTTATCTCTAAATTGTTAATAGTTTTTAAAAATTTGATTTTGCTGTTGTTAACATTTAACATGAGCTCTACTTCTTACCACATTTAAAAAAAAAAAATTGGGCGTAGTGCTGTGTGGGCGGTTCAGTCAGTTAAGCCATCTGACTTTGGCTCAGGTCATGATCTCACAATCATGGGTTCAAGCCCCCAGCAGGTTCTCTGCTGTCAACGTGGAGCCTGCTTCAGATCCTCTCTCCCTCCCTCGCTTGTTCTCTCTCAAAAATAAGATTTTTTAAAATGTTTTATTTATTTTGGGGTGGGGGCAGGGAGAGAGAATCCCAAGCAGACTCTATGCTGGGCACAATCTCATGAACTGAACCTAGAGATCATGATTTGGGCTGAAATCAAGAGACAGATGCTGAAATGACTGAGCCACCCAGGCACCCCCCTTTCTACATTTTTAGGTATTCAGTACATTCTTCATCACTGTAGATTCAAGGTTGTGTGTACAGATCTCTCCAGAACAACAGATCACTACAGCTTATTCATCTTGCTTAACTGAAACTTCATGCTTCTTGATTTTAATTCCCCATTTTTTCCTCCCGCCATGTTTTTTTTTTCTTTTTTTAAACATGCGGAGGATAGCTTTTAGCAACTTCTACTACTAACATGCTCCCAAATTCCCAAAGTAAGAGATACATGCAATATTGCTATGGTTTTCAAATTTTTCTTCTCCAAAACACGACTGACTTCCTCCAAAGGGAAGAAAAGGCCATATATAAAACATTCTTTTTTTGTACAATTTTATGACTATATTAACATACTACTAAGTTCATCAATTGAAATATATAGGTCCACTGATTTTATGTCATTTAGTTATTCAACCTCTACCACAATCTAATTTCAAAACATTTCATCACCCTAAAAGAACCCTGTGCCCATCACCAGTCACTCCCCATCCTCTTGCCCCACCATCCAATCCCAAGGGATCACTAATGTACTGTTTCTTCTTGCCTATTCAAAACATTTCACGTAAATGAAATCATACAATATGGGATCTTTTGTGACTAAATTTCTTTATTGATGGTCTTAGTTCATCTAGTTGTATCACAGAGCAAGAATTCATTCCCTTTTATCAACAAATAATATTCCATTGTATGGAAATCTCACCTTTCTGCATTCACCAGTTGGTGGTGGGTATTTGGGTTTTTCCCACTTTTGGGCTGCTATGAATGGTAGATGTGGAAGTTATTGTGTAGATATATTTACCTACATAAGATTGGAATATGGTGACTCTTTAAGATGGAAGAAACTTCCAAAACTCTATTCAAAGCGGTTGTACATTTTCATCAGCAGTTTATTAAGGGTTCAGATTTCTCCATATCCCTCCCCGCCCCCCCATAGTGGTTATTGTTGATCACCATTCTCGTGTGTGAAGTGGTATTTCATTGTGGTTCTCCCTAAGGACTACTGAGGTTCAGCATTTTTCTCAGGAGCTTATGGGCTGTTTGCACATCTCCTTTGGAGAATTCAGATCCTTTGTCCTCCCCCACCTTTTATCAGTATTGAATTATAGTGCTTTATATGATTTGCAAAGATTTTTTCCTATTTTGTGAATAGTCTTTTACTTTCTTGGTGGTAATTCCACATTCTGTTTTGTGAAGCTGTAAGAGACCTTAAAATTAGGTGTTTAGGTAATTGTTGCAAAATCTGACATATCTTTTTTTTTTTTTTTTTACCTTTTTCATCTTCACAAACAGAAAATCTTCCGCGCCATGTATGACTATATGGCTGCTGATGCAGATGAGGTGTCCTTCAGAGACGGAGATGCTATTGTAAATGTTCAAGCAATTGATGAAGGCTGGATGTATGGCACTGTGCAGAGGACCGGCAGGACCGGCATGCTGCCAGCCAACTACGTGGAGGCTATTTAAGCATTTCAGAGTATTGCACCTGTCTAGGGGACCTGCAGATCCTCTAGCCAGAATTTCTGTTCAGATACTCCACTGTTACTCAAGCTGCCCAATGATCGTTTAGTGTCAAAATGACTAAGTTCTACCATCACTTAATTTGTTTCTATATGAGCTTCAGGAATTCTTCAAGTAAAATAATTTCTGGACTTGGATGTAAAACTTAAGAGATAACATTAAACCCATAGGTTCATTATTTTTAAAACTGTCATTAGCAAATTTTCCATAGTGTTTTTAAATAAGCTTAATTATAGAATAGGCATTTTAAGTCTATGCAATGTTTTTGCTATATCAAGCCAGAGTCTTTCTCCATTATGAAACTGTTTAACATTATTTTTTTAATACCAGGATTCTGAACGTGTTAAACACATTAAGGAAAAATGGCAGAAATACTCCTTTTCTTGCTTACCAAATGCTGATGCTTTTAATTCTATTCCAGTTCTGAAGTTATAAAGGTGACAGTTGACATAAACTGTTGATAAGCTAGTAACTAATAAAGTCTGCAATTCTGCAACAAACACCACTGATGTAAATGACTGTTATTTCTAATAGTTTTTTTAAAAATTTTTTTTTTTTTAATGTTTTTTATTTATTTCTAGGAGAGAGAGAGAGAGACAGCGTGAGCAGGGGAGGGTCAGAGAGAGAGGGAGTCATAGACTGAAACAGGCTCCAGGCTCTGAGCTGGCAGTCAGCACAGAGCCCGACGCGGGGCTCGAACCCACGAACCGCGAGATCATGACCTAAGCGAAAGCCGGACGCTTAACCGACTAAGCCACCCAGGCGCCCCAATAGTTTTAAGATGTACAAATAAAAAATACCAATAAAGCAAATTCATTACATTAGACTTCACTAAAAAAAACCCTAAAAAATGTACCATTAAAATGCACAAGCATAGGCTTTCTCAGATCTATACTGTTTTCAGTAAGCTTCCCTATGGCTCAGCTGATAACATCTTAGAAACAGATATGGGATCAGCAGGTACAACCAGGAACTCAGTGGCACTGCCCCCTCCTATATGCCCTTGACAATCCTGGAAGAGGGCAGGAAATTTATCTGAAGAAATAAAAGCTGAAAACTTCCCAAAGCTAAGGAAGGAAACAAAATTCAAATCCAGGAGGCACAGAAAATCTCAACAAAATCAACATCATGGAGTTCCATACCAAAAAACACAGTAATTGGCAAAATTACTAATAGAGATTTTAAAAGCAGCAAAATAAGAACAGTTAGTTATATACAAGAGTAACTCCATAAGGCAATCGTGGATTTTTCAGTTGAAATTCCACAGGCCAGAAAGGAGTGGCATGACATACTCAAAGTGCTGAGAGATGAACACCTGCAGCCAAGAATACTCTATCCAGCAAAGTTATCGTTCAGAATCAGAGAAAGTTTCAAGACAAAAGTTAAAGCAATCCATGACCACTAAACCAGTCCTACAAGACATATTAAAGGGGACTCTTTGAGTGTAAAGATCCTAAGTCTAAGAAAAATAGGAAGCACAAAAGCAGTAAAAAGTACCTATAAAAATCAGTCAAGGAATTCATAAAGGAATGTAAAGTACGGCACCATATATACCCAAAATATGGGGGAGAGGGGGGCAAGAACCAAAGAATGGGTTCTTGCTTAACAGTCAACTTAACATAGACTGGTATGTGCAAAAGACGTATTATACATAAACCTAATGATAACCACAAATCAAAAACCATAATAGATACACAAAAAACAAAGGAATCCAGGGGTACCTGAGTGGCTCAGTCGGTTGAGCATTCACCTTCACCTCGAGTTCATGATCTCACAGTTCGTGAGTTCGAGCCTGCACTAGGCTTACTGCTATCAGCAAAGAGCCTGCTTCAGATCCTCTGTTCCCTTCTCTCTTCCCCTTCCCTGCTCGCGTTCTCTCTGAAAAATAAATCTTTCAAAAAAGAGAGAGAAGTCCAACTACATTACTAAAGAAAGCCAGCAAACTATGAGAGAAGATAACATTTCTGGAACAGAGAGGAACTACAGAAACAACCGTAAAACAAGTAACAAAAAAGCAATAAGTACATACCTACCAATAATTACTTGTCTCAACAAATTCAAAAAGATGATAATATTACCACTCATCTTCTCCTACCACACTATGAAACTAGAAATCAACCATAAGAAAAAATCTGGAAAAAACACAAATACATAGAGGTTAAATAACATGCTGCTAAACAATAAATGCATCAACCAAGAAATCAAAGAGAGAAAAAAAAAATTACATGGAGAAAAAAGAAGATGAAAACCTAAGGGTCCCAAATCTTTAGGACACAGCAAAAGCTGTACTGAGAGAGAAGTTTATAGCAATGTACACTTACTTCGAGAAGCAAGAAAAATCTCAAACAACCTAACCTCACACCTAAAGGAGCTAGAAAAGGAAGAACAAATAAAAACCAAAACCAGCAGAAAGAAAGAAATAATGAAGACTGGAGAAGAAATAAAATAGAAATTAAGAAAATAACAGAAGAGATTATTGAAAGCAGAAGCTGGCACTTTTAAAAGATCAACAAAATTGGTAAACCTTTAGTCAGACTCCTCAACAAAAAAGGACAGAGGACTCAAAAGCAGAAATTAAAGAGAAGTAACAACCAACACCACAGAACTACAAAGGATTATAAGAGAATATTATGAAAAATTATATGCCAACAAATTGGACAACTTAGAAGATTTGGATAAATTACAAGAAACACATCACCTCCCAATGCTGAATTAGGAATAGAAAACTTGGAAAGACTTATCACCAGCAATGAAATTGCTTAAAAAGATACCAATAAACAAAAGTCCAGGACTCATGGCTTCACAGGTGAATTCTACCAAACATTTTGAAGAGCTAATACCTATTTTTCTCAAACTATTCGAAAAAGAGGAAGAAAACTTCCAGGTTCATTCTAAGAGGACAGCATTATCCTGACTCCAAAACCAGATAGTCACTACAAACAAACAAAAAAGGACTACAGGCCAGTATCTCCGATGAACATTGATGCAAAAAGCGTAAACAAAATATTAACAAACCAAATCAAATACTACATTTAAAAAAAATCATTTACCATGATCAAGTGAGATTTATTCATGGGATACAAGGGTGGTTCAATATTCACAAATCAATCAACATGACATATTACATCAAAAGGATAAAAACCACATGATCATTTCTTAAAAAAAAATTTTAATGATTTTATTTTTTGAATAAGAGACAGTATGTGAGCAGGGGAGGGGCAGAGAGAGAAGACAGAATCCAAAGCAGGATCCAGGCTCTCAGCTGTCAGCAAAGAGCCTGACATGGGGCTCAACCTCATGAGCCATGAGATCATGACCTGAGCCAAAGTCCGATGCTCAACTGACTGAGCCACCCAGGCGCCCCATGATTATTTCAATAGACGCAGAAACAGCATCTGACAAAGTACAATATTCATTCACGATAAAAACTCTCAACAAAATAGAGGACACATACCCCAAACATAATAAAGGCCATATCTGAAAAACCTACAGCGTATATCATACTCAGTGGTGAAAAACAGAGTACGTCAGGAACAAGACAAGGATGTTCACTCTCAACACCTTCATTCAACATAGTACTGGAAGTTGTAGCTACAGCAATCAAAGAAGAAAAAAGAAATAAGGGGCATCCAAATTGGTAAGGATGAAGTAAAACTTCCACTATCTGTAGATAACATAAATACTATACATAGAAAGCCCTAAAGACTCCACCAAAAAACTACCAGAACTGATAAATGAATTCAGTAAGGTTGCAGGATACAAAATTAATATACAGTTATCCACTGCATTTCTATACACTAATAATGAAATACAAAGAGAAATTAAGGAAACAATCCCATTTACAATTGTGCTAAAAATAATAAAATAGCTAGGAATAAACTTCCCACAAAAGAGGTGAAAGACCTGTAGTACAAAATATATAAAACACTGATTAAGAAAATTGAAGACAACACAAATGGAAAGATATTCCATGCACATGGATTAGAAGAACAAATACTGTCAAAATATACATACTATCCAAAGCAATGTACAGATTTAATGCAATTCCTATCAAAATCCCAACACCATTTTTCACATAAGTAGAATAAATAATCTTGGAATTTGTATGGAACCACAGAGATCCCAAATAGCCAAAGCAATTTTGAAAAAGAATAAAACTGAAGGTACCACAATATCTGATATCAAAATATACTACAGAGCTGTAGTAAACAAAACAGTATGACACCAGCACAAAACACACATACAAATCAATGGAATAGGACAGAAAATTCATAAACAAACCCACAATTATATGTGATTAATCTTTGACAAAAGAGGCAAGACTATGCACTACGAAAAAGATGCTCTCTTCAACAAATGGTGGTGGGTAAACTAGACAGTTATATGCAAAGGAATACAAAGTGGACTGCTTTCTTAGACCATACAAAAAAAATAAACCCCAAATGGATTAAGGGTCTAAATATGAGATGTGAAACAATAAAACTCCTAGAACAGAGCACACATAGTAATACCTCTGACATTGGCCATTGCAGCATTTTTCTAGGCATGTCTCCTGAGGCAAGGGAAACAAAAGCAAAAATAAACTATCAGATCTACATCAAAATAATAAGCTTCTGCACAGTGAAGGCAGCAACAACAAAACTAAATAACAGCCTACTGAATAGGAGAGATACCTGCAAGTGATATATCTGATAAAGGGTTAATGCCCAAAATATATCAAGAATTTATACAATACCAAACCAAACAAAAACCCAACAACTCAATCCAAATAGGAAGACATGAACAGATATATCTCCAAAGACAGAGGGCCAACAGACACATGAAACAATGCACAACATTACAGATCAGGGAAATGCAAATCAAAACTACAATGAGAAGGGCACCTGGGTGGCACAGTCAGTTGAGCACCGAACTCTTGATTTTGGCTCAGGTCATGATCCCATGGTCATGAGATTGAGCCTCATGTTGAACTGCATGCTCAGCATGAAGCCTGCTTAAGATTCTTACTCCTCCCCTCTGTCCTCTCTCCCACTATCCAAAATTAAATATAAACAAATAAATACAATGAGAGATCACCTCAGACCTCTCAGAATGACTACAATCAAAACCACAAGAAACTAAGTATCGGCAAGGATGTGGAGAAAAAGGAACCCCCATACAGTTGGTGGGAAATCAAACTTTTGTGGCCAAACTGTTGTGGAAAACAGTATGGAGTTTCCTCAAAAAATTAAAAATAGAA